GACCGACTATCACCCACTCAACCAAAATCCTCCAAAATGCATGTAATAAGATAAACGAATGGACAAAAAAATGGAAAATCAAGCTAAATCAACATAAACCAGTTCATATAATCTTTACAAACAAAAAGGTGGACCATGTTCCGTCGTTCACAATCGATGGAACTACTATACCATACAGCAATACAGCTAAATATCTGGGAAGGACCTTAGATGCCAAGCTGAGATGGAAAGAACACGTGAAGAAAAAAAGGAAAGAAATAGTTTTAAGGTATAGACAACTATACTGGTTGATAGGACGTGGCTCCAATCTTGCTATACAAATAAAATATTATTATATAAACAAGTCATAAAGCCTATGTGGACATATGGTATTCAACTATGGGGTTGTACCAAACACAGCAATATCAAAATCATACAAACACTCCAAAATAAAATCTTACGTAACATGGTCAATGCACCTTGGTACATAAGGAATAAGGACTTACATAGGGATCTTAAGATCCCTGTAGTCACGGCGGAAATATTGGGTTGTCCGGAAAATAATGCAGGATTTTGGTATTAAACAAAAAAAAAGAAACTAGTTACTTTAAAGCAATGTTCTTTAATCAAAATAATTTCCCATACTCTCAATACATTTCTCCCAACGTGTTGGTAACTTATTAATTCCGTCTGAGTAGAATTCAGAATTTTTAGAATTGATAAAGTCAATAAATGCATTTTCCAGTTCCGTTTGATTTTTGAATATTATGTGTTGTAAGTAGTGGTCCAGGTGTCTAAAAAAATGGTAGTCAGTAGGCGAGAGGTCCGGAGAGTAGGGTGGGTGAGGCAAAGTTTCATAGCCAAGCTCCAATAATTTTTGTGACGTTACACGTGACACATGTGGTCGAGCGTTGTCATGCAACAAAATGGGCCCTTTCCGATTGACCAAAGAGGGCTTCATTACTGCCAATTTCTGATGCATGGTATTAATTTGGTTACAGTATGATTCAGCATTGATGGTTTCGCCAGGATTTAAGAAGCTGTAGTGTATTAAACCAAATGAAGCCCACCATACCGTAACCATTACCTTTTTTTGATGAGTTGGGGGCTTTGGAAAATGTATTGGAGCTTCTCCTTTGTCGAGCCACTGTCCAGAACGTCTAGTGTTATCGTAGAGAATCCACTTTTCGTCACATGTAACAATTCTGGCCAGAAATGGGTCATTTTTGTTTCGACAAAGAAGTGATGCACAAACATCAAAGCGCTGATTTTTTTGGCGATCGTTTAATGAGTGTGGAACCCAATTTTCGAGTTTTTTCACTTTTCCAATCGCCTTGAGGTGGTCAGCGACGGTCGTTTTACTGACTTTGAGTTGCTCTGCAAGTTCTCGAACAGTTGTTTTGGGGTTTTCTTCCACCACTGATCGCAGAACATCATCATTAAGAGAGGAAGGCCTTCCACGACCTTCTTCATCTTCAAGGCTGAAATCTCCCTCCCGAAATTTTTTAAACCACCTTTGCACAGTGCACTCATTAACACAACCCTCGCCCCAGACTTGGTTAATGTTTCTAGCCGTTTGGGCTCCGCTTCGGCCGAGTTTAAACTCGTAAAAGAAAATCGTACGAAATTCTCGCTTTGACATTATAAGGATGACTGAATTATTTCCAAGTAGCGGAATGCTACAGAGGTAAACAAACAATATCATTTGGAAGAGGATTAATAAGTGTTGACATTCATACAAATGAGTAATCCTGTAAACGTAAACAGAATATTTTATATAGATTTTTTTTAATGAAAACTTAAAATCCTGCATTATTTTCCGGACAACCCGATACAAAGATTTGCCGCCAAACACCAGGCTCGCCTCAGCCAGCACGAGAATGTGGAAGCGACTAAACTCTTACATTACCGAAACACGGTCAGAAGATTAAAAAGAACAAAGCCATATGAACTTGTGTAGTTATAAGTGAATAGTGAAATGTAAATCTTATTGTACCAATGGGTTTATAAGAATGTAAACATTTATTTATTCTATAATATTATTGTAAAAATCTAATAAGACCAGTTTTAATAAATAAATTTAATTTAAAAAAACAAAAAAAACATTCTTGATCAGCGTTAAATTTCCTATAAGAATAGTATATTCAGTATTTGCTCTTATTTTAATTTCACTTCAATATTTCAACAGTATGTGAATTAAATAGTTATTATATAATTATTGTGAGTGAGTCCATCTGAGTCAATTCGCCAGATTATTTTTTGCAACGTGTTGAGTTATCCGTCTACCGTCCACAATTTTGGACGTTTTGCTGCGGTCCAATCGATTCGAGAACAGTTCCATTGAATTTAGCGTCTATTTGTCCCTTATTTGTTTCGTTTTTGAAATTTGGACCACAATTTTCGCCGTTTTGCCGTGGTCCAATCGGTTCCGAAAAACGTTTCACTGGATTCAGGGCACCAATAAACCTGAACAAACAAAATTTGAGGAACTTAGCTCAAATAGCTTGGGTGTTACTGAATTTATTCCGTTTTTCTGCATTTTGACTCCGTTGTGCCTCCTTACTGCTCACCCGATGAAACTCAATTCAACCGAATGCCATTATAATGATAATAATGACAATAATGATCCATATCTACAATAAATGTTGGTAATTATTCCTTTAACGTGGTGTATTTTCAGTTAGACTGTAATTAAAAGCCTGTACGTTTTGTCGTTTCACTAATGGAAGATAACTTGAACGAATAATTATTTTAATTGTGTTAATGATAAATAATTTTTTGTAACTTTGTTATTTCATGTTCGCGATAAATGATCTAGGATGTAAATGTTTCGTTTTTACTTCTTATTTAATATGAATTGTACCTAATGTAATTATCGCCATTAGATGGATTCCAGGTTAAGCTGAAAAACTATCAATTACATAGTAGTTAAAGGACGCAAGTTTACGATTTCTCTAGTGATGAGATGTTTTTAAGATTAGTTTAAATGGAAAATAATACCTCAATTGGAAAATGAAGACTTTTAAGCCAGCCAGTTTATATGAGACACATAACATATGACACGTCGAGCCTTTGTGTCCGGTAGTCTTTTGAAAATTCGTAAATTAAAACGGTTCCATATTTATAATCACAAAATAAGGGAGGATGTCCGTCTGTCATTTATCGGTAAAAATATTGAATTGTATTTATTAGTTTGAGTTTGGTTATTTGGTCTTTGCCTGTTGAATAAATTTATAATTTCTTACCTCATGATTCTCCTCGCTACGAGTTATTCTCATTCGTTGTTACACTCTGACTTTGCGGTTTTTGCATAATGCCGTCCGACAATTGACCGCGTCAAGGATGGAGATATTAAAATGTGACGGATCCCCCTCGAGTCACATCAGAGCTCAACGCCTCCATCGCGCCTTAGGTTCACAGGGACATCTCATAAATGTACTGGTGATTAAGCGTTTTCCAGTCAGGTACGAGTTGTCCGTGTATGCGAATTCGTATTCACTTCCCGATTCGCAACATCACTCGCATCCTACTCGTCCAACGCCCCTATTTTCGCAAATCCGCTGATCGTAATTGTTGTACGCATAGGTAAGAGAGAGAGAGAGAGAGAGAGAGAGAGAGAGAGAGAGAGAGAGAGCGTGAGAGTGAGAGTGAAAAAATAAAGGGGAAAGAAAGAAAGAAGAAATAGGAGAGATAGAGAGCGAGAAAAAAAACCATGAAAGAAAAAAGAGGAAGNGAGAGAGAAAGGAAGAGGAGAGATACGGAAAAACAGGAAAGAAAGAAGTAATAGGAGAGATCGAGAAAGTGACAAAACATGGAAGAAAAAAGAAAGAGTAGAGGAGAGAACAGAAGCAGACAGAAAAGAAGAAGAATGAGGAGAAAAAGAGCCGAAGAGATAGATGGGTAGATACATAGACAGAAAGAAAATGAGAGAGAGAGAGAGAGAGAGAGAGAGAGAGAGAGAGAGAGTGAGAGAGAGAGAGAGAGAGAGAGGGAGAGTAACCAATATAGAATATAGAAGAATAATGTATTTAATTTGTATTTATTTAGAAGAGATCGATTAATCTAAATAAATTGAGTGGTGGGATAAATGTGTCCAACATTGTATATTTATGAAATTTAATGATTTTGGAAGCTTTTATTTCATAGGAATTGTTAGGCGGGAGCTAAGAAAAGAGGAAGATGGGTGGGATTTTCCCCCAACAAGACATATTCTGGTTTTCCCTGTGTAACTGATCCATTCGGTTTCAGGAGGGTTTTTTAAACTATATTTTTATAAATCTTGCAGACAATATTCAGTAAAATATATTTGCGAAAATTTAGGAACGTTAATACCTGTCAATAAATAAAAAATCAGTCTTTCTAAATTAAAACTGTGGCATATCGTAAAAATAAAAACGTTGAGTTTGAAAATGAGTTGTTTTTTGCTCTTGTTCTTCTTCTTACGGGCATCGACTTCTCTCGAAAGCAGAAATGCACTGGTTGCTTTTTAAATTTTTTTTACAGTTTTCAACAGGTAAAAATTATGAAAATCGATTCAAGATCGTGCTATTAAAGTATTTACGGGCTTGGACTTACAAGAACTGAAACCATGAGTCAATGAAACGGCATTAAGTATCAATTCGGAATTCTTCGACGGAAGACGCTTCACCACCTGTCATCCTTTGGCACTTGACCGTGAACCTTGGTAGAGTAGCATTTGCTTTGCATAAGTGGACGCTCTGAAAACTTACCGACCGTGACTACTTAAAAGTTCCATTTGCTGTGCAACAGTTTTTATCGCTTGAAGAAAAAATAAATAAATAAAAGGATCGTCAAATATGAGCCTTTACGGCGTACGAAATATTTATTGTGTTGTATTGCTTGATGATTGGAAAACTAGTGTTCGTCATTATGGCCCATTGCGGGATTAATGACTTGGGATATTTGTACTTTAGAGTTCGTTGGGCAACTGTCTAATGGGTTTATAATGCAACCTCTTATCGTTTTTATGCAATTAAGATGATTTGTTTCATCTGTTTCAGCACACTCTCACTGGTCATAGTGGCAAAGTCTTGGCGGCTAAGTTCTTGGGAGAACCGACGAAGGTTGTGACTGGCAGCCACGACAGGACGCTTAAACTCTGGGACCTAAGGAGTAGAGCATGTAAATTATTTCAAAAACAAATTATTTGCATACAGATAGTTGTTTAACAGACAGAAGAATTGTTTTGACTTTGAAAGTAGTTCCAACTTTGTTGAATATGTTGTGTAGGTATCGAGACGAAGTTCGCGGGTTCCTGTTGCAACGACATTGTCATCAGCGACTCAGCAGGCACGACCATCATCAGCGGCCATTTCGACAAGAAGATTCGATTCTGGGACACCAGGACGGACACGAACATCAACGAGATCCTGGTCCAGGGGAAGGTCACTTCCCTCGATTTAGCAAGAGGTCTGAGAAAACGGTGCCCAGTTCGGATTTTTACTAATATTTTCATGTTTCCAGACGGTAAAACACTTCTGGCGTGCGTCAGGGACGACACCCTCCGCCTCATAGACCTCAGGGCAAACCAAATGCTGACGACGTATAGGTAAGCAAGCTCTTCACGGCTTTTTATCGCATTTGTACAAAAATGCAACAACATTTTTCCTGATTTAATCAAATGTTGATGCAGACTAACTTGGGAAAAATGTAGCTTGCCTATAAATGACAAACTATTTTAAATTGCCCTCAACTTCACATTAACAAGGAAGTACCACATCCACTCAAGTACTTAGCACTCCTAGACAGCAGACTGACGTGCAATCCCCACACAAGGCTTAAGAGACAACAACTTAACAGAAGTCTTCTACACTTGTATGACCGAAATCCGTGTTGACCGTCAGAACTAACCTTGCACAAGACTTTACTTCGACCACTTTGGACATACAGAGTGGAACTGTGGGGTTCTGCCAAGCCATCCAACATCCAAAGTCCTCAGAAAAATAGTCACAGTTCCATATTATTTCACTAACCTCACTATCCACAGCGACCACGACATTCCTTTTGTCAACGACTGATCCGATGCCAATTTCAAAATTTTCAAGCAACCTCCCCATGTCGCCTTAATCGGTGATGGCATCGAGACCTCATTGCCCCTTAATCCCTCTCACTAAGTGCCCGCATTGGCTGGTTGGTTTCTCATGCTGTGTCCTCCGGTAACCTGCTGGCATTAGTATTAGTGATGTGACCTTGAAAAAAAGTACTACGATCACATGTGCAATATGTACAAATATGTATATGCTAAAAATTAAAAAAAGAAACAATACTAAATTTTTGGGAGCCATCTTTTCTCCATGCACTTATTGCTTTATTTCCTTGATCAATAACAGTGCAAAGGCATGCTATAGTGATGTGTTTATTATAAACATAATTCATTAATTTTAAATGAGTTTTTAAGAAGTTTGATTGTTTAGTTACGAAGGATTTAAAGTCGCATGTGATTGGACAAGGGCCGTCTTCAGCAATACTGCTGATTTTGTGTGTGTTGGGAGCAACGACGGTGGCGTTTACGTCTGGAACACCGCTTCCGGTAACCTCGAGACCGTACTTAAAAAACACACGTAAGTGCTCTCTTTTTCATTACATCTATCAAAAGAATTTACTTAATATTTGAAAATTCACCTGTGAAATTTGTCGGAAAATGGAAATCAGGCAAGGAAGAAGTTATGGGTGATTATCGATTAACTTTCTACAAGGCATTTGATATGCTCGTCAATTTAAACATTTGGCCATTATTTCAACCGCTTAAAGTCAAGCAGGTATGCAAATTTAACCAATTTTCATTGACCAAGAAACATCAAAAAGTATGCTCTCGGGCCGAGCGTGGATCGCGGCTACATAAAATGATGGTTGTCCATATTTTCTCACCGTACTGTTACCGAGATGAGCGTAATCCAAGGTTTACATTCCAAAGTAGGAAGTAGAATCAATTTTTCCGAACCTGTGGAAGCTGGTAATGGCAAATTTGCATCATGATTTACATGATGACCCAACATTTTAAATTACTCCTAATATATTTGTGAATTTTCATAAATAATGGATATAATACCGGTTTTTTTATGGGATAAAAAAATTTAGCGAACAATTTCAAATGAAAAATTCCTCCTAAAACGCAATAAGCATTACAAGTGCATGAAATTTGCTAATTTCATTCCACATTATAGAATTTCAATGTATTTCAAAATTAATTATGTTCTCAGTATGTTCAGTTTTTCGTTAAAAAAAGAAACCGCTTTGAGGAGAGAAAGCGGCTTAGCTACTGAAAACTTCCTTGGTACTAGTGCTTTAACTTTGGATCTTCTTAGGACCAAAACCCATTGTCTCGGGAAAGTTTTTCACTCGATATCACATCATTGGTCTATTTATTTCTATATCTATTTATTATTATTCCGTTGATTTAAGCGTTGCCATTTAACATCCATCAATTAAAAAAGAACCATTATCTGCACATAGTCGCTATCAGACGCATTTTGACGTGGTGAGACGAGTAAATATGTATTTAATCAATAAAATGTATTAAAAAAAAGCCGTTATAGGCACTGCTTTTATATTATTCATATTTATAGATTATAAACATCAATAATTAAAATCTCTAAAACCATGAATATATATAACTTTCAGTTAATTATTCATTTTATTTAAGGTCTTGGTTGAGATGAAAAAGTTAGTGTCAAGAGCAAGATTCTCTTAACTCAGCCGAAGGTCGTGGGTTCGAATCCCGCTTGTGACACTAACTTTTTCATCTCTACCAAGACCTTACATAAAATTAATTAAATAAATAATAATAAATAATAAAATTAATTAAAAGAAGTACTTTGGTCAATTAGACCACTAAATATACATGGAATTTATCAATTTTAAAAATTAAAATATTACGATTTGTTAATTTGCACGAAGAATGTGCGGCTCATTGTCCAAATTAGATTTTTTGTGTACACATTTATAAATTATGAACATTACGAAAAAGTTTTGAAATTCTAAAAAAAGATTTGTATTAAGAAGAGTTCTACATATTTTTTTAACTTATTCACAATGTTTACTGTTCTTCAATTCAACCATTTAATTACGTGTGTGGCTCAGGAAATTTGCAGGAAAATGATAAACTTTCCATATAACCAAAGTAACGTTTGTTTTTCACATATTTATCTATTATATACCCAATATTTGCTATAATTTCATTACGATTGGTTTAAGAAATGGGCAAGAAAAACGTAAAATTAGCCCATTGTCCAAAGCAGAACATTTGTCATTTACATCGTCCAAATCTTTAGAACTCAAGAATAGGAATTAATTTTAGACTTTCATATAAGGGACATTTTTATTCTTCCCAATATTTACTAAACCTGAATTAAACCAATTAATTACGATTGATTCCGGAAATGTACAGGAAACTTTAAATCAGCCAAATTTTCCAAGCAGAAAATTGTTTGTTTTTACATTGTTAAACATCATAAACGTTAATCATTTTAGTTATTCAGATATCGTGAGATGCGGTCGGGTCACGATATCTGAACAACTATCGATTAACGGTCACTAATCTCTACACGTTAATAATTTTGTTATTTTATTTTAATGAAATCTTTAAATTCAAGAATAGTAATTAATTTGATCAAAATTGAATTTGTCATTTCTTGAAAGTTCTTGAATAGAAACATATAATGACGATTAGTTCAAATGTGCAGGAAATACGTAAAATTAATTTTTTACAAACTTATAGACTATAAACACTAATCTTTATAATTTAAGAATGGGAATTAATTTTGGAAGATTTATACAGAAAAAGGTTTTTTGTTCTTCTCATCGATATTTACTCTACATGAAGTTAATTAATTAATTACGATTGGCTCAGGATAGGTACAAGAAAACGTAAAATCAGCCCTTTATCCAATGCAGAACATTAAATTTTAACAAATTTTAATAATCAAAATAAATAAAATTAAATGAAACTTGTTAAAAGGGAATTTGTTATACTTTTTCCAATAAATTCTTTAATTGAACCAGTTCGATTGGTTCAGGAAATACGTGAAATCGGCCAATTAAACTAATTTTTTGTCTATTACATGATAAATTGATTACAAATATTAATCTTTAACAAAATTAAATTCAAGAAAAGATATTAATGTTTAACGATTTATGTAGTAAAGGATTTTTTTCCAACATTTTGTTCACTTTGATTTAATTGCTACTGGATCAGAAAATGGCAAGGAAAAACGTTGGATTAGTGTATTACCAAAAGCACATTTTCTATTTAAATATTTATCGACGATAACCAACAGTTATCATCCAAATAGTAAATATTAAAATTAAAAAATATAATAAAATAAATTCAAGAATTCGTATAAATTTTACAAGATTTATCTTGAAAAGCAATTTTTTTCTTCCAAATATTTTCTCGACTTTGCATTAAGATTGGTTCATGAAAAAGTGATATTTGCACATTGTCCAAGGTGGATTATTATTATTTACATATTTATTATCAATTATGAATTGTAATATTAGAAGATTTATATATCTACAAAGGGATTTTTTTTCTAATAAATTCTTTAATTGAACCAATTAATTACGATTGTTATAAGAAATATGTGAAATCTGTCCTTTAAACTAAGTCAGAACTGTTGTCTTTGACTGGTTAAATTAATTATAAGCATTAATCTTCAAAATAAATAAATAAATTCTAACGATGCAGGGAGAAAAGTGATTTTTTTCTAATATTATCTCCATTGATGTATATCTGGTTCAGAAAATGGCCAGGAAAAGGTGAGATTAGTTTGTTTATTATGGAAGGCAGAATTTAGAAAAAATATTGATAACCAGCGATTCTTAAACATTAAAATTTGAAAACCTTAAATTCAGGAATATACACAACTATTTTTGTAGAAATAGACAGAAAATTATGGAGAAAGCTATTTTTTAAAATTATTTTTCTCCGCTTTGATTAAACTACAGAAAATAGGATATTTTCATATTGTTCAAGGCTGAACATTTTTTAAATTAATTTGTACATGGTACATATTTAGTCTGGATTATGAATCTTAATCTTTAAAACTCAAGAAATAAAATAAATTTTAACAGATTTATATAAAAAAAGTTTTTATTTTTTATTATCACACTATTTACTCTATTTTAGTTGAACCAATTAATTACGATTGGTTTTGGAAATGTGCATGAAAAACCGTAAAATTAATCCTTTTTCAGTGGCAGAACAGAAAGGAATTAATTTTAGAAACTTTGTTAAAAGAAGGAATTTTTTCTTCACAATATTCCTTTACGTTAATTCTACCATTTAATTACGATTGGTTCAGAAAATCAGAACGAAAAACAATTTGTCCATTGTCCGAGGTAGAAAATTGGTTTTTTACATATTTACATTGTATATATTATTAATTATTACAAGGTCAAGGATATGAATTAATTTTACAAGAATTATATAAAAAAAAGGGGTCTTTTCTATTCTATTTACTTTATTGAACCAGTTAATTACGATTGATTCAAGAAATGTGAACGAAAAACAATTCGTCCATTATCCGAGGCAGATAATGCTTTTTTACATATTTACAATTTACATATTTTTAGATTATAATCATTAATGAATTATCTTAATTATTACATGGTCAAGAATATGAATTAGTTTTAGGATAATTTCATAAAAAACGGGCTCTTTTCTTTTCCAATATTTACTTTATTGAACCAGTTAATTACGATTGGTTCAGAAAATATGAACGAAAAACAATTTTTGCATTACTCGAGGCAGATAATTGGTTTTTTTAATATATTTACATTTTACATATTTTTAGATTATAATCATTAATGAATTATTTTAATTATTAAAAGATCAAGAATATGAATAATTTTAGAAAAATTTTATTTTAAAAAAGGGGGTCTTTTCTTTTATTATATTTATTTTATTGAACCAGTTAATTACAACTGGTTCAGAAAATGTGAACGAAAAACTTACAGTTTGTCCATTATCCAAGGCAGATTATTGTTTTTGTACATATTTTTTATTATAATCATTAATCAATTATATTAATTATTAAAAGCTAAAGAATATGAATTAATTTTAGAAGAATTTTATTTTTAAAAAAGGGGTCTTTATAATATTTACTTTATTGAACCAGTTAATCACGATTGATTCAGAAAATGTGCAGGGACACGTGAAATGAACCTCAATTGTTTTAGACGGATTTTTTTGTAATATTAATTTTTCAAAACGTATTTTAACCCCAAAATAGAAAATTTTCACAATAGTGTTATTTATTCATAATGAGATTTCTTGTAACTATATTCCGAAAATTAAAAGGCTTTTTTTCATTTAATAACGGATTGTTAATTTCCCCCGAAAATAGCGGTCTTATCAAATTTAAATAACAAAAGGGGTTGCGGTTCTATTTTAGACCTTTGAAAAACCGGTTGTGCGGCTGGATTAGGTTTGACTTATCTTTTGGCTTTATGTTAAGTGTATTATTATCTACAATTCCTTAGTATATAATTGACGATCGATTATTCCCGAGATTCTCTTTTAATGTACAAACATGTTAAGTTTGTTCACCTTCTTCCTCGTGTTGGAGGACAGTATTCCAGTGTTCTTTCTTTTTTCTTTTCTTTTTTTGTCCGATTCATAAAAGGACCTGCCTGCGTTTTCATTTCTTCCGTCTATATACATATACACAAAGACTGTCGGAAAAAAACGTCGTTTATTCCATTGCAGAATGGGTAGTGGCCGCGCTTACCTCGGCCACCATCGGTTTTTCTAGTTGGTTTTTTAGACGGGTCCGTCACATCTCGTCCTGCATTTTGCGTTTAAGGTGGAATAACGCATTTTAACACGTACACTTAATCGTTCCGTTCCTCCTTGAAAGCCCTCCCGACCACGTACGTTCAACCCTTCAAAACGGTTCTGCGTCTTTTTTTCCTTTTTTTTTTTTATCTTTAAATGGCCAGTTTTGTGTCTAGCGCCATCGCCAATTTTCAGAAATTTGACACGTTTAACTTTTTTACTAATTACCTCTGTTTAAATTGTATTTACCAGTTATACTTGTGGAATGTAAATTGTCTATTCATTTCTTCACATCATGTAACTTCATAATGAATCAATCATGAATCCAAAGATGGTGAGACATTCAGATGGTAGAATTGTTGCAATTTGATTATTCACTTTTAATTTTTTCTTTTAGACCACCTCAGCAAAATTGTATTCATACTTTGCTTGGCGTTTCATGTTTATATATCATTATTGTTGTGTTGATCCATCAAAAACTTGGAAGGAATGCTGCCATTTTGAAAAGAGAGGTTGACTTAAAAGGCGCAGTTTTGAAGCTTAAAATGCACAACTACTTACCTCATTTTTAACATAATTTTTTCTATTTAAATTCATTACTCTTTGACATTTAAAATAAATAAATAACATTCTCAAAATAAAGCATACAAAATCGCTTGAGATTTTTTGTTTACAATTTCAACCTAGGTATTACAGCAACTTAATTGTACAGAGCACACCCATAATTATTTCATTCATTCAAATTCATTAATTCTATAAAATTTCAAGGCGTAATTTTCTAAATCACCAGTGGCTTGGATACAACGGAGTCCACATGTCCATCTGGGCAATTCCACATCGTCATCCAAACTGCCACTTTAGTGTTGGTTACACCTAAAACATCAAAATGTTTTATTGACAAGTGTACTCGCTTTGATATTGGCAAAACAAAAAGAACATTTTAATTAGAAAATCCAAGGGTGTTTGAAAAGCCTTTCAGTTCTAGAACACTAATGAAGTTTATTCTGTAAGAAAGTTCCAGTAGCTCTTGGCATTTCATCGGCGTAAATGCCTAAACTCAATAGAGCACAACCCAGAGCTACTCTTTTTCAATATCTTTCACTCTCCCCTTTGACGTTTCGCTCTTATTTCAGTGACGCTCCAGCCCAAATTCTCCAGCCACTTTTCAAACACGCTTTATTTGAAAAATTCTATTGTGAAAAGTAGGGGGAAATTATTTTTAAAAGATTTGATCATTAGAAGATGAACCGTTAGCAGGGTGTCTTTTGAACATAATTAGATTGTTCATCAAAGCATCCGTTTGTCTAAAAAGTTTTATTAAACCAAGAACCATCTTAGAATATAAAATCTATTATTTAAAAAATAGATAAGGATAAGTAAGGTTTTTTGGACTAATGACTGGGACAATCAGAATTGACATTAACTATTGGTATTTTTCAATTTCAAAGTTTTATATTTTGGAAAAAAAATAACTGAAACAAAATGGAATTTCTGTTAATTCATACATTAAGCAACCAAGGTGTGTACACGAATTAAAAGTAACGTCAAAACATAAATTTGTCTGTAAAATGTAAAAGTTACTTTTAAATCCAAGCTGAAAATTAATCAATTTATAACTTGTAAGTTCACCATAAATAATTTACATAAAACTACTCCCCTTTGGAAAAAAAAATGAATATATAGCTTTGACCAACAAATTATTACACAAAAAAATTGACATTTTAATAGAATGAAAGGAAAAGGACAGTTTAAATGTATCGAAATTTAAGACACCTGCCAAAGGGTGGAAAATGTTAAATGAAATTTCATTTAAAAAGAATAAAGGTCAGGTTACTTATGAGCCACGTATATTAAAAAATAAAATTGTTTTTTTATTCACAAAAATATTATTTTAAATTGTATAAACCATGGTATTTATTTGACAGATTTAAAAATTTATAAAAGAAAAGAAAAGGTTTTTTAATTTTTTTTCTTTTTTGAGGAAAGGATTTTGAAAATAAATAATTTATTTTTTAATTTATTTCTTGTTTACATTTAGACAGAGTTCAGTTTTTACCCTGTAGACAATTAGTACAGCATGGTTCATACAGGAAAAGGGTAAAACAAAATTATGATAGTAAAGATCATAGTGTGGAGATGTAATAAAAATATATTGAGCCAAAAACTTTGACTAGTATCTATTTTGTTCTAGGTGTCCAGTAATAGCAGTGTCTTGGCATCCATTCGCTAACTACATCGCAAGTGTTGACAAATCCAAAAAGGCTGTGGTCTGGGCTGATCTCTGACAGTGATTTTTCTATTTTGATAAATTTTTTCTCACAATTTGTTACGCTTTGTTGTAAATACAAAACATTTATATTGGAAAAAAATAACGATGTAATTATATTATAAAATAAGGAGTTCATGTTTTTAAATTAATTTTTAAGCCTTACCTTATTGCCGTTCATTGAAAAAGTTTGTTTACTTTTTAATAATAAAAAAATAAATAAAAATAAATAACCACGGGTCTAATTTATTCCATATATAAAAAAAGACCTCGGAAAAACACAAAATGAAAATATAATAAAATAAAGGGAAAGATTGTGTACTGATAAGTGGGATAATTTTATAACACTGTGCAAATTGTTATTATAATCTAAGCCGGATTGTTTTGGTTTTTTTATTTGTCCTTTTTTAATTTTTGTTTTTTTTTATGAAAATAATAACAAATGTTTTCACATATGTACATATGTATAGGATGTCCGAAATTTATACATTATATACAGAAGGTATGGTAAACTTCATCTAGAACCATTGTTTCCATGATGATTTGGAGAAGAGTTGATTAAAGCCTTAAGCTGTTTATCGAGATGGCTCGCCAAAGTCCTACGCTTGAACCTTAATGACTCATTGATGACATCCTTCAGTAGATTGATTCGTGTATCAACGCTCCCTTTCATCAAAGTTAGATGTTCAAGCAGCGGCTCATAGTCTGTAGGCATTAAATGTGTCATAAAACAGAAAAATTAATTAAAATCATAACATCGTCAGTTGGAAATTTATTGTTTTGTTGTCAAATAACGTACTCCCAAAATAGTTAATAATATAAAACATGTGGCAATCTTAAGCTTATACTCACTTCTTCCAGGCCTTCTAACTTCCTTATAAGCCAGAGCCCTAATATGTAAGTTATGACTACGGATCTGAGCCAGTTCGTGCTTGGTAGGAGGAGCCGGAACCACTTCCACAGGTGGCTCAATATCCTCCGCAATCGTAAGCGGCGGTGGAGAGAGGGGAGGCGTCGAGTATGAAGGCACAAGCTGGGGTGGTGGACAGCCACCACTGGCACCCATCGGTGTCCCGCCATCGTACGGCTGGAGTACCGGTGGTGCAAACTCAGCAGGTGGTGATGGTGACCTTGGTCTACAAATAATGGTCAACCTCTCTTCATCGACATCCATCGGGCCTTAAATAAAAATTAGAACATTTAAAAAGTGAAAAAAATAAAATCAAAATATTAATAATTTCGACAAACATTTCCTATACATACAGACACTTATTAAAAACAGAGAAAATATATTTCTTATTAACCTGTACAATATTTACATTTTATTTCATAATTTTTTTTATAGTAAATATGTACCTATATCTCCATTTATAAGTGGAGGAGGTGATGAAGGTGGAATTGAAAGAACAACAGGTTCATTCACTACCGGAAGTGCAGAAGGAGGCGTTATAGTCGGTGGAACTGTGTTCACAGGCAGCACAGGCCGTGGTAGTACAGGGAGGTTTGTAAGCTGAGGTGGCGGTGGCGGCGATGGTGATGGAGATGGTGGGATGGGCGAGGAAGGCCTCCGGAACGTCACTTCCCGTGGTATTGGTCCCGGTTTCCTTTTGTTCGGCCTCGCCGGACCTCCGTCCAATGCTCGCTTATGGCCTTTCCCACTGCTACCGATGTTCGTCATATCTATGTCCGCTTCATCGACCATCATCCTCTACAAATTCAAAACGTTTTGAGTTTAGTAATTACAACATCGAGGTAACACGGAGATACCTTGTCTATCTTGAATGGATTGCCAAACATGTGCTGTCTAACCGGCGCAGATTCGACTTCCCTCAATAAGGGTTGAGTTTTTTTTAGGTGTTCCTGATAATTTCCCATTTGGCTAATTGGCATGCTGTGCAAAACATCTACAAAAAGCACATTTTTTAAAAATTATCTTTACATTTATAAATATCAAATCGTGCCTTCGTCCTGAAGCCTAGTGTGTGAGGGAGAGGGGTTTAAAAAATTGGCCCGCATTCGAAGCAGCTGGTCTAAAAGATTGTGGCGTTGGATGTCAAATGCATTTCGATAACTCTGGCCAACTCTATGTTTCCTATGACTAACTCCAACAATAAAGCCGCTGAATTCGTTCAGCTGATCTTTCAAAGACTGGAATTTACCTGGAAGAATCAATTAAAATAGTTAAGATAAAATTTTATTTAGCATGATTTGACATACTTTGTAAACTAGGGTGTGACAGCATTTCTCGTTTGAAAGAGGTTTTTGGAGTAACTCTAATCCCCTCAGGTTGTGTTTTGGCTAGCTGCTTGTTATTCACATCATTACATAATCTGGAAAACCAATTAATCAAATTAGTCCACGTAATAAAATCAAATATAAAATGCACTTTATGCCAACGTACTTTTCAAATTCTATTTTTGCTTGGTTTTTAAGCCTCTTGAGGTAACTTAGGATAGTGTAACTAAGAGAATTGTCTAATGTGTCAGGCACAAGGTTTTGAGCAACAACTCCAGTTGCACCCATTCTCGTAAGAGCTCGTCGTAAAGGCTATAAAACATTGGCACAAATTAACAAGTTACAATCGAATTGCATAAACTAGGACACTTACACCAGCATAATAGGAAGGCATAGTTCGGAGGTAATTGGAAAATGCTGTTCTCCACTCGGGCGTGTGCTTCTGCCTCAGGACTTTGAAAAGGTCGTCCAGTAAGGGCAAAAGTACTGGGTAGTTGTAAGGCATCACAAATAAATTGACACAGTTTAAATTAGTGCTTGCCTTCAAATATCCGAACGGGTGGCCAACTTCCGAGCTTTTGTACGAATTAGGCACAAAAACTTGCCAACACGTCGTCGGTTGTTTCCTAGCTAAAATGTACTGGGTAAGAGGGCTCGGTTCAAGCTCGTACTTGTCGAAGGGCAAATTCTCAATGACCATTGGATCTTGGCTCGTACACATAAATTTAACGTTTGGATGGGCCGTTCGTGGAGGCTAAGGATTGTAAAATAAATGAAATACTTTAAATATGATTTTTAACCAAATCTAATTTACCAGAGTAGTTTGTTGTAGATCAGGCCAAAATGACTCGGGGATTGGCCAGAATCCAATTGGTAATCCTTTCTGTGCTGAACGAGGCACATAAATTAATTTCCGACAAGTCTGCCATGCAGTGTTTCCTGGGGTTAAAGGATTTATTGGATTTGGCCTTGCCTGAATTATTAAAAAAAATTATTTGTACTTTAAAGTAGTAGCATTTTAAATTTTTAAAAAAATTACTTACTCCATTGGCCATTTTACCATTTCCGTCTCCTTGGGAGTTGTCCTTATCCCATTCTTTGATCTCTTCACTCTCTCCAATTTCTAAACCCTCTTTAGAATCTAAAAAATAAAAATTTACTCAAGTCTTTACTTATACATTTCCTAGATAAAAAACAATATTTGACAAAAATATTAGTTGACTCACTTTCTGTTGGAATCAAAGGAGGATCTGGCCCGATTTTCTCAAAATTGATAACTACTCCACTTTGTACTTTTTGAACAAGGCTGTCTATACATTGCATTAACATTCTATGCGATGTCACAGAATATGATCTCCCTGAAATAGCAATTATAATATATCAAAATTATTATAATTAACTTTAATTATAATAAATGGTTATTATATTAACCATTAATTAATATAGTTAGGTAAATCTAAGTTTTATACAGTAATAAAAATGTCATTACTAGAGTTTTATTATTAGTTACTTTAGACGATTAGAGAAAAAAATTCCTAAAAGTCTCTAATTGAGTAAAGTGAGGGCAGATAAGTTAAATGTAAAGTTCTGTAGATACCTCCTGTCACTTCACACATGGCATCAATAGGGGATGTGTCACTCGGCACCAGCCCAACATCCCTTTCTATGGCTGGTGTACCAGACAGTCGTAGTACAAGGGAAAATAGTCGTTGGTCCCAACGGAAAGGTTCTCTTGTAAGTTCTGACCCAGGGATTGGAGAGTGCATTGGAAGATTGAACTGAAAACGATCAAATTTTACAAATAAAACAGCGTCATGCAAAACTTTTTTTTTAAACTACAGTTTTTTAAATCCATACATATCCTCGCGTTTTTATGTCAGAAATGTTTCAGCCTTTAACATGGGTTTCCACTGTGCGAAAATCACTCATACAACTGTTTTGCAAAACTTGGCTTGTGCTGTGGATTCCTAGCCGGGACTGCGAAACTTTTAGTTTCAGGGCAAGCTGAGAGGCAGGCGGTTTTTTAGTGCGCATCAAAGTGTTTTGCGTTATTTGTTTTTCTCCATGTAAACGCTCTTGTCTCGAGTATGAGAATGAACCAGGAGGACTGCATTAAACTTGCCCGACCAATATTTTTGTGGGATGCTCAAGATAAAACACATCATCAGAGAGAAGATGTGTGGAAGAAAATGGAACAAAGACAAAAAGTATCTCCATGATATGAAATGTTATTGAAGCAGTTGGTGTATTTATAAACGGCAGCTTGTCTCACGCAAACTGATAGCTCACTTTGCATGAAATGTTTCACCTCGTGGAAATGGTTAACCTGGGAAGTGATTCTTGCATTTTGTTGCACAAGTGGTTTTTTTTTTGCACAATGGAAACCCAGCTTTAAACCTATATCAATGGTGGGTTTTATACGCAGAGTGAAGAGAAAACAACATGGGGAAAATTTGCCCGGAGTCATTGCTTCTCCCTGCTTGTAACCCAGACAAACTACTGAAGATGGCAGACCAGGTTAAAAGAAGGTGATTAAACAACAATACTTTAAATATTTAGCTTAGGCATCATATTTGGTCTGCCTATCTTTTCTGTTTTGGACTGTCAGATAATTGTTTGTTGTAGATAGTGAGGTTAGTGAAGTAGAAAGGAGCTTTGACAATTTGTTTGAGAACATTTAATTGGAAGGATTGGTTGCGCCGGATGTTGGTTCTAGTCCTTTCGTCCAAAATGGTCGCAGTAAAGTTTTATATAACGTTAGTTGCGTCTTGACTGTCAAAGACAGATTTTGGTCCTATGTGTCTTTGTAGTTGTCTGAGTCTTCTGTTAAGCTATTTTCTTTTAAGACTTATGGGGGAATTTCATGCCAATCTGCTGTCGAGATATAGTCCTAGGTAACTGACTTGAGTGGAAGTCGGTATCTCTTTGTTGCTGATGTACATTGGAGGGCAAGACTGTTATTTTCAATGTGAACGTACACTGAGTACGTTTTTCTTCATTCAGTCTAGTCCTCCACTTTTTGTCTTTGATAAGCTCAAGATATTCTTGGATGTTGGAGACGGCTTAGGTAGGATTCGAATTAGAGGACAGAAATGTGGTATTGTCTGCGTAGGTTGTGATAATGGTATTGGGGTGTGCAGGTAGGTCAGGCATTATATATGATATAAAGGATGGGAACAAGAATGCTCCCCACTGGCTATTATTGCTTGTTAAAAACGATAAAATAAAAAGTAAAAAGAGAAAATAATAAATTACCAAGAAAAAATTCTTAAAATAAAAATCTAAAACCGCATGGAAACAACTTATTATTTTTTATTCTAAACAATAACTCTTTACAAGCATCTCTTAGTATTATTTATCCCCCTTCCCACTATAAAAAATAATGCATGCTTACTTCTTCTTGAATCCCAGAGGTGTTTGAAAGTTTGCCACCATCTGTGATAACGACGATGACAGCAGGTTCAAGAAAAAATGGGCACCGCCCTTGCCCATAGGTGTCAATTCCAGACTGCATCCTGTTGATGTTGAGTACATCGAAGGCGTGTTTGAGAGCGGCTCCCATCATCGTCATCCCCTGGCACTGAAGGTTCTTCAACTCATTCATGAAAGTGGATAAGCTCTCTTTCCAGCCGGCCTTGCGGAGAAAAATGAGAAAATTAATTTTTAAATGTTTATTCAAATTTAAAATAACAAAAATGGTTTGGTCGTTTTCAAACAATAATTTGTAATAGTGTTTGTGATATTTTTGTGCCAATACTTTGTATTCTTTTTTTAGTAAATCCTAGTTAACCAAAGTGATTATTTAATTTGATTTATACTTTTTACCATATTTTACATAAAATTTTAAAAGTATTGAACTGAGTGAGACTTAAGAAAATATCTGTGTGGTGAACAAAAAATGGCCCCAATTTTCAGTTGTCCATGCCTGTTTGGCAAACACTTTCCAAGTGAAAAGGAAGCCAGTTTCTAGGCTATTTTAGACTGAAATTTGAATATTTCTTGCTGCAAAGAGGTCTGTTGGTTTAGCCTTTGAAGGGCGATCAAATGAATGAGGTACTTCAAGTTCTTGAATTCCCTGTAAAGTTGAAAGAATAATTTCTTATCTCCAGGTATCGTCACAGCACTCTGGGAATTACAAATTGGCAACAGTAAAGCCAAATTGTAATTTACAATCAGCTACCACTACTCAGATCTAATGATCAGAGGTGATAACACTTGGTAATAAATACATAAAGAAATGCACAGCATAGAAATTTGTTTTAATAAATTACATATTTGTGTTGACAGGATGAAGGTCCCAGAACTTCAGGCCCAATACCAGAGATTTTGCTGAATAGAACTGCAATTATTTCAGTTAATCGTCCAAATGGAACACTGACAGAAAAAATGAGTATACATGGGACCGTTAAACACTCAACTCAAATGCTCAAGCCCTTGAACCACTCTGAGATGCGGTTAGGAAGACTTTGGTAGTAGTAAGGCAGGTACAGCACAATACGATGCCAATAAAGTTACTCTTTTTTCTGAGCCTCTTTCTTAGCTTACTGCCTAAAAAGAAATCCATTTTGAAATAGAATCATCACTTGTGATGAAAAATCGGTCTTGAACTATATTTTAAGATTTCTCTTACAAAAGTTTAACATTATAGATCTACATAAAGTTTTGTGATTAATGTGCTTTTGCCACCAATTTAAAACATCGAAGGAGAGACATACAGTGCCGTTTTGAACCAGTGCCTTATGAAACATCAACATTTTGATTCATGTTAATCAATGTAACATTCATCTCTACACCAGCAAAAATTAAAAATGACTTCAGATTTGAGACTTTGGACATCCTCCAAGCAATCGAGGTCTGGATAGTGTGGAGGATGCCACAAAGTTTCACATCTGATTCCATTCATCCGAAAAAAATTTAACTTACTTTTCTGGTGTGCCAAAGGTTTCGTACGCTATCTGCTTTTGCTACAATGGCAAAACAACAAAGATGAGACATACTGAGCCATTTTAGGCCAAGTTAATCAAGCACATTCACGATTCACCTATACATTAGAAAAAATGGACTTCGAACTGGAAACTTTGCGACATCCTCCGAATCATCCAGAACTGTCGTCAATGGATTACACTTCAGAGCTCCCAAAAATAACAATAAACAGAGAAATGTTGATAACTGATCTGCCAAAGCTTTTATGCACTGTGCTTTTACCTCCTGGACAAAACATCCAAGGAGGGGCATTCTCTACCATCTGGACCATGGTAATCAAGCTCCTTCAAGACTCCAAACACCAGAAAGAAATGAATGGATATGAATCTGATAGGTACCATTGCAACATCATCCAAACCTGCTGCAAATTGATTGACATATTTTCAGAGCCCTTGTACACTGTTCTTTTACCTCCATGACCAAACATCAAAGGATAGACATATTGTGCCATTTTGGACTATGTTAATCAAACCCATTCATGATCCATCCACACACCAGAAAAAATGAATAGACATCGAGTGGGAAACTTTGCGGTATACTCCAAACCATCCAGTCCTGTTGCCAATGGTTTACCACATCTTCAGAACCCTCGACAATAACTGTGACTAGAAAATGTTCAAAACTGATCTGCCAAAGGTTGCTGTAACCTCCAGGTTGAACATCAAAGAAGTGACATACTGTGCCATTTTGAACCATGTTAATCAAGCCCATTCATGATTCATCCACACATCAGAAAAAATGAATGGACCTCAAATGGGCAACATTGCAATAAACTCTGAACCAATCAACCTGCTGCCAATGGAGTGCCACGTTTTGAGAGCCCTTCACAATAACCATAGGTAAAGAAAGTTGAAAACTGTACTGCCAAAGGTTTTGTACACTGTTCTGTTACCTCCAGGTCAAAAAAAAAGACATAATGTGCCATTTTGGGGCAAGTTTATCAACCTCATTCATGACTCATCCATACATTAAAAAAAAATTAATGTACAACAGGCGGGAAACTTTATTTGATCCTCCAAACCATCCAGACCTGTCACCAATGGTTTATCTCATCTTCAGAACCCTCAACAATAACCGAGAGCAGAAAAATGTTGAAAATTGATTTGCCAAAGGTTTCATACACTGTGCTGTTACCTCCAGGCCCAAACATCAAATAAGAGACATTCTGTGCCGTTTTGGACAAAGTTAATCAACCTCATCATGACTCATCCATACATTACAAAAAATGAATATACCACAGACAGTAAACTTTACAAGATCCTCCAAACCATCCAGACGTGTCACCAATGGTTTATCACATCTTCCGAGCCCTCAACAATAACTCTGACTAGAATATGTTCAAAACTGACCTGCCAAAGGTTTTATACACTGTGCTGTTAGCTCATTCATGGCTCATCCACACAACAGATAAAAATGAATGGACCTCTAATGTGCAACTTTACGACAACCTCTGAACCATCATCCAAACCTACTGTCAATGGGATGCCACATTTTGAGACTCCTCAACAATAACTGTGAGCAGAAAAACTGACAAAATATCGAATGGGGTCAACCCTTTGAACCCAATTGAAAATTTTTCAAAGAATAAAACACCATTTTCCATTTAAAAACAAAAAACGACAGGATTTTCTGGAGGACCTGGTAGCTGAACTATAAAATGACAGTATTTGATTAATATCATCGTAAATTATTAAAAATGATTTAAATCTTATGCAATTTGTGTATTATGAAGCCCTCCATTTAAAAAAATGCTGGAAATAGTTTTGCAGCGATTGGCAACACTGTGTACAAAATTAATAAAGCTGATGTCACTCGTTGTCCTGTTGGAAGTGGCTAATAATGAATAATGTAAAAAATGTTATATGTACAGTATGGGTAGAATTCGTCTAAAGCAGAATTTTTTTAAAGTTGTATATTGTACAAATGTCATACATCTCACGATGTATGGCAACACTGCAAGTAAAACATTGCTTAATCTAGAGCAGTAAATAAAATGACGTTGAAATGAAAAACGAAAACACGGCTCGGCTTAGGAAATAAGTCGGGGAGGGCTTAACAAAAAAAAGTCCCCGGTGTCCGATCGGTACTCGACGAAGGGAAAACGCGTCAAAGCCTGCTTACCTTGATGTTGTTAGGCGGATCCTCGAACGTCAACAGCATGTATCTGTCACCTCTGCTCTCGGGAGATCTCTGCCTCACCTAATGAAAAACGTAAAACGCTTTTAAAAGCCCCGCACTTTTTTTTGTGATTTTTTATTTTTTTTATCACTACCTTGACGAACGTCTCGACTGCGCCCTTGGCGACGTCGAGGAGGGTAGGGCGACCACCGAGATATGCCCTTTGGTTCATCGAAGCCGAGGTGTCGATCAGAAACACTATTATCGTCATTATTCGTTGTGGGAAACCCTGAAGGAAACGCCACGAAATATCAACGGGGCTCCAAGTGAAAAAGTGTGTATCGGACGGGGGGAAAATAAAAACCAATAAAAAAAAATAAAAAAACGGGGGATATAAAATTCAAAAAAGTTCAAGGGCTGGCTTCGCCGTCGGCCAGCATTGTTCCACTATGCGAATGCAACCACCGCAGTGTGTGCGGCACGTCCAGCCGAAGCGAACAACAATTGACGAATGAGCACGAAACCGAGTCCCAGAGAGCGGTGATGACTTTATCCGATTTACGGCGAAACTTCGATTAATCGTACGGCCGAATTTGAAAAACGGCCAAACCCGACAAGGGGAAAAGAACGAAGAAAAAATCGACGGATCGGACTTTAAGACCCGTAAAAAGAGAGATAAAGAGTGACATTTGACAATTAAATGATAATTATGGATTTGGAAGGAAGCTAGCGTGTCATCCGAAAGATCCAGGGACAGCTTTCACCCCAAGACAAGGTTCGATTTATAACAAACAAAAAGAAAAAAAAAATTCTAAATCATAAATAATCGAAACAAGAACACAATTTTTCCAAACTTAACCGAAAGAAAATCAAGGAAAAAGCTTATTCCCTACTCAGAAAACAAAATTTAAACAAAACCCCACGACATAAACTTCACAACGATAACAAATCTTTCATCTAACAAGAACCTCGTTTTGAAATTTTCAACAAGAACGCACAATAAAATGACAAAAACTGTTTTCCTTTTTTTAAGAGTGAAAATCTCCCTCAAGGCAGTGTTTTTACGGTTTTTCACTGTTACCTCCCCATTGCCGTACCAAGTACGAACGGTTGCCGCGTTTTAACGGCCTTTTGTTTACTTGTCAACATAATCGACGAAATTCACCGTTTAAATCTGTTCCGAAGGATGTGCACGCCGGCAAAGAGAATCAAAACTCAAGGAGACGAAAGTTTCGAAGAATTTCTTAAATCCGTCGAAGCCGAACGTCACGAGGTGCGGATATCTTCAAACAATGAAAAACCGTAAAGAAAATACAGAGGGTTCAACAGTATTAATGCCCTTTAATTATTAATCGAATGCATGCCTTGGCTCCTCACGGAGAGCGAGTACGCCGCTTGGCATGAAAGCAGTGTTCAACGTCTCAATGTCCTCGACTTTTTAGGTGAATTCGGAATCAATCGTTGAGAAGCGCAAACTTTGCTGTTGAAAGTGTAAAGTCGCATCTTGATTTTGGACCACCCTGTTTGTTAAAGTTAAGCTCCCAGTCTATTGATAGTCATCCTCCAACAATTTCAGCTTGGAAACTTCAAACAATGAAAAACCGTAAAGAAAATACAGATGGTTCAACAGTTTTAATGACATTTAATTGTTAATTAAGCGGATGCCTTGGCTCCTCACAGAGAGCGAGTAGGCTGCTTGGCATGAACTAGTGTCTCAAAGTTCTCGACTTTTTTGGTGAATTTGGAATCAGATATTGTGAACCTCATATTATGTTGAAAGTGCAAAGTCGCATCTTTGTTTTGTTAAACTCCCAGTCTATTGATAGTTATCCTCCAACAATTCCAGCTTGGAAACTTCAATCAATTCAAAACCATAAACAACATATTGATGATAGGTGATACATACTGATAATACATGATGGTTCAAAGTTTTAATAACCTTTAATTATTAATCGAGGGCACGCCTTGGCTCCTCAGGTAGAGCGAGTAGGCAACATGGCATGAAAGCAGATTTCAACGTCTCAATGTGCTCGACTTTTTAGGTGAATTCGGAATTAATCATTGAGAAGCACATACTTTGTTGTTGAAAGTCGCATCTTGGTTTTGTATCACCCTGTCTGCTAATTCAATGTCTTAAATTAATTCTCAAATAAATGTCCAAGGACTGAGAATATTCGAACCAATGGTTGGATGTCTTAATCTTTCAGCCACTGTAGTTCTCCATCATGTAGGTGAAGTAAAAAGTGATTCCTACATACTATCCATTGGAAAACCATATATGTTTTGAAGTCATAAATGACTGTATAATTACTTCAATTAATTACACTCTTTATCTAAGGTCTTGATTGAGATGGAAAAAGTAGAGGAAAAAGTCATGAGCAGGATTTGAACCCATGACTGAGAATTGAATCCTGATTACACAACATTTAAAAATATGACAAAAAGAGGGAAAAATTTGAAAGGTTGTACATTGAAATGAGGAGTTGGTGTCTGGGCGGATCGAAATTACGGTAGCTGAAGTTTCTATACCAGCAGTTATTGAGCCGAAGGTCGCAGGTTCGAATCTCGCTCGTGGCACTAACTTTTTCATCTCAGCCAAGGCCCAAGATAAAATGTTTAATTAATTGAAATAATTAATACTGTCAATTATGACTGCTAAACCAATTATTACAAAGGCTTAGAAATTATGATTTAATTTGCAGAGAATAAAACTTTTACAAGGCAATGAATTATCTTAAAATAGTAGTATTAACTTTTTTTTTTCTTTTTTTATAAGGGTTCGCAATAACAGAGTTTATATCAACCCTCAGGGTGCCAACTAAACTATTATGCATCTATCTGTTAGTTGAAGATTGATTATAGAAATCTCTTCATTAATAATGGTTAAAATAACAATAAAATTAGCAATCTTTATAACCAGCTTGTAAATTTAAGGTTGCTTCTTCAGTCTTGGATTTCCCGTATAACAAGAAAAGAGTACGAGTGCTGTCCGAAGCGAAAGAACTACCTGAAAGTTCTAATGGTGTTTTATACTGGATGACTAGAGAGAATAGGGTCCAAGGTACATTGTCGAAGAACTGCTCATTTACCGTATCTCCTGAAAATTATTTGCTCTAGATAATTGGTCTTTATTGTTTGCTCAAAAGTTGGCCCTCAAGAATGAAGTGCCACTGCACGTATGTTTCTGTCTACTCCCAAAATATATGGATGCAACAATAAGGCATTATAGATTCATGCTCAAAGGTAAGTTTGTTTATTTATATATATTTATTGTTTTCTTAGGACCTATGATCTGCTTCAGGGCTGGAAGAACTCTCCCTTGAATTAAAAAACCTCCAGATACCTTTCCATCTCATTTTCTGTTCCGATAATGTGGAGACTGTTAGAAAATTTGTGGCAAAAAATGATATCGGGGCAGTCGTTTTGGATTTCAGCCCTCTGAAGATATCGACTTCTTGGGTTGATCAGTTGAAAGAAAGCCTGCCAGACAATGTTCCATTGTGTCAGGTTGACGGACACAACATTGTTCCTTGTTGGATCGCATCTGACAAATTGGAATACGGGGCGAGAACCATCAGGAACAAGATCAACACAAAATTGGACGAATTTCTTACAAAATTTCCCCCTGTAATTAAACATCCATTCAAAAGTAATATAAAATCAGAGGTAATATTTTTTTAAGGAAATTGTAGGAAGCCTTACAGATCAAAAAGGCTAATATTTTATTGGTTTTTTCTTTCTTAGGAAATCGAATGGTCGAAATTAGAGGAGAAATTGGATGTTGATATGAAAGTCAGTCCAGTCAATTGGGCGAAGCCAGGCTACAAGGCAGGAATGCAAACTTTATTTGAATTCTGTGATAAACGCCTTAAAAACTTTGCAACTAAAAGAAACAATCCTCTGGAGAATGCTTTAAGCAATCTTTCTACTTGGTTTCATTTCGGTAAATCCAGTTATTTAAATTATAATAAAATGAAAGAGGTTGTATTGTGGTCCATGTCTTAGAATAAGTTGAAGTTGTTAATATAAGAACAACAACAAATTATTTTAAATGACCACACAAAAAAGGATATAAATTGTGATGGGCGATCTGGACGGGCACAACGTGACCTCCCCCGCCAATCTGGGAAACATAACTCCACAATAATTAAGCAGTTGGTCAAAGGGTGTCACAATGCAGAGTTGGTAAGTTTTAGGAAATGACAAACTTCTGTTTGGTGTATGGGAAGTAGAAGAACATTGAGGAACAACATGATTTTGAAATACTACCTGAGATTTACATTGACTTGTGACTAGTATGAAGACAATAGCTGTGCCAAAACGGTGACTCACAGTCAGTTGAGGGTTAATGTGACGGGGCGGTTACTCTAGTATTGCAACTCTAAGCTGTTTTGTTGCACTTTCACCGTTAAATTGAAATTCTACTTAAAAGAATAAAAAATCAGTCAATGCTTCTTACTATGTCTCCAATACCACCCTCCACAACAAGCTCAAAATACTCTTTGTAAATAAATTAATCCCCACCAAATTGTCCACATTCCATGAAAAAATATCCTCACATGGACCCCTTATGAATAGTTCATAAATTATTATTCTTAAAGCTGGGAGAGCAATAATGGTTGCTGCCTCCCCTCAGGATATTTGCAAATGATAAATATTGTATCACATTATATAATGTATATATTTGTACAGATGGTACTAAATGATAAAAAAATTGAGATTGTTTTCTTTTGCAGTATTATTTATTTATTTTTAGGGCAAATTTCTATACAACGGTGCATTTTGTATGTTCAGACTTTCAAATCAAAATACAAGGATAGTGTCAGTTCGTTTTGCGAAGAAGCCATCGTGAGAAGAGAGTTGGCTGATAATTTTTGTTTCTACAATAAGAACTATGATAATTTAGATGGCGCTTACGACTGGGCAAAAAAGACTCTCAATGACCATAAGTAATTTTTTCAAAATTTTAATATTTTTATTTGGTAATCTTGAGCATTGTTTAGAAAGGATAAGAGGACTTGGCTCTACACGGACCAGGAGCTGGAAGAAGCCAAGACGCATGATGATCTATGGAATTCGGCTCAGATCCAGTTAAATACTGAAGGAAAAATGCACGGTTTCCTGAGGATGTATTGGGCGAAAAAAATACTCGAATGGACCCAGAGTCCTGAAGATGCTCTGAGAGTTGCTCTTTACTTGAACGACAAGTACAGCTTAGATGGGAGGGACCCAAATGGATTCGTTGGTAATTTTTTCCCCTCAATCACTCTTTTTACTTTATAACTTACTTTAATTTGAAAATTTTAGGCTGCATGTGGTCTATATGCGGCATCCATGATCAAGGTTGGAGAGAAAGGGAAATCTTTGGTAAAATTCGCTACATGAACTATCAGGGCTGTGAAAGAAAATTTGATGTAAAAGCATTTGTAGCGAGGTATGGTGGAAAAGTTTACGGTAAGAAAAAGTCAAAATCATAAATTCCTCCTGGTGGCATTTCAATTTTTTCTTTTAATTCAGCAATTTCATTCATTTTTCATTTTCATACATTAATTCATCACAGTACTCGCCTTAAGAATGGGAAATTTACTTTAATTCAATGGTCATATAGTATTAATAAAACTGTAATTTTATACATAGTTTTAAGAGGAAACAACAAAGTCTGAAAGTTTTAGAATGTATTTGTAAAACAATAATAAACAAGTCCAATATTCATTAAATATTTTAATAATACCTTCATTTTTATCTGTTTTATTTAATAAGTCATTTTTATTTAATTTTATTTAATATATTTATTACAATCTGTAACATAATTTACATGTAATGAGTTAAATTTGCAATTGGCATGGACATGTATTGTGAGGGGAGTTAACAACTATTGTTGTTCTCCCAATACAGAACTAATCCTCGTTCAGTAGGTTGTGAAGCCATCTCCTCTCCAATCATCTGGTGGTGTTTTAGGTTCCTATTGGATAAGAGTTGGGCTGTTAGATTGGGGTGAGCGAAGTGTTTAGTGTGGAAAGTGGAAAATGTTTTGGAAATAATTTTTTGCATGAAAGGGATTTTAAGGTTGTTGTGAAACGGGTTGAGGGAGAAATAGTAAGGAGCATTGACTTCTAAGGACTTTGGAATGGAATGACTCGATTCGTTGGTAAGTGCCCATAATCTAGTCTGCACGTCCAGATTGATTTTAGTATTGTCTTGCAGGTTGTCAGTTTGTTTTGCGTTAAAACTAGATTTGCGCGACAGCAGTCTGTAGGGTAGGCCAAAAAGTTGGTTTAGTGTCTGTTGATAGAGTCATATGTTGGTTCCAGGTTAGTCTTGAGTCTAGATGGAACCCAAAGTAGCGGACGCAGTCTGTTTTTGGGGTGAGAGTATTATTGAGGAATATTGTATGAGGGATTTTCCTCCAGAGGGTGAATGATACATGTGTGCTTTTGCTCTGCTGGTGTTTTCTCCTTTCGGATATGTGCCTGGAGCTCCTCCAAATCAGTTGTGGGATCGGGATGAGAAGATAGCACAGCTGTGTCGTCAGTAAATGATGCAAGAAAGGTGGAGGGTAAAGTTGGGATATCTTCGGTGTAGAGGAGGTAAAGGATTGGTCCAAGTACACTGCCCTGAGGTACTCCTGCTCCCAGAGGATAATTGTCAGAGTAGGATGATCCTTGGCGGACTCTGTAGAATCGTACAATTAGGTAAGAATGAAATTATAAGTACTAAGTTATGACTTAAAAAAATATAAAAATAAAAACCATACATATGGCCTGGAAGAATGGCAGGATTTTTTTTCTTTTTTTAAAAGGGGGTTTGTAACAGCAGAGGTCATATCAAACCGCAGACATCCAGTGTTTTTAAAAATGTTTATTTTAGTGAGTTTGAATTAAGTGTCACTGAGATTCAAGCCCGAGACCCTACAGTGATGAGTCCCCATACCGTTTTAACCTTTACGGTTTTTTGACACCCATGGATAAGTTTTTATAATGCTTAACATTTAAATTTGTCTTTCTGTTAACATAGAAATATCATCGAACTTGAAATTTTAACCTTTTTATTGAATTTTTTGTCTAAATTAAGCTGTAATTCCCTTGCTCGAATTTCTTTTGGCTCTTGTAAAAGAAAGCACCGCAGTGTGAGAGCACCCAGGGCGAATACCTTTCCACATCGAATTTTTCACCAAACAGGTTATCCAGTACGAGCAACAACTGCTGATAAGGAGTGTACTCAGTCAGTGGTTTTCTCTTCAGAAAGTCTGCATTTTTTTCATACCAAGCCAATTTCTCTTTAGGGGTATGTTTTATTATTCCTCTCATAAGCAACTGTTCTTCATTTGAGCTCATCCTGTAAAAATAATTTAAACTCTGTGTGATTTATTATTTGTATATATTCAATTTTTTTAAACACAATTTTTCGAAATGACATTGTTTTGTCATAGGTGGGATTTTTGACCCACAATCCTTGGATAGATACTCCGATGCTTTACCACTTGAACTACCGTGACTTCAATCAGCCATATTACAAATTTGTTATTTCGATTCCCTATTTATTCTGATTTACAAGCAGTTATTTACAATGGCTGTTCAAAGTATGACATTTTTTGAAGGTGTCCATCTTGATTTTGTGGAATTACATAAAAAAAGATGGTGGGTGGGATATTGTGGAAAAGACAATTTATTCCTACCCATCATCTTATGTCATTAACTTTGAACATAGATTTTTTTTCAAATTTAAAGTTTCTTATTTTAATTAATTATACTTTTTAACTAAGGTCTTGGTTGAGATGAAAAAGTTAATGTCAAGAGCGGATTCGAACCTATGACCTTCGGCTCAATACGGCAGCTCTAACCACTTGAACTATCGTTACTTCTGTCTCTCAGGACACCAACTCCTCATCTCAACCTACAACCTTTCGAATTTTTCCTCTTTTTGCCATATTTTCAAAAACGTGTAGTCGGAATTCATTTCTCACCAACTTATGAAGTGGCCATGGGGAGCTGTTAGCAAAGTAATTACTTCTGTAATTATTATGTTAATCTCTACATGTTTAGTAGTCATAATTAATTCAGTCAGTTATAACTACTCAAGATTTATGTGGTTTTTTATATTCTTTTGAAAACTACTTTTATTTATATTTCAGAGTGGTCAAAGAGGAAAGGTTTATTAAGTTCTATAAAGTAAATATATCGAACTTGCCTTCTCCATTGGCCCCCTCTCCTCCATTTTTCACCTCTTTTCAGATTTTTCATGCGAATTTTTAGGTTTTTGTTTGCTCCTTTTCCAAATCTGTAACTTAAAGCCGTTATAGTCGATTTATTTATTTTCATTTTCCTCGCTAGTGATCCATGTTTTCTCTTGCTTCTTTGACGTCTTCCTGATCCTGTTCCTTTTCCCTTTCCTTTCCCTTTTCTTTTTCCTTTCCCTTTCCCTTTCCCTTTCCCTCTCCCACCCCATCTCCCTTTACTCTTTCCTTTGTGTGTTTTTCCTCTTGTAGCACTGGTTTTTCTTTCTCTCATGGATCTTACTGAACTGCTTAAATGTACGTTTTTTCTACTTCTCTTGCTTATAGATATCTTTGATATTTTAAATAAGTTGGATGGTTTGCTAGACAATTGTAACTTCTTGCCTTTTCCGTATAGTTTTTTCATCTCAGTGAATCTTTCTTCTGATGAGTCTCGATATGTGAATATTCTACTCAAACATCCATCCTTTTTGATCTTATAGTAAGCAGGGGTGACTCTACCATAGAACTCTGGAAAAAAAATCTATTAACAGTTTTGTCCATTTTCTAAATTATATTGTCACTTTACCACATAGACATTTATGATTCGATTGAAAGTTCATAATATCTTTAATGTTACATTTTAATGAACAAAAATATACAAGATCGCACTTTGTACAAAGTTGCAAATCCTCAGTTCTTTTCAAGCAGGTATAACAAACTTTATATATTTCATCCTATTGGATATGTTAAGCCTCAAAATTATTTTAGTAGATGGTCCGATAAAAAATCAGAAATAAGATATATACCTTTGTGTCAATTTCTGGGTACAAATTTTCATTCCATGTTATCTTATCCTTTTTGTACAAGATTGAAATGACTCTACTGTATGAGTATTTTTCGCTTATAAGGTTCTGGTATCTTTGAATGATATCATCACGAATTGCTTGAATCTTGAAAAACGTAAAATGGATGCAGTTGTAAGGAATCGGAAATAATCAATGCAACATACCTTTTCACTTATAATTAATGCTAATATCTGTTCCTCTTTTGTAAGTCCATGCTTCCTCCTTCTCCGACTATGTGAAAACACTGACATTTGGCTCGTGCTATCTTTCATTGAAGGCATGAAGGACATTCTTGATCCATGACGAGATTTTTCAAGTGTCCTAATACTAGTTTTACTTCTTGTTCTTCCAGATATAGAAAGTCGTCTCCCACGTTTATCTGGTTTAAATGAAAAGCTTTTTGTGCTTGTGAATGAGTCTTGACTTGATTTTCTTTTTAATCCCCTGTGTCTAACGCTTCTTGTGCTTACAAATGATTCTTGACTTGATCTTCTTTTTCCTCTGTGTCTGATGCTCCTCTGGCTCCTTTGGCTCTTTTGACTCATCTTGCTTATCTTGCTCGCCCCACTGGTTATCGAGAGTCTAGATTCAGATTTTTGGATTTTAAAAGTGGATCTTTTACTGGCCTTGCTCATTTTACTGATCTTGCTTATCTTACTTTCATTACTAAATATCGACATCTTAGAAGGGATGATGTCTAGGAATTTACTAAGACCCACCTTCTTTTGGCTTTTCTTGCCAGTTATTTTTATTTGTGATTGTTCTGGGGGAACATACTCATCTGGTAAAAGTGGCCTGGGAACATAGTTCAGCGCTCTCTCAATGATATCTATGTCAATTTTTACCAGACCGTTTTCTATGTTGGTGAGTAAAACTTTGTCAAAAGTGTCCCAGTTAAGCCAGCTAAGCTGTTTTAATGTATTTTCACTTGGGCATTGTTGTTTTCTTAAATGATTAAAACATTTTCATAAAATAACTTGTCTCACTGATTATTTCAACAATTAATCTACCTACTCACTTAAGTTCATTTACCAGATTTCTGACTATGTACCCTCTTAAGTATTTGTCAACTTTCTCTCTTGAAAATTTCTGTAGTTCTATAATTCGTTTGTGCAGTGTATCTTGTTTTGCACCCTTCCTTTTTTTGTTAAAGTCTTTATTCGAATTTTTCCACGACTTTTGGTTCTCTGTCCCTTGTGTAACTAAGAACATTATCAGATTTTGTTTTGCTGTAGCGTCTGCTATCGGGTTTGTCGTTTGACTTTTTGGACATAAAAGATTCAAATTATAAAGAAAAAACAAAGTATTCAAATTATTGACACCTTACTTGTGCTTCTGAATTAGTCTAAGCCCATAGTTTATTGTGTTTCCATTTGGATTATTCACCATAGGTACAATGTGTAAAGGATTGGCACCTCCAGACTTCAAAAGGCTCAACTAAAACAATCCATATTTAGTGTGTTGTTTTAGTGTAGACCGACCGTCTTACAATTAGTTTTGCAACTGTCGTCGATTTTGACCCTTGATATTTCAGATATGTTGTCAAAATGTTTCCCCAAATGGGATCTATATTTTCATTCGGATCAGCGTCGAGATTCAGTAAACTTTCAATCACTGCTATGTTTCCTTTAGCTACAGCCAAGCTTAAATACGAATGGCCATAAAGCAACACCTTCTCAGATAAAGGATAAATTATTGCACAGATTTGTTTGAGGATCTAAAACAAACACAATGAGATAATACGTTCAGTGCTATTTACATTTTTAAAATACCTCTTTGTTTTTTATTTTCAGGACATCTGAATGTAAACAGAGACAGTGCATCGGATTTATTCCAACTATTTCAAAATTTGTTTTGAATTGACCGTGATGGAAGAATTCCAATTCTTTTTCCCAAAAGTTACACTATATCACCAGATCACAAGTGATGTTAAATCATTATTCAAAAACATATTCTAGCCAAACATACATTCGTCCTTGTATTTGGGTTAATTCCATATTCTAAAAGACGTTTCACCATGTTGGGAAATACAGGTTTTGGTTGCAACAAGCATAATATGTGAAGAGCCGTCAGTTCACCTTCCTGTAAATTCTCATCATTGATCATTTTAATTATTAGGATTGCTTTGTGATTTTTTTAATTTTTAAAGGTGTTAGGCTAGGATAACCTCTTGGCTCAACCTTTGCTCTGTATCCACTCCTGCCTTAAGGATCATTTCTAAAATTTGTTCGTTTTCTGTGTATATAGCTAATATTAATGAACCACATGGTACAGGCGATAAGTTAACATTTGCTCCGACCTCTATTATTGTTTTTATTGTTTCAGTTATTTGATTGAACCTAAAACATTTTATTATTTTTACAGTGTTTAAGGTTTCCTTTTATATATATTTAAAAAAAATCAGTTGATATCATTAGTTTTCTTCCTCACTTTTCTATTTCGGTTATTTTGATTTTATCGGCTGAAGAACTTATGTCACCTGGTGTTGCGATCACAGCTTGATGCGGATAAGGGAAGTGAAAAATATATCGTTGTGGATTGGACACTTCAGCTGAAATTTTCAACATTAGTTTACTACTGCTCGTCCCAAATTAAATTTGAACATCTACACAAAGATAAAAAGAAGAAAAAATACAGTAAACATTCTGTCTCTGAGCAGAAAGAAGAAAAGTAAACAACAGAAGACAAGTCATTTTGGTGTCCGAGTTTTGTATTTACCGCACTGTGGTTCTGGGTCTGCGCCCCAGCAAAGCCCATGGAATTTTAATTGAGAATAATTTGAAAATATTATTTTATAATGGTTCAACTTCTCATTCATGCATGGGTTGGATGTTAAGCTCTCCTGTATGGATTACTTTCTTTTACCAACAAAAGAGAAGATTAATGTTACTAAGGCCTGTTTCACACAAGGTAGTTTCAACCAGTTGAACAGGGGGTGTCTAAGAATGTAGCCAGGTGAAACCACTCCCCCTTCAAACGCTATCAACTTGTCCACCTAGGCAGGTAGAGGCAATGTTTGGGCACACTGCATTAACTAGTTGAGAGTCAATGCAACTTGAATCAACTAAAATTGCCTCATGTGAAACTAACCTAAGTAAACTAAAATAATAACTAATAATCTTGCTTTCAATACTTTTCTTTCATATTTTTCACAATTAAAAAGCCATGAGCTATGTCTGGATGTCAATTATGAGACTGTCATCCTAACTACTCGGCCACTACAGTCCCCATTCAATGTCACTATTTTAGTGTAATTTGTTTTTACTTTAAATTTGCAAAGGAAATATACTTTACTACTTACACCCTTGCAGTTCATCGATAAATTCAATAATACTATCTTGTTTCACTTTTTTAGCGCATTTCATCCACACTTTCACTTGGTCTGCAATTAATTGAAAATAAAAGCTTAATTGAAAAGTAAAAGAATATCGGACAATGCATTACGTCCAAGACTGAAAGAACTTGGTGAAAGAAATGTTTCCCCCCAGTCAGAAACACTATTTAATATTGCCAGATATCGAGTCAACGAATGGTTTAAGGCATTGAACCCTTCGTCATTTACGGTGTTGATGTCGGCACCGAAAATCATGAGGAGTGTTATCATGTCGGTATCATCATTGGCCTGAATTTTTATAAAGTCATTGTTTGTAAAAGGCTTTAGAATTTTATACTTACAGCTGCTCGAAGCACACACGAATTCCCTTTGTTGTCGCTCACATTGATATTGAGGCGGTATGTGTTCATCAAATCGGCAACTTTTAGCAAATCACCAGTCGAACAGGCTGTAAGCAGTTCAATGCAAGCCTTTTCAATTAATCCTTGTTCTGAGAAAAAATTCCTTCTCGAGCAAAGGATATGTTCGATTTCTATTTGGGAGAGTTTCTGGTAGAAAAAGCTTTGAATTATTATTTTTTAAAATATTTTATTAGACTTAATAATCATTGTGAAAAGTAAAATTAAAATTCACACATTTATGAAATAAAAAATATTAGTTTTGTGAAATTTAGTTTTTGGGGTCTCTGGGATGATTAACTTGTTATTTGATCATTTCTGATAATCTTGGTATGCCAGGAACATTCTGACTTCATGACATCTTCTACCATTACATTAAATGTACAAACCCACCACTGAAGACAGTCAGAAGTTGGCTCATCTGACTGACGAAAGCTGGGATAGTCAGACCCCTTATAAGTTTACAGAGGGAACAACAGAAAATATTTAAGCATTAAATTATTATAGTATTCAAAGTATTACCTACTTAAATTCACTAATTTCGTGGTCCACTTGACCAATTAATATATTACAATTAATTAAGGTTTTTTGTTGAGATAAAAAAGTCAATGGCACGAGCGGGATTCGAACCCCGGGATTGAAAATGGCAAAAAGGAGGGAAAATTCAAAAAGGTGTGGTTGAGATGGGAGGTTGGTGTCCGAGTGGATCGAGGTCACGATAGATCAAGTGGTAGAGCACCAGCGTATCAAGCTGAAGATCGTGGTTCGAATCCCGCTTGTGCCATTGACTTTTTTATCTTAACAAAAAACCTTAATTAATTGTAATATATTACCTACTTATGAGCAAGTGTCTTAATTGCACTAAAAATGATTTGTTTTGTTGAAAATTTAAAAGCCCCAAGCCTTATTTTTCAAAAATTGCCTTTTTGCTAGGATATAATTTTGTGATTTTGTTTTACTTCTGGTTTGAAATTTTTTTTTACCTCGTATTTTCTGTTTAAAAATGAATGCTTCAGTACATCAACCATAAAGTCAGAATTATTCCAAGCTAATATGTAAGATGGATCACTTCTTATGCTTGTGTCTGATGTATGTTTATCAATTGACTGTAATAGTTCTTCACTTTCTGATTTATCCAAGTGTCGTTTTGAACTTGTTTTTTCTCCTGGTTTTTTAAATGTAATACGCCTCCGCATAGACTTGGACGAGACTTTTGTTTCTTGTTTCTTTATTTGTACATTTTCTTTGTTTTTTCGTATAGTTGACTTTGGTTTTTTTGATTTGAATTTGGAAGCAAGACTTTGTGAATGCAAAAATCCTATTACATGAATAATTAATTACTCAATCTACTTCTGTATTTTTAAATATACTTTACCTGAAATGCTATCTTCTGAGTCCTCAATTGTAAGTTTCAATTGTGACGACTCACTTTTTGCCAATGGATTAATTTTTAAATCAGCTTTGGTCTGAACTTTGCCTTTTTTGTTTTGTAATTTGAATTTGAACTTCACCTCATCATCGGTCATGGATTGCAACTTTTTTTCTGACCTTAATTTTGTATTTGAAGTCATGATGCTGTTTTTACTGTTAAGCTACAATTTAAACTTTTCACAGCAGTTCAATTTGCATAATAAATAAGTAAAAACTAGAATACTTACACTTGTGCTACTGAACTTGGAAATTAATGTGAATAAATTGCTAAGATCATCGATAAAAGCATTTTCATAATCTGAAGTATTAAACAGTGGACTGTCAGTATTGAGAGCATGTGGCGAATACATGGAGTCGACTGTTCTATTTGATAAATTGTAATTTTTAATTAAAAAATGTGTGCAGTATTGTTCTTCCTGAAATACAAGATTAAAATGTGAGTTTAGGTAATTATGTGCAAAATCACTTACATATATTTCTTAAACATTTCTTTCTTGTATTGTTTTTCTAATTTTTTGAGGATTTGCCCTTGGCTCAAAATTATATTTTTAAACTTACAAAGTTCAAAATACGTTTGTAAAATTACTACTTGTGCTACTTGGACAAGAGGTCAAACCACTTTACAATTTTTTTAAAGCTGTCAGGCTTGAAGCATAAAATCGCTGGCATGGCAAATACCCTAACTGCTCGATTTCCGTGGTCCTCATCTTTTGTTAGTATTCATGTTCATTTCGCCTGCTATCATTTTGTTTAATTTTCATATTTTTAGAAGTTCTATTTAATTTTTTATTTATTTAATTGAAAATCCCCTTGGAGGTCTATGGGTGAACTTACGATTTGGTCGTTTCCCATTATTTCAGTTTGTTTATCCTCGCTGTTTTGGTAAACTCCCTCACACCTATGTAATAAACCAGATACTAAAAAAGAATGTGAAAGAGAGAAAAACACCTTTAAGAACAGCACAGATGGATCTAGATCATAAAGGTACAGGGGTTGGAATATTCAGTCCTGGAACCATGTACTCGGAACCCATGGGAGGTCTACACAATCAACAGATGTAATCAATTCAACTTAATTAAAGGGTACAAAAACAAGAACATAGCTATCATGTCAGATAGCAGCCAGTACTAAGCTCAAATATCATTAGTTCAAAGATGGTGTTGAACTGCAAAACCAACTAAATATATTAGGTTTGCACAACAAAGTCATCCTGTGCTGGGTCCAAGGACATGAGTAGAAGGCAACGAGAAAGCGGACACCCTTACAAGAAAAGGGGCTGCTGTACCGCTGATAGGACCCGAACCCTTCTGTTGCATAGAAACCTACACTATCAATGAGTACATCAGACAGAAGGGTAAATAGATGAGGGAACAATGGAACTCATTTATTGGACACAAACAATCCAAGAACCTCCTAACAAAGTTTGGAAGAAAACAATTAATACAGTGTATCAAGACAGCAGGAAAAACCTGCAAATCCTAACAAGGTTCTTAACAGGACATTGCAACTAGATGGACATTTAAAGAAGTTGGCATAAACCATCATGGCATGTGCAGTTTCTGCTACAGGAAGTGCTTTGGGACTTACAATGTAACCGTAGAAGAAATTCAACCACTGAAACTGAGCCTACTAATAAAATTCCTTGCTGAATTAGGACTCACCCATGTGCTATATGTACAGAATGGGGGATACAACATGCTCTTAAGGGGCCCTAATACACATCCTGATTAATACATCTACATCTACACACCTACTCTCATCTTAAAGTACTTCCTGCCCGACTGTTGGTTAAAAGTAAGTTGTTTCATGTACAAGCCAATCAAAGTCAGCATTTTGCAAGGCAGTATCTTAGGACCAATCTTTTATACAATGTACACTAGCGATGTACCTATACATTTTAAACTCCGAAATCCTATGTGGACACCACAATGTCCACATACTCTGACCCTACTCTACCCAAAGCTCATAACGGTCTTGTATCACCAGTGCATATAAACAAGACAATCCCTATATCTAAGCAGATTTGTTACATTGGGCTTTACTTGGATATCTGACTTAAATGAAACTCACATGCAAGACTAGCTCTGTTTCAGATAAGGCAATTTGGTTGTTTCTATTAAGTTGCCTGGTAGACTCTCAACACGTAGACCACCATGTGAAGGGGGTTTCAACTTAAAGGGTTTTTCACACCAGGGAACTTGTAGAATCATAATTCTCTTCCCAATGGGCTGTTAGTACAATATTAGAATCTGAAGAAGAAGGAGCACTTCTAGTGCTTGCTCTTCTTCTATAAGAAAAGCAAACTAGAGGAAAACCAGTCAAAAAAAATTTGGGTTCATTTGTTGTTACCAAATCGGGAAACAGATGCTTTCTCACTTCTCCCTCCAAGTTCCATTCTTAATTTTGTTGTTTTACTCCTCACACTTCATGTCCCATATCAAGTGTATAACTTGATTTTCTGAATTTCTCAGATTTTCTGAATTTCTCCAGTTCAAACTTGCAATTGTAATGCTTTCTATGGTGAACTCAGTTGATTCAGAGTGACAAATACCGAGTTGGGTCTTTTGAGTTAAGAATCAGTGGGGATGAGAACATAAGCAGTGTGCCTGCTGGCCACAACCTAGGCAGATGAGAAAGATTGCATGTGAAGGGGTCCGGGGTGGTTCCCAAACATTTGCTACATGATTTCACTCCTTGACATCCTTCCATTTGACTAGTTGAATCAATTAATTGCCTCATCTGAAAGAGGCCTAAAAAAATAGGACAACTCAAACTTTTACCAAATCTACGATCGAGTCAAGCTGTGGGAATTGGCCACATCCTCCACCATCCAATATATCCAATCCTTTCAATACATAGTCCTCTGTTGCATCCTTGACCCTCTTTACTATAGCGCCAATCAAATGAATCCTTGGATGGAATTTGGAATTCCTTTAGTATATCTGATCCAAACACATTTCCACAATTTGTACTCTTAAGTAATCCTCCCACCCTAACCCCATCAGCCCTTCCTCAACAAACCACCTTTGTAAACCTCTACGTCATATAAACCAACGATGGCCTCATGTCCTCCTATCCAGACCGTCTAGTCTTAACTAAACAAATGAGAATTTGAGTACTAGCTATCTTCTCTCTCTCACCATCTCATAGTCTTACAGATCTCTCAAATTTGCATATTTCATCTACTAATTGCTCAATGTACATTTTTTGTACTGATAGAATACATAAGTAAATAAATAAAAAATGTGTTTAAAAATATATTAATTATAACACGCTGTATCTGGTGTAAGGGGGTACGAACGGGTACTATGCGCCTCCAATAGCCTCTAATACCCAACTCCGACTTTCCACCTTCACGAAGCTTATGCGGGTGTACCCTGTTAACTAACAAACGGAAAGAGGGGTATGGAGGGACAGGAGCTGGACCTGACACCTCCTAATCCTAAACCCAACACCTACCCCTCTTCCCACCCCACACCTTATCCTGGTCCCACTCTCCAGCCCAAATCCAAGGTGTTATGCGATCCGTGCCGATGGATGAATGGCACAGGGGTAACTGTGCCAATAACGGAGCCTCAAGGGCACCAGGCGACACCCTTGAGTAATTAGCCTTACACCGGAGAGAGGGCTCCTCCGGTGCGGACCTTTAGATCCCTCTCACTCGTGGGAACTACATGGAAAAACCTACAGTACAAAACAAAACACCGGGGGAACCTGTAAAGGAAGACCCCAAAAACCAACCGATGGAAATTGAAGGGGGCCCCGAACCCTCTCCAATTCCCATAAACGAAGAGCTAGAAGACAATCTTCTTGCGTCACCTTCTGCAGATGTGGGGGGTCTTCAGGAAAAAAACCCAGAAGGCGAAACCACTCCAATGGAGGTGGCGGAGAAGATTGAGGAACTACGTCTACAACCCCAAAGAATATCTGGGGCACAAAGACGCAAAATGGCCATACACAGGGCCAAACAACGGGGGGAGCCTATCCTAAAAAGAACCAGGAAAGGAAGACAAAACCCTAATGTAAAACCCCGGATTCTGACACCAGGGCAAACCACGGGAAGTGTTGACCCCAAAAAACCGGGACCAACACCAACCAAAAGTGGCAAAAGGGGCAGGTCACTGGGTAGCACCCCATCATCAAGTGGAAGTGCTCCTAGGACATGCCCCAAAAAGAGCAAAACTGGGGGAGGCGGTGTGGAGCGGGCCATCCACCCCAACATGGTTGGGGGGGAGGACTCTGAGACATACCAACAAGCCCTCAAGGCGCTTAAAATGGCCGTGGTGTTGGAAGAATACCCGGAAAAGGAATTAACAACCGATCAGGGCAGAACCGTTCAGCGGGCCATCCTGGCTGAGGTCTGGAAGAGCAAAAACTCCCAGGGACCTCAGTTCAGGAATGGATATGTTGAGAAGGGAGCGGTCCTGATAACTTGTGAAAATCAAAGTGCCAAGGAATGGCTCATGGCTACGGTGCCTACCATCCACCCATGGGAAGGGGCAAACCTTAGGGTAGGCCCCTATAGAGAAATTATTAAAACCACTAGGGTGGCCATGTGGGTGCCGGACCCTGACCTTCTGGGCACTACGAACGCTACCACCATTCTCGGGCTGATGGAGTCCCAAAACCCAGGTATTAATACCGGGAAATGGAGAGTCATCAGCCAGAGGATAGAAGACAAAGGAAAAAGTCTAATCCTGGTGGTTGACATTGACGATGTATCCTTTGGGAATCTGAACAAAGCCAACTTAAAACTATACCTTGGCTTTGCGATGATAAACCTAAGGGTCATCAGAAAAGCAACCAACACTGATGCTGAGGGTGCTTCAAGCAAACCTCCAGCACAGTAAGGCAGCAACACTTACGCTTTGTCGTGTGGTTAAGGAGAAAAACATCGACGTAGCCCTTATCCAAGAACCCTGGCTAGTAAAAGGCAGAGTAGCCGGGCTGGGAGATAGAGGGAAAAGAGTCATATATGACCACACGCAACAAAACGTAAGAACATGCATTTTAATTAAAAATGAACTACAATGCCTAATCACTTATGAGCTCTGTTCTAGGGACCAAACAGCAATTAGGCTAAACTACATGAAGGAAGGAGTTAAGATGGACGTGATGATGGCCTCAACTTACATGCCTTATGACTCACCGGGACCTCCACCACCAATAGAAACTGAGGACCTGGTACAGTACTGCAGGCACAAAAACCTACAGTTGATCATTGGAGCTGATGCAAACTCACACAATGAGGTATGGAACAGCACAAACACTAACAAAAGAGGTGAGAAGCTTTTAGAATTCTTAATAACTAATGATTTAAGTATTATTAACAAAGGCTCTGAACCAACTTTTGTAACTAACAGACGGCAGGAAGTTATTGACGTTACTCTTGCCACCCGCTGTATTTCGAACCGGATAGTGAATTGGGCGGTCTCTGAGGAGATATCTAACTCAGACCACCGACACATATACATGGAAATCACACAAGTTGATAAGACATGTAAAGTGGGTCGGAACCCCCGAAACACGGACTGGGGGAAGTACAGCGGGTTGCTGGAGGGAAGTGCACTAACTTCAATAGCTAATATTAAAAGCACCCTAGATATTGAGCTAACCTCTACACAAATACAAGAAGCCATAATAAACTCATATCATGAAGCCTGCCCACAAACCACCTACAACAACGGGAAAAAAGTTTGCTGGTGGAATGATAACCTGGCGGCACTAAGAAAGAAAACTCGCAAACTTTGGAATAGAGCGAAAAAAACGGGGAATACTGAAGAATACAGTAAAACCCTAACAGAATACAATAGGGAAATAAAAAAGGCGAAACAGGAATCGTGGAGGAAATATTGCAAAGAAATCGAAAACATCACAGAGGCAAGCAGACTCCACAAAATCCTCGCCAAAGACCCTATAAACCCCATCGGAACAATAAAAAAACCAGATGGAAAACACACACAAACCGGAAAGGAAACATTAGAAACCCTAATAAGAACGCACTTTCCGGAATCCAAAATTATTACCAACCTGGAAATAAAGGAGAGCGCTGAACCCGCCAAAGGCTACAAAGCCATAAGGGAAGATTGGCAAATAGCCAAAACAGTAATCACCTATGACAAGATTGAATGGGCTATAGAAAACTTTAGCCCATTCAAATCTCCAGGAATAGACGGAATATATCCAGTACTACTACAAAAGGGAAAAACTATACTAATCCCCCTACTTGTAAAAATATACAGAAGCTGCCTAGCAATGGGATATATCCCAAGCATATGGAGAACTGTAAAAGTAGTTTTCATTCCTAAAGCTGCTCGGAATAACTACACAGATGCAAAATCGTATAGACCGATTAGTCTAACATCCTTTCTACTCAAGACACTTGAAAGGCTGGTTGAAAAACATGTACGGGGCAGCTCTTTACAAGCAAAACCCCTTCATAAACATCAACATGCCTATCAGAAAGGAACATCGTGTGAATCAGCACTACATCAACTAACAATACAGATAGAGGATTCACTGAACAACCAAGAAACAGCATTAGGAACCTTCTTGGACATCGAAGGAGCATTTGACAACACTCCTTTCGAAGCAATGGTTACATCACTCAAACAGCGAGGAACAGACGAAACCTGCTGTAGATGGATAGAATCAATGCTAAAAAGCAGGAAAGTGCAGGTCTCCATGTTCCACGAAAAAGTAGAAGCAGTGGTGGCGAGGGGGTGTCCACAGGGAGGAATACTCTCGCCTCTGCTGTGGAATGTGGTAGTGGACAGCCTCATATGCGAACTAAATGAAAGAGGAATTTATACCCAAGGCTATGCAGATGACATTGTCATACTAGTCAGGGGAAAATTCAACTCAACATTAAAAGAGCTCACCCAAAGAGCACTAAACCTGGTGGAACAATGGTGCTTAAAGCGGGGACTTAAAGTAAACCCTTCAAAAACTACCTTAATTGCTTTCACCAAGAAAAGAAATATAGAAATACAAGGATTACGCTTCTATAATGAAATGCTGCTTTTAAAAAATGAGGTCAAATATCTAGGAATAATCTTTGACAAGAAACTAACCTGGAATCCTCACTTGCAACATACAGTAGCAAAAAGTAAAATATCGCTAATGACCACAAGAAGGACCCTAGGCAAATCCTGGGGACTAAAACCGAAAATGGCCTATTGGCTATATACGGCAGTAATAAGACCCAGAATAACCTACGGATCACTAATCTGGTGGAACAAAGCTCAACAAAAAGTAGCTACCCAAACATTAGGCAGCTTACAAAGATTAGCAAACCTATGTATCACAGGGGCGATGAGAACAACCCCTACAAACGCATTAGAAACCTTGCTAAACCTACCTCCACTTGAAATATTCATACAAGGAGAGGCTAGGAAAAGCTCATTTAGGCTCCAAAAACAATTAAATTGGAAAGGAACCAAACAATTCGGGCATACAACCATAATCAATAAAATCAGACACCCATTATTAGAAATGGGGACTGACTACATGATCCCGGAAACAATCTTCACAACTTCCTATAAAGTCTCAACAGACTATAAAGGAGAGGAAGAACACAGGAAAGCACCAGATACAATGACATGGTATACGGATGGCTCCAAAACAAACGAAGGAACCGGATCAGGCGTTTTCTGTACAAGCCCAAAATATGAGCAATCAAACTCATTAGGGAAGTATACTTCGGTCTTTCAAGCAGAAATACATGCCATCAATGCTTGTGTCCTGGAAAATCTCAAAAGAGGTTACACTGACAAAAAAATCCTCATAAGATCAGACAGTCAAGCAGCTATTAAAGCACTGGCATGTAAAAGAATTACATCAAAACTAGTCAGTGAATGTATCCAAAATCTCCAAAACCTGGGAGAACACAACAACCTGATGATATCTTGGGTGCCAGGGCACAGGGGAATTCTGGGTAACGAAGAGGCGGACAAACTGGCCAGAAGAGGATCTGCAAGACCATACATAGGCCCCGAACCTATCCTTGGGATAACAAAAACAAACATAGATTCCTCCATCGCAGAATGGATCCAAACAAAACAAAGAGAGAAGTGGATAAACTCTAGCGGTGCTAGACATAGTAAACTTATGCTGAAACAACCCTCACCAAAATTGGCAAAAACACTGCTGCAATTGGAGAGGGCAAAACTCAGAGGAGTGGTGGGACTACTAACCGGTCACTGGTATCTGAGAAAACATCTACACAACATGGGTATATACAGCGATGACCCCATTTGCAGATTATGTAATGAGGAGGAGGAAACAGCCACTCATATCATCTTCGAATGCGAAGCAACAGCTCAATGGAGGTTTAACCTAGCGTACGAAAAAGACACAGGGAACCAAATTGCAGCAATAACAGTCAATGACTTGATGCTTCTGAGAAGAAGGATTGAGTCTATTGACTAAACTAGGGAACTGGGAAGGTACAATAAGCCAGAAGGCTGCAGTGCCCGGGGAGTGCAAACCCCGCTTCCTAGTATCCTTTTCTACCATACCATACCATACCATACCATCTGGTGTAAGACTATTATTGATTTTATTCTAGCCCAACAATTTTGAGATGCATCAGGAATTACAAAAAAATACAGTAAAAGAACTTTGGTATTCAATAAAACATCTAAAAACTTACAGGAGACACTGGGATCCATTTTTTAAATCTTGAAACTTTAATTTTGTTTATGTTCGTCGTTCCTAATTCGTTCATTTTTCCGACTTCGTGCACAAGGCGAATCAACGCATTCCCATACCAGAATCCCACATTGGATAGGCCGTTACAGTCCTGCAACACTCCTGGTCCAAACGGTATGTTGTGCTTATACAATCCCTAAAAGTACTCTTTTAAAATTATTTTTATGAGGATGGTAAATTAATGATTAACAGTACTCACTTGGAAGATAGAGTTGTCTTCAAATGAAAGGATGCCATAGCAATGTTTCTTATTTACATTGAATACACCTTCGTAGGACCATTTGGAGCCAAACAACCTTTCATTCTTGTAAATTCCGATGCCATGGTAGAAGTCATTTTTAAAATTTCCATAATAGCTTTCCTTTCCCTAATTCAAGATTTCTTATTAAAATATTTATCCTGAATCATGAATTGTAAGGGTTTGGCTGTTATTCTCTCTGAACAGATTACATCACTGTTTCTAAATTTCAGACTTCAGAAAGTACTTACTGATTTTGGAAATAAGGTCTCTATGCCTTGGCCGTTCCTTAGAAAATTTTCGTCTAACTCTCCTTCGTAACAATAATGGCTTCCTCTAGTTCTTGCATACATTTGGCTTGAATCTGGCTTTTTAATACACTTAAACAATTTCCCTCGTACTTTATATAAAATAAGAAATGCAAGCGCTTCCAAAGTGGAACTTTAATTTTTTCATTGCCACATGCAAATTGGAGGTTTTAAGAGAAAAAAACACCTGAACAAAAATTGACTGTACATTTTATTTTATAGTATTTACATTTTTAGGTATTTTTTTATAACAATGGTTGTGTAATTTGATTTTCAAATCAATGATGACATATTATGCATCGGAAGCATCCGCCAGATTTTCCAGATTCGAAAAACATGTAATCCTGCAATAAGAAAACATGTATTCTTCCATTCACATTGAAATTTTTTACCAGTATGCTTTTATTTACCAGTATAATTCCACACACTAACAAAAGTGCTTTATGGATTGTGTTTGATCTACGGGGAAACGTAACTGTCAGCTTGTAATTCATTACGCTCGCATCCCAAGCTTGGCCAATCTGTCCCACCTGGTCACAGTTTTTATCTAAGATCTTTAAAATAACAATCGTACAATGGTAAATAATTCAATCGAGTATTGATAAAATATAAGATAAGGCACCTGAAACGTAGATTCTTTGAATATAGGACATATGCACTCTGCTGGACCCAGCACAATGAATATAAGATTGTCATCTGAATCTTTAATGAAGAGAGTCGTTTTAAAAGGTGTCCATTGTTGATGTATGCTTCCAATGAAGTTAAAATTTGAAATATATACCTTAATTCTCTGAAACAAATCATATATTGACAATATTTTTGTCCTAGGACTTCTGATTAGAAGGGTTGGTTGCATAAGGAAACAAATTTATGATTGGACATTTCAAGATAAAAATCATTTGAGATTTTCTCCTTTGGTCGCAAGGCGATGTACCTGTTTGATCCTTACCGATCGTCTTGGTCTACCTATACTTGCTGGTTTGGTTGTTAAAAGCATTTCAGCATTTTGCCATCTTCACTGTGTCAGTTACAGGCAACGCGTTTGACAGACCAACCCATTGAAGATAAGGAGACAGAGGTGATTAGTAAGGATCAAATTACGTTTCAAGAATATTAGTACATGTTACAATAATATGTCTTATTTTCATTATAATTAGTACTTCTTGCTTTCAAAATTTTAATTATATAATAAAAATATTAGGGATGAGCAATTGGTTAAAAAAAAGTTGATTCCTTTATGAGATTTTTTGGGTGGTCTGCAGAGTTACAAACAAAAATTTGGTCATTACTAATCATGTCTACCTCTCCTCACTGTGTTGGTCTGTTGAGGCTAGAGACCCTGTGGATAGGCAGACCAAAATGATCTGTAATGACAAAATTACTTAGTCCCTTGTTCAAGCTTTCAGAAAATATGCCCTTTCATCAACTGTAATTAATAATTTAAAAAGTTTACAATGGTGAGAATCTTTTAGCAATGTTAAAACAAATTAAACATTGAGATAATTTTGCACCAGCTCATCTACAGACAGATGATGTGGACGTATTTCATGAAAACGTAGTTTTCTTTCTAATTGCCTTGGTTTTAATATGACAGTTTTAGTTATGTTACCTGGAGCAAGCATCCACATGAACAGGATGTAAAAGCGAGCTGCTTTGTAAAATGAATAGCTTCTTCTTGCGACCTGTCGTACAGTGTGAACTTCAGTTTACGCCTCGATGAGCAAAACAGCCTTTGAAGCATTGTTGACTCTTCTATACCTCCGTATAGTATGTCGCCATTGCTCTTGATAAAATATCTATTTTCGGACTGCACAATCGTCAATACTGGAAGCCAATTGATTTAATAATTTATTTGTATTTATTGTCTAATCTGCCGCCGACTTACAGTCTTGGAGTTCGTAAGTTTGCTCTATTGTCACCTCATCGACATCAAACAACAATCTCAGTCCACTGAAAGGGCCAGAACTCTCGAGCGATCTGCCAACTACAATAAATGAAAATTTGATTATATGAATTTATTTAACATTTATTAAATTTTTTTACCTGTAGAAATGGGGAGATGTATCTGGTTGCTTGTGTCTTCTAGAAATAAAAGCATAATTGTGGTGACTGTATTGTTTAATTTGCGTTTAAAAAAACTGTTAATATCTTTTATCTTGCTGTTAAAATGAATTAATATTTTCCTAAATTATAAAAAATGTAATATTTGAATTTATTTTTAGACCCATTGCAATATATTCAATTTGTTAAAAATTTAAATTGCATACTTGATTGAAAATAGAGTTATTAATTAAATCAATTTTATTAATTTGTCTACCAGTTAACAAATAGGCATTATTAAATTAGAAGCAATGGCAGGTGTGTGTTTTTTGTTGAGATATCAAATGTTTACCTCGTGGCTGAGTGGTAATAATTGATCGCTGGTCAAATATTGGAATGTCCCCATCTGGCAGTAAAGCATATCGTTAATAAAATTACCTCGTAATAAATAAACATTGAACTTTAACTGACCGTCGAATGTAAAATCATCATCCAGGTGTGGCGGATTTAAAATGTTCATACCAGACATTATTAAACACTGTCTAACGTTATCTTTCTACCTGCACTTATCTTGGCTGTTATTATCTGAAAAATGATGACATCACATAGAGGATGGCATTAAATTGTCGCTCTAATTTATAAATTAATTTCGTGGCACTTATACCCACTTGCAAAATTTTGTTACAATAACAAGGGATATAATCCGAATCACTTTTGGTACAAACTATTCTTTTTGCAATAAACTTTATAGACTTTTATTATTGATATTTTGTTGTACAGTGCACAAAGTAATATACAAAAAGCTTAACAAAAATAAAATTCAATTAAAAATAAAATCAGCAAACAACTTATTTTTCAAAATAAGCATAAAAGTCATTCTTGAACCTGTTGTTATTATTAAATTAGTAATTTTGTTAAATTGTTTATTATTATTTATCCATATATGTATTTAATAGCCAAAATTGACCATATTAATTATATTCACTAATTTCGTGGTCCGCTTGACCAATTAATACATTACAATTAATTAAGGCATTAAAAATGGCAAAAAGGAGGGAAAATTCAAAAGGTGGGGTTGAGATGGGAAGTTGGTGTCCTAGTGGATCGAGGTCACGATAGCTCAGGTGGTAGAGCAGCGGCGTATCTAGCCGAAGATCGTGAGTTCGAATCCCGCTCGTGCCATTAACTTTTTTTCATCTCAACTAAAAACCTTAATTAATTGTAACATATTAATTATTTTAATTAATTCAATTAATTATGCTTTTTATATAATTAATTAATACAATATTTATTATTAATTCAATTAATTATAGTTTAATCTAAAGTTTTAGTTGAGATGAAAAAGCTAGTGTCACGAGCACGATTCGAACCTGCAACCTTTGGCTCAATATGCCGCTGCTCTAACCACTTGTGCTATCATGACTTCATTCCACTCGGACATCAACTCCTCATCTCAACCTTCAAACAATTTTCCCTCTTTTTGCCATATTTTCAAATTCAAAATGACAAACTATTCGTTGGATGTACTATTTCTAATTGAAAAAACATGGACCATGCCAAGATTCTAATCCAGGACTGCTTGTGTGGCAAATAGGATTCAGAAACCTTAATCATTCAGCTACCACAGTCGAACGGTAGAAATATTAGCCACAAGAGATGTATGGGGTTCTTTTCTTTTTCTTTCTCTACCTGGGGCTGCCACTGTACCGTTGTTTGCAGGGGCTTTGTACTAGTGGAGGTCGGCTATACCACTGACATGTACAAACTTTAATGCTTAATGACCAATAAGGTCGCAGACTTAAAAAAAATGAAATAAAATTTGGATAATTTTACTAATGGCCAGAGAAGAAATTAACCCTTGCCTCCAGTATTGCCTCCTAGGATTTATTTAATCTAAATGATTATTCTTTGTACTGAATCTTTTTTTAATGCAAATTTTACAATTTATATTTAAATATCAATAAATTATCAAAAAGAACTCGTTTTGATGTAAAATATTATTTACAGTGGTTAGTTTTTGAAACTAAATACTAATTTTAGCTTCCAGTTTAATACTTTTATTTTTCTCTTGTAAGTACCAATCATGTAATTTCAAGTCTTGAATAAAATTAATATTCTATCTTTTATTGATATTCACCAATTTGTAATGCTATAATAGTATGAATATATTATAACTACGAATTAATGTTAATGTACATGTTAAACCGGCACTGAACCTGACTGTACTCGCAGGTTTTTGATGTTTCTCAAATGCGTTTCAGCTTTACACCGTCTTCAGCGAGGAAGACTGACCAAGTAAGCTGGTATAACATGTCTTTACTGACTTGCAGGCCTACACCTTCAACTTTTTGCCTTAGACTTTCTTGAATATTTAACTTTTGTTTTGCACAAATTACTAATTACTTTACTAATACTAGAAATACATAATTATAAATTAATAAAAATTAATAAAATGGACACAAGATAGACAACTATTAGTGTAAATGTACTTATTTGTGTAATTGTTGGCAGGTTCTCAGTGGAATATCCAGTACCCTGAGACCCACCAAACTTAGCTTAGGCCGTAGTAAGTGTATGTATGTACATTGTACATGAGTTGCAGAGCCTTTTCACCACGTGTGGAAAGGACAATTAAGAATGAGTTCCAGAAGCTCAATTAAAGATTGCCAGGCCCTCCTACTGGAGAGCCAAATTTTATGAATCAAAAATGTGAGGTTGGTAGATTATTTGCTATTCACAATCATCCAGAATTTGATTGTAACTCTTCAAAAAGATTGCAAACTAGTTTCATGAATTGAATCACAAAATTTGCAATTGATGAATGATAGGAAAAAATGTTAAACAGCAACAGCAGTTATATAATTTCCATAGACAAGGATCCAGAGGCAATTTTTTTCATATTCTTGCAATTCTAATTTAATTTGTGGGGGTAGTCAGTGTGTTAGATGTAGCTTGTAGATCCAATAATTTTAGTTCACCCACTGAAATTTTATTCACGCTCTTTGCTTTCCACAATAAATAAATATGATGTTATTGAAATATTTTGGCACTGGCTGATATGTAATCATAAAGCCATTAAAAAAATAATTTATTTGGTCTGTGGGTTGATGATCCTGTAATTTGGTCGATCAATGGCCTGCCTATCCTTGCTGGGTTCATCTGTCGTGACATGAAATGACATTTTGGCATCTTCAATTTGTGTCTGCTTATAGTGATGTTAATGTGCTATTTTGAAAACTTCCTTTGAAATGCGACCTGATGGAATCCCAGTGATATTTGTCAAAGTTTGCTCCTCATCGATTGCTTTGCCTCTAACCACTATTTTTCAAAGTTGTATTAGGGAAGGCGTCTTCCCTGAAAAAATTGACATATTCTCATAAGGTATCTATGTATAAGAAAGGTAATTTTCACTTGATTGATAATTACAGCCTGTTTGCAAATTTTCTGCCAAGTTGTTGGATTCTATTCTTGCAGAGGCCCTATGCATGACTTTTCGATCACATTAATCATTAATCAACATGATTTCTTAAGAGGCACATCCTAGTACCAATTTCATTATTATGATTTTATAGTTAATTCCCTTGAAAATCGAATTAGTGTTCACGCTGTATGTATAGATTTGTCCAAAGCCTTCGATAGAGTTGACATTGATATTTTTCTGTTTAAGTTGAAAATTCTTGAAGTAGGTGATACTTTTTTTAGAAGAAAAATAACTTTATTCTGGGACTGGTGTCCCCTTAGAATAATTTACATGACTTCTATGAAGTCACATAATTTAAAAAAAAAAGGAAAAAAAAAGATAGATAGAAATCGTGGCACAATGTATGCCAGTAAGGCGGGCCAGAAGAGAAAATTACGAGATATATTAAACAAAGACAAAAATAATAAATGTTATCGTGAGGTCTCTGCTTGGAGGGAGAGGAGGTGATTATAAAGATGGGATTTAAATGAGGAAAAGGAGGCAGCGTGACGAATAGATAGGGGAAGGGAGTTCCAGAGTTTAGGGGCTCGGATCAGAAAGGATCTTTCGAAGGTATGGGTTGTATGTTGCGGAAGGATAAGGTCGATTGGGGATGAGCGGGTTTTACGGGTGTGATGTGAGGAGTTGAATTGGAGGGATTGGATGATATAAGGAGGACGACGAGTGTGGATGGACTGGAAAAGAAAGCAACCTAGGAAATACTGGGCACTTTGGAGGGAGATGAAGTATCCCTTGATACTTTGTTATCCTTCATCAAATCATTTGTATCTGGTTGCTCTTTCTCTGTTTTCATTAATAGCTCAGTATTGGATAAGATTTCAATATTTTCTGATGTACCACAGGGTTCTCACTCTGGGCCCATATTATTTCTTGTTTATTTCAATGAAATATTTGGAATATTCAAGGACTGTAAGTTTTCTTTATTAGTGGAATGTCCATGTCTTCAGCTCATGATTGTGTCAGTTTAAAGGGAACTGGACTGCTTCATTAATTGGTGTGAGCAGAATCGCTTTCCGTTGAATAGTAACAAATGCAATGTAATTAAATTTACTAAAAATAACTTACCTCGTGACTTCGATTGTTTTGATTATTTCGTTTGATGGGCAGAGATTGGAAGAGATTGACGCTATCTCTGACCTTGGTGTTGTTTTCAACAGAAAGGGCGATTTCAGTGACCATTTTAAACCAATTCGAGGTAAGGCGCTATACAATCTTGGTTTTAAATACTAGGTTTTCTGGAGATTTTAAAAATGTCTCGGCAGTTAAAATATTACATCAATCCCTCGTGCGTAGCCATCTGAAATATGCAAATGTGTGGTCCCCTTTCCATGTCGGCGAGATAAGCGCCTTAGAAAAAGTACAAAGGAAAGCAACCAGGATAACAGCCTTCAGATTTGGTCTTGCAGATCTGAATTACTTGGAAAGATTGAACCGGCTTGGTGTAGAGTCACTTAGCTCCTGCTGTATTTCTGCTGATCTCATTTGGGTTTGGAAATTGTGGAACGGGGCCCTTGATATCCAAAACATATTTATCACTATGTGTGCCTCAGTGCCTACTAAGGAACCATAAATTGTTCTTTGCCCCACATTGCAGAACAGAATATGGTCTAAACTCCCCTCTACCAAAGATAATAAGATTGCTGAATCATTATTCCAATGAAATAGATGTTTTTCATGACTCTTGCACTGTTATAGTTGCATACATGCCATGAATCCTTAAGTGTTTGTGTGTTATTGTTTAATTACTCAATTGTTTTCTTTTTGTTATTTGCTTTTATTTACTACTCCTCTTGTAGATTCACTCTGTTGGAGTTATAAATTAATAAATAAAATGTGTATAATAAGCCAACCCAGTGAGGACCAAAATAATTGGTAAGGACCAGATTATCTTCTTATCTTTGTTTTTGATCCATTAGACAAAATGTCTTCTGTCATTAACAGTGGATTTCAGGTTTATCCAAAAAAATAAAGATAAATATTTGTTTTAAACATTATCAATTTTATTAAGGAATTTTGAAAAGGGTTTGATAAAATACCAAAGAGCAATTTGATCATAATGCCATCTAAAATATATTAATTTATATATATATACTTCCACAAAAAACATTCATAACTTTTTGAAATATACGTATATATAAGTTTATTGGCCAACCAGCCTGTGTAATCACCAGTACAATAAAATTTCTAATAATAAACCATTAAACTCAGTTTTATAGAAACAATGCATCTTTGTGTTTGTATTAATAATTTACTCAGAACAACAAAACTACTATCATGATAAAACATTCTAAACTTAAACATAACTTTCGAAAAATATATGTATATATTTCATTTTTAAGGTTAGTAAAAAAAATTAAAGTATTGAAAGGAAATTCTGCATTCGTACCTCAATTTTTATTTTCAATCACAGTCCATCAATCAGTGAAAAGACCTCTTTAGTCAACTGAATTTTTAATCACATTTCCTTTCAATTAAATATGCTTTGACAATTTGGTTTTTTCCATATTTATTAGGCCAGACTTGCTGATTTCAAGAAAATGAAACAAGGTCTTTATCCTACAAAATGTATTGTCTATTTACTTTACAACAGTTAAGCTGCCCCACCCGTCGGAGGTGCAAATGAATTGAAGTGTCGCAAGTGGAAAAATTTGCAATTTTTTTTCCAAAAACGGGAAAGTGTCGATATTGTCCATAAAAAGTGAATGTAAAAATTTGTGCTGTTTGGAAATAAATTAATAGAGGGGAAGGTCTAAAGAAAGATGGCACTTTTGAAAGCCCCTTGTTCCAAATAATAGTTGTTTCAATTGAGTGATTTTGTTATTTTAATTTCTTTTTTTTTCTCTATATATAATTTTTCTTCAACATCAACTGTAATTTCTACAAAGCATATTTTAAATATTGAACAAGTGGTCGGCCTTATAACATCATAAAAACCTACAAGTATCTTTTCAAGTTGCTTTCTCTTTTGTTCTGCAATTATAATATGCTTCAATTGGTAGTTGTATATAGACTACATAAAATTATTTGTACACAACAAAGAATTAATAAGGGGATTCAATTTTATAGCTTGGCCAAATATAAGAGCTAATAAACTTTAGTTTATACTGACAAATATTGTATACTTTTTTCTAATTCAAGTTCCATTGTCTTTATCACAATTATATCTAGCTTAACATGTAAAATTGCATACCTAAATTCTATACTAGTAGAATTTGATATCACTTTTATATATCCTTTAGTCTTTCCACTATAAATTTTTTTCTAGTCTACTTATCTTATGTATTCTAGGTGTGCTCATGCCACTTGTAATTTTTTTCTTGTCTCCTTTTTATTTCATTTTATTACACGTATAATTTAATTGTTTTACCATTTGACTTGAAGAAGATACTCGTAGATAAAGATGAAAAGGTGAATACACCGAACAACAAACATCAAAATGTATATGTGAGCTTGTACATTTAGAAGGCAGGGCCTTGGGTAAGAGGTAAAATAAAGGAAATGCTTCTACAACGCTAACTGCCTCTGGTTAATCATTATTTTATCGCTGCAGAGTAGCTACTGCTAGAAATTGTGCCAAGCAGGGATTTGACCTCCATGAGCAGACGGTCCCACCACGGGCCCGTTTTGCTATGTAGAGTACTCTCTTCGATTGTTCTAGGCAGGCACTGTCGTCATCACACATTTCCTCTGCCTCGTTAGCAAACGCTTCGTCACATTCTCTGGGAGAAGACGCTCTTAGTTCTGGCCCCTGTAATGACGGGTGGTAATTAATTTACACCTTCGATTTAAAGATAAGGTTACTTACACATAGATAACACATTTGATGAATGTTGCACAATGGAAGGAACACTTCTTGCCTGTCTCCGGCCATAAAACAGATCTGACGGCATCTCATTTCCAGCTCCTGGAGGACTGGACAGTTATCTACTTCCTCAACAACTGAAAAAGTTTCAAAATTTCATTTGCATACATAAAAGGGTATAATTTTTTTCACAGTTATGATAATAATTAATCAAGCTAATCGGCAAAGTACCAATTATTATATTGTACAGCAGAAGCTGCAAAGATATCGCCAAAAAAGTTTATTTTGTTGCTGAATATTATTTTGTCTTGGCATGCAATAAATCAAAAAGCTATTAGTTTTCCCTACAAAAATACAATACCAACTATAGATTATTACGTGTAAATTAGTAAAGACATTTTAAATTAATACCCTTGGTCGAAATCGATGAGATGGATGGATGAATTCTAGGCTTTAGTTCATTGGAGATATCATGAGATTCTTTTTTTTCTAGTTTTCCCTGTGTAGATTCAGCCTTTTCTTTCTTTTCATACTTGCCTGTAGGCTGAGAATGGTGATTAGGTGATAATTTTGGCATTGGAACAGCGTGGGATGGTGGTGCATTTGTCTTTTGCATCGCAATGCTAGTCTTGAATTCATTGAGAGCTCTACGCATTTTTTCTAAGCTGTATGCTGCCGCCAACTGGGCCATCACTTTGTCTTTGACTTCTTGAATTTCCTTACTGTCCCTCATTCCTTCATGAGCGCCGGTGTATTTGATGGCTTCATCTACAATCAAATCTTCCATGGCTCGCATTTTGCTGTCCATATCATCGGGCCGTTTCTTCTTACTGTAAGGGTTCATGTATGGCTTTGAGTACTGATCGACCATCCAGTCCATTGACTTTTTTTTTCTGTCATAGCCAAAATAGTCAGACCAGTTGATAGACTTTTTCTTGATTTCTACAGGTTTCGCCACACTAGCTTCAATCGTTTGTTCTTTTTGCCCTGGAGTCGTATGAGGCTGTTGAGTCGTGTTTGTTTCACTCTTATTATTGGAATCATCAAAGATATTATTAAGCTCAGCAGACACCTTAGGGTCGGTCTTTTTGTCACTTTTCTTTTTCCTTTCAAGGGGTTCTGAATAAGTCGAAGGAGAACGTTTGGTGAACCGTTTCTGGCCTTTGTAAGGATACCTCTCATCGAACAATGTGTCAGGATAGCGTTTATGGTGGTTAGAAAATTTAGACCTTTTGTTCCAACCGAAAGGGGAGTTGAAAAAGTCATATCCATTGTCGTAACTTCCTCCATACTGTCTTTTCCTATCTTCTTTATTGGCCAAGTACTCAAGGATTTCTGAAACGTCGGCTTCGGATATTTCCTCAGGGTCTTCTTCACCTTTGTACTTCTCCCAGACTTGATTTAGGACTGAAAGATAATCATTATTGTCGTCATTGCTGTATCTGTCATCAACATTTAAACCGCCATAGTTTCTGACTAGTGAGTGTGCATTCTGTATCCTTGTTTTATCGCGTTCCCTGAAAGGTGAGGGCATCACCGGGGCATCGTCCTCTTCAAACAGTCTTTGAATACCTTCTGGATCTCGCTCACGGAACACTGATGACCTCTTGAATTGAGAAGGAAACCTAAAAACATTCATTATTAGTAATAATTTATAAAAATCATAAAACATAAATATATAAAAAGTAAATTAGTTTAAAAAATATTGTTTATGATGAATTTCATAAAAGAACACAGATTAAAAATTTACCTTTCTCGTAATCCTCCCTCTTCAAGATAATGCATTAGCAATTTTTCTAATGCTTTGTTGTCGTCTTGTTCTTCATGAACCCCTAATTCTGGATAAGGCAGGGCTACGGGCTCAAACATTCTGACTGAGTTTGGAGATAACGATTTCTGATAGCCGTACCCAATGTCCTCAGGCTGTCCATCTAAAAAGACACAATTTTATAATTTAGATATCGATCATAAAATATTAATTAATACGAACCGTAAATATACGGCTGAGAATAGAAAACTGAGTGCGGCTGAGATATGTCCCTTTGTCGCCTTTGCACTGCATCAAGAGCTTGTCTCAATGAATCATCTGCTAATGTAGTGGCAATAATAGCCACAGTAATAACTCCTACAAACATCTATAAAAATAAATAAATAAAAGAAAATAGGACGATATATCCATGAAATAACGTAAACCCCCCCCCCATTGGAAAAAGATACGGCGTGAAATATATACAGTGCCTGAAATTCACAAGGGTAAAAATGGTTTAGTATAACACGAACCCCGTGTTTATGCACCATGAACTTTTTTTAATAGAAAGTCGATCAACCAAAACGGGTTATGTTCCGTCTTAAAACTCATCGCCTAATTTTACTGCCGGGTGGCCTAGCAGCTAAACTTATTTTAGGCAATAATCCAGTGGCTCGTAAGAAGGCGAACAGCTTGTCTATAATCGAGGGTTTGTCCTTAAGAATGTGACAGTTGTCTGTCCAGGCGGTGTTGTCTTCTGTGGCCTGGTCGTATTTAACACAATCCCCGATTACGTGTCTTACTGTTACAACTCCAAACATGTTTCGAAAATTCAATTCTCCAGCTATCATCGGTGAGCCTACAGTGCCCTATTCTCAGCCGAGTCAATATGGTTTCTTTCTGTTTTATTGCCCGGCAAGAAGAGTTCCACAGAACAACACACGGCATTATTTCCCTGAGTTTATTGTTATTTATTTCTGTCCATGCTTTTTTCCAAGTGTCTTTTTTCTAATGTATTTTACTAACCATCAACTTTAACCTCTATTTAGCAGTTATTTTTAGTATTTAGACCTCTACCTGTCGAAGCGGACTTAATTGATTGAAAATCGTTCGAAAAAAGGAGGAGGAATGGTGAACTTCTCCCTGTATTCCTCAGGAATGCAATATTGAATGGAACGGAAATAGCTGTCGCCTTCAATAAAATGTTCATGTTAATGGCGTGTTTTAAGCGTACTGAAGGAATCCGCTTTATCATGGGCGATATTATTGGTTTCTATCTGTTTTAACATATAGACATAATTACGTATATTTTTTTATCTTATTTTTAAATTAGGGGTAATCCAAGAACACATGGTTTTTATAAAGGTTAATTTATTCACATTTTTTCTTTCAGCGTTTCGGCCTATTTTTTTCTTTATCTGCCCATCATCAGGAAACCTCCAGCAGTCTCTCCTGCTATCCTATTGCGTTTTTTTTTCGCAAGGAAGCTATTCAATTGTCTCTCCTCAAAGGGGTTATAAAAAGTAAGTGAAAACTTAAAATGCGACTGTCCCGGCCAACTGGCCAAAGAAGGTCTATCTACAAAAATATAAAGAAAATAGAAATAATTGTTAAATGGGTGAGTTTTCTTCCACCTGAAAGAAAGAACGCATGGCTACCGTTTCGTCTCAGTTCTATTTTTGTAGTTAGTCAATACGGTTAGTGTGGGTGAAATTTTAATCGATACACGGATAATCATGCAAAACCGGTTATGTGCCGTTTTTCATATAAATAGTCAAAAACTCAAGGGGTGAATTTAAATTTCACATGCCAAACTTCACGCGCGCGCGCGAACTGGCTTCAGTCTTAGGAAAGACCTAATAAAGTGTTTCGTTTTTCCATCGATTAATTATTTAATATCGGGTAAATAAATCTTTTGCCTTCAATTTTCAACAGTTTGAATTTTATTTAATTACCATTACATGTGGACGGAAAAGACCTTGAGTTCAGAGTGCATTTGGCTTGTCTGAACAACAAGCTGTTGTAAAGATGCCAAAATGGATTGATGAACACAGGATTTGCATATAAAATAATAGAAAGCTATGTCATATAAAGTCGGACAACAGAGTGCCACTGGACTCGCTGAAAAATATCCGCAAACTTGAATAATCGAAGATGCAAGAAATAAAAATTCTGGCAAAACTTCTGTAATGCATGGGTTAAGGAACTCCAAGGATTGGAAGGCTCCAAGGAAGCGGACATCTTAGAAGTTGCGTACTATAAAGTTTCAAAATTTACATAGAGCCTAGCCTACATTTACTTTGTACTACTTCAACACAACTTGGGAGGAAGTGATGTATTGGAGCACAGATCAAAATGTTCTGTCCCGAGTTTTGGTCAAAGATCGAAGCAAAGGATCTGCCGCTCTGTCTCAACATGACATTCTGACTGGATGATGATGATGAACGCTTCATTTATCAATCATACAAGATTTGGCCTCAAGGATCATTCTTTCATCAAATGTGAAATACAATTGTTACTAAGTTTACTCTACTTCTAATTTATTGAACGTTAATTATTTCGAATAACCTGATTTTTGTGGTCAATATGTTACATATATTCGTTTTACATTGAACCACATATGTATTTACTTCAAATTGCCTATTGAAATAAATATTCTACTTTACAGAATAATTGAGCAATTAAAAGTAAATGACAAATAAAATAAGTAAACTAATATACTTTTTCAGTACAATTCAGTATAAATCATGAATTATAAATTGGACATGGTTCGTACAGAGGCTATCTGCAAAGAATTGACAAAATTCGATCTCAAATTGTGTTTTTGACATCACTGCTAAAGACATCAAGCACACTCAGTACATGTCCTGTGTTCTAAGCACGGGGAAATTGACTATTTGGCTATATATATATATAATTATTTTGATTAATTGATATCAGCCTGTAATATTATATTTTTACTAAAAATTATTAACTTTCGGTTCAGTATCTAAATTATCTTGGTTTATTTGAGCATGTTCAAGTTTTATTATTCAGTCAATATTAAATAATTATATCATCAAGTTTTCAAATTTTAAACCTGTAATTTGAAATTTTGTTTAATCCGCAGAAACTATTGTGCTTAAAAAAATGTCAACAAAACGTTTTTTTCCTTTTACGCTTTATTTTCTGAGCTTTTCCATTTCAATCGTGTGACAATTTGCGCCACATCGAAAGTTCCATGTCAACACGGGTTATCCATTTGATCCCTGCTAGAAATCCAGGGATAATCGTGTCCGATAATGTGTATACTTACGTTTACAAATAGCTCAATCAACAGCTCAACGTCTGAACGATTTCTTATCGTAAACAAACGGATTTCGATAGAAATAAAATCGGATGTCCGAAGAACTGGTCACTTTTTACGAGCTACCGTTCTACAATTGGTTTTTCAAAAGTTTTTTTAAAAACATTACACATTTTAACTATTTCATAGGTTTATCATAATTTTCGAGTGATAAACCAGATGAACAATATTAAAGTTTAAGTAAATGTAAAAATATAAAGATAAAAGTATTAAGTGTTATCCTAGCATAACAGATAAGAAAGATAACGAATTAATCTCGTACTTTATTAAGCTTTTTAGAGACTTATTAGTTTTTCGTTGAAAAGTTTTTTTTTATGTGTTAAATATTTAGAGGGTGTTTTCTTGTTGTACTTATTTATTTTAGGATGAAAAGTACACAATATTAGGGAAAATTATTAAATAAATTTCTTTTAATCTCAGGTCTTGGTTGAGATGAAAAGTTAGTGTGGCGAGCGGGATTCGAACCCACGACCTTCGGCTAAACATGTATGGATTATTGAATAAAGCGATTTATTGTATGCTTTATGCATTTGTCCATTTGATAACGCACCTTCGTCAAAGCCCCCCTTTCCAATGATCAAATCAAATTATAACATGGAGTTAGACTCATTTAAAACATATCTACGCTATATAACAGAATTTGAAATAATCCCCCTTGCAAATGACCGTTCCTTGCATGTGGATGAAAACGAAAATGAAAACATGGGCCACGCATTTTAAAACGCTGATAAGGCATAAAATACATTGTCCCAAATACCTAAATGGAATGCCACCCCTAACAGTTATAACTAAAAGACTGCTTTAATGTACAAACAATCCAAAACAAACTCTGAAAAATTATATCCTGTGTGCCATGATTTGTACGTAATACTCCCATTCCAAGAGGCCTATGACAACACTCTTATGAGATAAACGGCACCGTATTGACCACCACGCGATGCCAGAAAGCTAGAAGTATTTGCCCACGAGACTCAATAAATAATTAGACTCAAAAGGTGAAGCATTCAGGATATCTTAAGCATTCATAAAACAAGGATATCTTCTGTTGGTGCAAAGGTTGAGATTTCTACTCCAGGGAAAGGAAAATCCCAAGTCTGAACGATACACAAAGTTTTGGATCTGGTAAAAACCCTTAAGTTTGTTTTTATATATTTTTTTATTGGTACCGTATACAGTAAGTATATATTGTAAATGTGATCAAAGTACTTTTTTCACACGGTCACAGCACTAAAAGTAATGCTAGCACTACACTCGGAGTACATCTGAGAAAACAACCAATGCTGACACTCAGAGTGAGGCGGATGTGGTGGATTCTCGGGATGAGAATGTGCAATGAGGAGTTGAGCAGTAGCGTTAGGTTATATCGAGATGTTGGTGTGAAAGGTTGGTGTTTGATGTATAGTATACAGTTTAGTGTATAGGTTATTTATAGGTTGGTGACGAAGTAAGGAGCTTTGACAGTTTGTCTGAGCATCTTTGGTTGGAAGGATTGGATGCGCTGGATGCTAGATGGGTTGGTACCCCAAAGTTGCAGTAAAGTCTTGCATCAGGTTAGTTTAGTGTTGACGGTCAACATGTCTTCTGTTAAATTGCTCAAAAGGCTTGTGTGGTCCAAGACCACGTCGGTCTGCTGTCTAGGTATAGACCTAAGTATTGGACTTGAATGGAGTCGCTATCTCTTGGTGTTGACGTACAGTGGAAAGCGACCGCTGCTTCAGAGTGCTATGAGGCAATGAGTTCTCAGAAATAAGCCCGATACAAGCCGGCATCCCACAAGGGAGCATTCTTGCTCCCATTCTTTATATCATCTGGTGACCTACCTGCAAACCCCAATACCATCATCACGACCTACGCTGTCGATACCGTAATTTTTTCCTATAACTCGATCCTATCTGAACGACCTCCAACATCCAAGAACACCTTTAACTTTTCGAAGACTAGTGCAAAAAATTGGGATGACAGGACAAGAATTATAAATAAATTTGATGATTATATATTGTACCGGCTCTTGGTAGCTTTTGCATTTATGTAAACAATAGAATTAAATTTGAAATACTTTCTGCTATTTAACAAATGATTTTTGGAAAATTAAATCCAGAAGGGAAAAATCTTTTCGAACAAAAAAGGTTTTTGTTGTTCAAACATCAGTGTGAGCCCTTCCAATTAATAAACCCTGTTAGCACGCCGGGGATCGAGTTGGGCCTTGTCAAATTGTTAAATGGCGCTGAAACGCGTCAATATTTGACTAAACTTTGATGTGCTGAATTTTTGACGCGGCCACTCAAATCCTGAGTTGAATTTTTTTATACTCCCACTGTGCTCTTTAGTGCCCTTGGAAGGCGAAAAAATTTACTTATTTTATTATTTTTTGACTAGGTTTATTTTATCTATAATATATAAATCGTGAGATTTCCTGTGGTCTTCGGTGTGATGAACTTGCAATTAATTTGGCCTGCCTATCCTTCTACTTTTGGAATGTCAGATGCGATTCGTCTTCTCGCCATGTTATGCGAACACAGACAAGATCTACGACAGACACCGACACGCCCTGTACCTTATTCCAGTTCACAAAAGAGTCACGGCTTAACAAAACGCACTGACACACTGAAGATGACGCAATCGAAACGCATCTGAAAGATCAATCCAGCGAGGATGGGCAGACCAGAATGATCGGTAATTACCAAATTATAATATTTAAGGTTAAATTTTAAATTTATGACGAAACGAATTGCAAAAAAGATTATAGACATTAAAATTGGCAAAACTTAAACAAAATATGAATTAGGCAAATTTCAGAATGGTTTACATTATTTTTATATTGCAGGATAATGTAACTTATAAAATTTCTTCCTCGTATGGAAAAACTACTATTTCTTGTTAGTTTCAAATAAAAACCCTGTTCTTTTATATGCATATTTCAAACGTTATAGCGTTAAAATTTAATCAAATTTCAGTCATTTCTCACCCAAGAATTATCAAATTTATCATTATATTTATTATTGGTAGCCCACCATGGGAAAAAAAACCCCCCAAAAAACAGACTTTTTCCATACGCTTTCATCCAAACATACTAAGACCTTTTCCTACCTATGATTTTTTACAGTAGGACAACGTTGATCATAAATAAACATGAGTTAACCTATTTGTTACTTTAATTCGCCTTCTGTTGGCATTTATTTTCAGAGCGTGGTTGTTTGTGTCGGGCTTCTTCAGTAATGAAATTTCAGTAATTGCCAGCAACGTTGCTAGTTCATGAAGAAAGAACGACATCAAAGGGGCCACTGGTCTAAATTTATTTGACAACAAACTTCAGTACATGGTTTTTCTTATATTGTCCAATTAAATATTGGATTGTCTGACGAATACTTCGTAAAATAAAACAATTAAGTATGAAATTAATAACCTTGTCTTGGACTTTGTATGTCCAGATTAACACTCGAATTAACAAATTGATTCCAATGTAGCGTTCACGTCAATATAAAAAGTTCTGATATTGTATTGTACGATTAAATGAATTTTCCTTCCGAAAACATTACGCCTGGTCGATTGCAAAACTTCTGGAAAACCTTGGAGAAAAATCCTGAATATACGGAATTCTCAGTGAGTGACAGAACAAATGAAATTCTTCGCGTAACTTGAAGACAGAATATTTCATTTTACCTCGACGTGTAATTCACGTTGTATTTCGTGCATAAAATGATAAAAGGAAATACGACAGTAGCATGTTAATATTGTATGAAAAGATACAGAAAAATTAATATTAACTTTGTGAAAAAGTTTCGCATTTGATATTACAAATCCGAAATAAATTCACCATCAATTTTTATTCTCTGAATAAATTTTATTTGACTATTTACATTTTTCCCCAGACCTATAATAAAATATGCATAAAAGTGAGTTACTGCTTTGGCATAAAGAATGTTGGAAAATAAGTCAGATGTTTATCATTATATATTTAGGAAATATAGTTTCCAGCTTGATCTTCTGTTATGCCAATTTATTCTTGTTTCGTCTGTCAGTTGCATTTTGGCTTCCCGCGATCTTCAGTGGTTGGCCTGCTGGTACTTTTTATAGTTTATGAAAAATGAATATCTGCGATTCCGTGTAAATTGAAGAACTTGTCGGTGTCTGTGTTAGATAATGTGATGTGTTCCGTGAAAATGTAGAGAAGAAAACGCACAGACCAAAATGATCAAAAACGACCAAAACGAAATTGATCCAGTGGGAATCTCACTAATCAAATTTGATAAATTATTCGGGTTAGATCATTTTGGTCTGGCTATCATCTAGGTTTTTGGACTATCAGATCCCTCTCTCGCCATCTTCAGTGGTCGATTTGTATATCATTTATGTACATATTGTATCTTGAAGCCTGTATAAAGTGGTGGGCGTGTCGATGTCTGTGTTCGTGTGTGTCTGTGTGTGTCGGTGTGATGTGTTTCGTGAAAATGTCGAGAAGAGGAAAACGCAGACAGACCAAAATGATCGAAAACGACCAAAGCGAAATTGATCTAGTGGAAATCTCACTAATCAAATTTGATACTTTATTATGGTCAGATCATTTTGGTCTGGCTATCCTCACTTCTTTGATCTATCATAAGTGTCTCTCGCCATCTTCAGTGGTGGATCTGTACGTTAATTTTGTACATATTGTATTTTATGATAATGTTCGAAAATGACCAAAACGAAATTGATTCCAGTGGAAATTTCACAAATCAAATTTCGTAACTCATTCCAGTCCGATCATTATTTTCTGGCTGGCTTCACTATTTTGGTTTATCATACGCGTTTCTCGCCAACTTCAGTGGTGGATCTGTACGTTATTTTTGTACATATTGTATTTTACGAAGTTGTAGAATAAAGAGAAGGGCGTGTCGGTGTCTTTGATCTTGCAGGTTTTGGATTCGATCGGCTTACTGGTCGTACTTGATTCCATTAAAAGAAACTTTAAAATAGATTTTAAATCTTACTATCTGCAAAATTAGAGACATTCTGATGATGTTCGGTTTTCTAAATATGGCGAAAAGCAGAAACGCGTCTGTCAGACAAAATCAGGGAAAAAAGACAGACCAAGATTATATTTCAATAAAACTAAAAGTGACTGGTCACATAATTTTGTACAAAAATGCCGAGAATAGCATTTTTCATTAAGGAAAATTCAATATTCTTGAACTACTAATAAAATAAGTTGTGTTTTTGATAATACTCAGATAGAATTTTTGTTATTGTATGGATATTTCGTGTTTTCGGACGACAGCTAAACTTGACCGATTCTTTTTTAAGTTGAAGCCATGTTTCATCCATAAAATCCTTTTATTGTACCCTGCTAAAGAGATGATCCTTTCATAGTTGGCAAATATTTTGACCTTGAAAATTTAACGATCCCGAGGGGATGGCCTTTTTAGTAAACAACGTTATTAAATCGAGCAGCACCGCCTTATCTTTCGACTTGATCGAAGCGTAACACAGTCAGTTGACTGAAATACACAGACATTATTTGCATTTAGATAATTTATTTTTGAGTTCTGAAGTCGAAAAGGCTGTTTTATCGAGATGAAAAATGAAAAACTGAGAGTTGAGGGTACCTTACCTTAGCACATGTAGGAGCAAGCTATACTAAACCAGCGGAACGCTCTTCTTTAATCAATATACAGGGACCGTTTTGCCCCCTGCCGTTGGCCGGCCGAACTTGCTGGATCCATACAAGTCCCTTTCTGAGCATGTGGAGCTTTTTCCCGGCAAATTGGCCAAAATCGCGAAAAGCCATCGCCCACGTTCCGATAGCCGGAGAGGGCCGCACGGCTTCGCTCTGCTACGCGGCGGGCCCTACGTAGATGCCTTGTCTTCCCGCTGCGTTTGTTTGCTGTTCTGTTTCCAAGGCAGCTATGTCAAGCCTCGGATCAGAACTGCACCTGTTTCTCTTTGTTCGTTTCATCATATTAAACTTTAAAACTCAAAAACAAAACATGTTCAGACAGAAACCTATATAAAGCTGGAAAAGGTAATTTCCTTCTACATATTATACAACCACTTTTAAACTCAATGGCATCATTTTTAATTATGTAGTTTCACAGATATTCATTGTGGTGAGTTTCTCCCTATGCAATTTTATCCATTTTTAATAAAATTTGACTTGTGTGTGACCCTTGAGCTGATGAATTTGGGTCTACCCATCTTTGATGTTTTGGTCTGTCAAACGAATTTCGGTTCCTCGCCATCTTCAGTAATGGATCTGTGATAAATGTTTTAGTCTTTTATAATCTATAATTGTTTCTTTTATATTAGTAGTAGGTACATATACGATTCACAGAAATGTCTCTAAAACAGGATAATGCTCTGGATAAACCTATACTCAAAACAATAAAATTAAAATAAATTTTCCATTCGCTACCAGTATAAGAAATTGTGAGATTTATAGGGTTATGAACCTATAGTTTTTTCAAATTAATTTAATACCTTAATAACATAAGTAGAACTATCATTTAAGCTGTACTTTGTTCGTTTATAATCATTTTGGTCTGCCTGTTCTCACTATTTTTCGTCCAAAACCTGGAATGAACTTTACTGAAAATGGCAAAAAGCCGAAACGCGTCTGTTATACAATTACAATATGCCTTTTCTCTTAAAAGCTGTGTAATAAATAAAACCCTTAACTGTCATAAATCAAACAACCTTTTCAGATGCTGAAGATAGCTTTAAAATATATTTTCATTTATAGCTTGGTCCCTTCCGATCATCCTAATCCGTTTATCCAAGCTCATTTGGTCCAGAACCAAGAATATCTTTCACTGAGGATGGTGAGGTGCTGAACCTTGTCTAAAGGTCAACAACAATTTCGCGTAGTTTCGTAACAAACTCCAAAACACTCTAATTGTTTAACTAATTTAAAGTAACCACATTTTAAATGTTGACCGCGAAAAAACTGGTTCGCCTATTTTCTCAGTTTCAGTATGCAAAACCTAGAGTACCATATGTTTAAGTCGGCGAAATGCAAAAATTCATGTAAACGACGTCATGTTTCACATTGTACCATAAAAAATATATTATCATTGTGAACCTGATGAACCTGTAGTTGGGTCGTTTCCGGATCATCCTGGTTCACCTAAAGTCGTTCTTTTTGATGCAGAATACCGCATCCTGAAAACGGCAATGAACTAACTTAACTAAATTGGTCTGCGGGACGGTGAACTCACATTGAACTCTCGACATCTTCAGTGAGGAACTCCTGTTGAACTCCAGTTCCTCGCCCCACATGGCGCAATGCCGAAACGCATTTGAATAACTTAAACAAAAAACCCCAGAGTGGAGACAAACCCAGTAAGTGGCCGTGTGCCGCTTCAAAGTAACTTAAGCTAAACTATATTTTTAGCTATAGTTTGGTATTTTTCGATATTCTCTATTCTCGCACTGTTTTGGTGATTGTGAGATGCTGAAACACGTCTAACGGTCAGTTTCGCTACTTTTCATAAATGCTACATAATAAGCTAAACTTTGAACTAATTTAAACAAAACCAAATTTTAAATTGTAATTTAGTTTGAGACCATCCTGGTTGGTTAGTTTTTTGTGTGTAAAACCTAGAATACCATCCGCTTAAGATGGCGAAATCCAAAAATACGTCTAGGTGTAATGTGATCGTTTATGATCATCCTAGTTAACCTTTCCTTGATGTTTTTAGACGAAAACCAAAACTATCTACATTGAAGATAGCAAGAAGAAACAATAAACTTTGCTCCATTAAAACTACAAAATAAGCCAAAGTCTTACCTAAATTAAGCTAAATTATCTTTTTAAGTTGTCGTTTCATTTCGATGATCTTGATCCGTTTATCCTCACTGTTTTTGGCTCAAAAACCAGAGTACCCTTCACTGAATGGTAGATTGCAAGGCAAAATGGTCTGATATACAAAAGCAATATCCCTCGTTTCTAAACCAAAAAAAGTTAAAATCTTAATAAGCTATGCGGGACTATCTATTATGCTTTAGTTTGGACGTTTCCGTTTCATCCCGGTTTGCCTATCACTGTTGTGCATGACCTAGAAATATCTTCACTGAAGACTCCTCTTCCTCTTCTTACAGGCCACTGGTTAATTATCGTATCTCTTTGTTTATTATTTCATTTGTTATGTACACAAAGGAAAATTGTGAGATTACCTTTTGAGGACTGTGAGGTGATGAACCTGAAGTTTGGACTTTCCGATCATCCGGATCTGTCTATCCTTGCTGTTCCTCCCTCCTGCATCTGATATACTTAAAATACCGTGTCTCATAAAAACTATAAAATTTGTTAAACTCTTAACTAACATAAACTAAACTAACTTTTAAAATGTAATTTGGTCTTTTCTGATTATCCTAGTCTGCCCATTCTCGTTGTTGTTCCAGATCTAAGATTTCCCTTTACTGAGGATGACAATAAGCCGAAATACTCTTAACTCAATTAAGTTAAAACTGGTTGATTCTCGTGTATTTTTGAACATTTTCATGTACAAAGTCGTACAAAAAAAATGCGATGTTTCCTTTTGAAACCGGCGAGCTGATGAACCAGATCTGTCTATTTTCACTGTTTTTGGTCCAGAACTCACAATACTTTTAACTGAATATGATAAGACGCTGAAACGCGTCTGATAACTAAAAACAACGACAACCATAGAAATTTCGAATTAAGCTAAATCTTAACTGACTTAAGCTAAACTTTCTTTTGATCTGTAGTTTTGTCGTTCTGCCTATCCTCGCTGAGATTTGTGTCGAACTTAAAAGCCTCCGATGAAAATTCCTCTTCCGCACTTTTGAGAGAAAAACAGCGACGATGGGCAGACCAAAATCATTAGAAGGGATTAAACTGCAAAATTTGGTTTGTTACAAATATAACGAACAGTTTACTCTTAATACTAGTCGATTTTATCGTAAAAAAGACTTTTAATTATTCAGGTTTTTATTAGTCCCCTATTATCCTTGAGCATTTATCATGGTAATAAAACTTGAGATAAAACAATTTTTTTTAAATACTGTTGACAAATAGTTACAAATAAATCTGGTTCTTTTAATTTCATGGTCAAGAAAAATAATAAAATTTGATAAACTATACTTAAAAATCTATATCAATCTTGATTTAATTATTTTACGATTACTTGCGAAATCTAAGTTTACTGTTCAAACGTTAGTTTTAAAAATATTTCTTTGTCTGATGACGCTTTTTGCAATTTCTACTTTCAAGATTTATAAGCCAAAAATTAATTAAGGATTATTTTGATCAGCTCGAGTAAGGAAATCCAGTAACTGATGGCCACACTTAAAACTCCATAAAAATGTTCAGTTAATTCTTTTCAAAGCCTGTGTTTTACAACGGCTTATTTGTTTTGTCAGTTTTTTAAACAGTTCAAAAACTAAATTTAAAACAAAGTTAATTTTTTGTTTATGCTTATCGCGTTTTCGTCTTCCCAGTTAAAAAGTAATCCAAAACCAATTTCATCAGGTGAAGCATACATGTGAGACATATTGAAAGTATTATGAGAAAATTATGTCCTTCTGACGTCGCAGGCCTTATTGATTTGGTGACAACTGCTCCAGACTTCGCTGTGTCACCACATCCATGTTGCACTACAATTTTATTTATTTAGGCGCCCTTTCCTTCCAGCATTAATGCAAATTACATTATCGATCTGACAAAAAAGTATATTTTGAATAATAAAATTATCTTAAGATAAAAATCAAATGTAAAAACAACAATTGCAGCTCTTAATAAAAACAAATGAGCACAAATGATAACGCCTTAATTAATTAATAAAGATTACTTTTTTCTGTGAGATGTTTAAATTGGAAAACAAGGAAAAAATATGTACAGATTTGTGAAGATAATAAGACTAAAGTTGATATTAATATAGAATAATCTCCAGATTTTTAATAATCAGTGTGCGTCAAAATTTTTTTTATGTTACTCATTTTCTTAACACAATAAATTTTTAAATTTTAACAACTCCAAAATAATCATACCTACATAAAATAACAGCAATTTTTTTTTCTAGAATGTCAATATTGGCTTTCAGTACATCTTGTCCAAAACGTTTTATTATTCTTCTCAATCTTAACTAGTTGATTTTTTATTTTCCCGATTTTTGACATATTGAGAAAATAAATTGAGAAAAAAACAAACATTGGAACGTCGGTGAAATTGTAATACTTAAATGGGAAATATTGATTAAAATCAAAACCAATCCTTCAAATGTTGCTATGGAAACTGGACCGAGAACGCCATTGAGGCAGTCCCGGTTTAATCCTCCTTTATCTGCAATACATGTGGGCCGGTAGGATTGAAAACCACCGGCTCTAGTTTATTTTCAAGGCAAAAATTATTTTCGATTTTTTATAAGATTTTAAATTCTCACATGAAAACAAAACCAATTTGAAACCTCGTTGCAACGCACATTATATAAATTAAAAATCTTGAAATTATACTTATCAACTAATATCCTAAAGAATTCACGACCTAGTCAAAAAAATCTATGTAACGAAATTGATTTTATTACCAGTAAGGTTGGCATTAATATTTCAAAAATAATTTTATTCAGACTATTACGGGAGTTTAGCATTCCAGAATGCATTGTATACAATAATTACTGCGGATACAATGGGGTTAGTGTGTGCCTTCTGGAGAGTAAAAGTAATCTATTAGCGAGAATGGAGTGGGCTCGACCACGCCCCGAAGGATATCTTGTAATCTGGGAATGTGAAATTGATGTACATCTATGTTTCTATAGGGTTTGTGTTGAATGTAATTTATTAGCGTGAAGGAAAGAGGTTGTTTAATAACGCCGTGCGGAACGTCGAGCATTCTGGGGCGAGTGTGTGCCGTCTGGAGAATAAAAGTAAGTTATTAGCGAGGATGGTCTGGGTTCGACCAGCCCCGAAGAATATCTAGTAATCTGTGGATGTGAAATTGACCATACAACTGTTTTTATCGGGTTTGTATTTATGTTAATTTATTGGAATGAATGTAATTTATTAGCGTGAAATGAAGGGGCTGATTAACCCCGCCCTGAGAAGTATCGAGTACTCTGGCGTGAGTGTGTGACGTCCTTGGAGTAAAAGTAAGTTATTGACGAGAATGTTGTGGATTCGCCCACGCCCCGAGGAATGTCAACTACTCTGAGACTTCTATGTTTGTATCAGGACATGTGTTTATGTTAATTTATTGGAATGAATAAAATTTATTAGAGGGAAAGGAAGGGGTTGTTTAACCTCGCCTTGAGGGGAATATCGAGTAATCTGGGGTGAGTGTGGGACGTCTGGAGTATCGTATTCAACCACACCAACCATAACTATCTAAATGAAGTAAATCTTCACAAAAGATGATGTGACAAAAAATTCCACACTAACCTCAAATTAAACTCTAAACACCACGTACAACAACTTTCTTCTCGATTTCTTCCTAATAGTTCTCTTCGACATCTTAAAAGAGTGGTTGGTTAAGTGATGATTTCTGCTTTTGGAGTGCCATCCTGGTTGACTTCTCCAGTCAGTTCAAATAAGCTTGAAGGGATTTTAAATCTTGTACTGTTATGCTGGGAATATGTGTCTTCTGCAAATCGGGCTGTGGAAGCGGTGTTGTTAAAAGGTTTAGATAATGAGTTTAGGGCCTGTAGTGTAGAATAGCTTAGCTTCAAGGAAAAAATATGAGAAACGATTGATATGTGGAGAAGAGAGATTTATCTCCATCCAATTTCAAGAGAAATTTAACATATGTAAAACATAGATGTGCATTTAGAAAGGTCTCGAAAGTCGGCCAGAGCCGGATCAAATCTCACGGATCACTTGCCATAACAGCCTGTCAGTTGTCATCTGCCCTTATCCAATATTCATGCGTCGATTTCGAAAAGGAGGACAGCACGAGCAATTTGCTTCTGTTTTTCCACCTAATCGTGTTTTTCTTCCAAAACCCTCATTTTTTATTAATATAAAAAAAACTACATATGTTGTTCATGTGACGGCTTGTTTATCTATTCAAGAGTTTTTCCAGCTCTTCACAAGACTTTACACGAACAGACAACGGGGAACAGTATTATTCAATACATCACAGTTAAAGGGGCATTAGAGTAAAATGAAAACGTGGACGTCAGGTTAGGGCTCCGAGATCATTTCGATGGAAAAACGTTTCTAAAATGCCTTATAAATTACATTTGAGATACAAAAATGGAGAGAATACTCGAGAGGTAAGCATTCTTTTATGATATAAGAAAGTTTCAAGTTATAAATAATAGACGGAAGTCTAAAGACTAAAGTTTTTCTTCGTTTGTCTCTCTTATTACTTATGAAAAATTCATCGTCAAAAGTTTCAAATGAAAGTCCAGAGACCGAGGAGGATGTAATTGTTATGCCGTACGATGCACCAGTCTCAGTTTTGATATTTGATACATTATTCGAACTTCAAAGATGAGATCTATTATGTCCAAAATTACATTAATCTGGTTGTTGATTTTATGTGACGAAATAGTTCTCAGTGCAATTGAAGGCTTGCTTGTTGGCCTTGTTACAATTGAATTGTTGATTCGAAAATCTACTTGTGTTCAGAACCGAGCATTTTACCTTTGCATTCTTTCGAAAAGATTTTTGATATCCTTTTCATGAATATTTTTTCATTTTTCAATACCCTTTCCTCTAAGCGTGCTATGAACTGTTCATAACTGTTTATGTTCCGAATATGTTGGATTAGAATCAGCCAGTAAAGACGGTGGTGACCACACAACGCACTGGGTTAGATCACTCATCAATGTAAGAAGCAAATGGAAATAAATGCTCCTCAATAATGCCATATAAATATCCTTGGAAGTTAGTGACCTTCCCCGAATAAGTAACAACTCAGTAGGATCGTTGAAGAAAATGCCACCCCAGGTCATAATGAGTCATCACGAAATACCACGTGAGGAACCATTTACCTCTCCCCTGTGTGTCTCCTCGTGAAAATTTGACAATCTGAAGATTTGAGACCTTTTTGTCATAGGTCCAATTGAAATGGGCACATGCAAACTTCAACTTTCCCATTGTGCGAAAGGATGAGATGTCCATGTTTCGTGCCGTATTCATTGAACCTTCTTACACCCCTGGTGGAATTTGCATTATTATGGCTTGCCTTTTGGGACACATGTCATTTCTAGTGATGATTGTGTAAGGGCAGATGCCGAATCTTCGTCTTTCTCGTTTGTAGATCTAGGTCGAGCCTATCTTCTGACCTGAAAACTGCCTATAAGCGACGAACATCAAATTTGATGCACCATTATTGTATCAATGTTACAACCCTAACACTATCGTACTCATCAAATGCCTGACTGATGCCATTTGAAAAACTGAACCAAGCGAAAACTAACGAAAAGAAAGTGAGAAATTTTTTTTTTTGAAAATTAATTTTTAGTGTAGAATGGATAAAATAACTGTGAAAAATATATCCAACCTAATATCATTAAATAAATAAAGGTCTTTCATTTTTGTTTATAACTAAACTATTTGCTCAATGTATATTCTGTACAGATAGCAATAAATAAAATAAAATACTTTTGAAAAATAAATAAAACCGTTAAAAAATTTTAAGATTGTACAGTTAAAGATCATTCATTTCATATTAAAGTAATAAAAGTGAGGGGGTGGGGCATCGGTGCCCGCAACGGTTTAGGCGTTGACACGGCGCTCATACTATTGTAAGGTAAAGGTCCCAGGTTCGAATCCAGCGGCCCCGCCTTCACACCTGACATATTTACAAACGGGCTTTTTTCAAAAACATCGGCACCCCGAGGGTTCATATAACCTGGCAGTTGAAATACCCTCGTTAAAAAAAAATTTGTAGATTAATGTATTTTCTTTTACACTGGCGGTGGTATTTTGGGATTTTTTTTTAAATGCTCCTCGATCAATTTTTCAAAAAAAATTTTGTGGTTTAAGTTGAGGAAATGTGTCTAGTTTCTACCTTATGGTGTGCTTTTGTAACTATATATTTCTATTCAGTAAAACTCCAGACGCTATATCACCACTATTCTGCTCATAAAACATAGTTCAACTTTATGAAACACGTGGATTATAAAGACAGTATAAAAAGAAAACATTTTTTAAAAAATTCCGACTCTTTCAATTTCCGACTGTTTAAATAAACATGTGCTTCACATGTTGGATTTTATGGATGTAGTAAGCGTGAAGTCTGTCGACATTAGTGTTTATCTTTTATAAAAATTTATTCTCGATTGTAATTTGAATCCTTGTGGCTGTTACTGCCGTATTCAGCGGTTCGACGTTTCTTTTGAAATTAATAAACAATAAAACTACTGTGAAAATAAAATGAAGACTACGAAGTATGTCGAGGTAATAATAATAATATAATAGTGCTTTTAGAAAACGACTCATGTGATTTAATTCAGGCTTCTACTCTCTTGTATTAAATTATGGTGAATAAATTTTTTTTTAGAAACCATCAATGATCGTATATTTTTTAATTATCTATCATGTCTTGTACGCCTTATTTGAGAGAATGAAATCTGTGATGAAAGTCGGTGAAAGATGATGATGATGTTTTGATGTTTGGGATAAAAGAAAAAATATAATTGTTTTTCAGAAAGGGATGGTGTTGCCGAGGAAGGTCGGGGTCCGCATCGATCCGCCGGCTGTCATCCTTGTCTACGACGTTTGGGGCAAGATGAGGATGAGGACGATGCCCGTCCGCAACGTCTGGGATTCTACAAGCTCTGCTTTCATCCTGGAGGATCTCAAGTCACGCCACGATGTCCTCAACTCCGTCCCAGATTCGACGATCCTCAAGATGATCGAGGTGTTGAAAAGAGTCAAAAAAGGAGACTCGCTCCAAGACGCCCTGAAGACAATAGGCAGTGGAGATTTCGACGAGAAAAACAAAGAATTGACGCCGAACGTCACCAAAGATAAAACCCTGGAGGATCAGGGGACCAGGTCCAACGATGAGGACACCGACTTCGAACTAGAGGAGGAACTACCTTTAGACGACCTATCAGATGATTTCTGGTATTTAACTTATTTTCACTCTATCCAGGGACCTAGTTTCGCAAACAAAAGAACCTTCCTATAAAATAGTTTAACATTTTGTGTTTCTGCCGTTCTTGTAGTTTAGTTTAGACATTTTCCATGCCATGGAGTATGACTTTTGATTTTTGTTTTGCAGAAATATCTTTGGAAGGATAAAACATGTTTCCCAAGTGTTGTGGATAAATAACCTCTCCAGTTAATCTTAACCGGTTTGTTTATCACGGAAGTTCTTTTCTCTTGTGAACCTAGGCTTCCTAGTTAATCAAAACGTCCGCTCGTTTAATAATTTATTTTTGTTTCATAGGAACTTGAAACCGGCCGTGATGACGAAAGGCACAAAATTTTGAAACGCACATCGCAGAGGAGACTCGGGGTTTTCCTAGTGGTTCGGCCGATTTGTACGACAATGTATCTCGTTTCCGTGTGTTTGTCTGCAGCCCTATTAACGATTAGACAATATATTTCTTCGTTTTAAAAAAATTAGTATTTTTTATAAATCCTTTATTCCAAAATCAAAACCAGGTAAGTAGTAAAGTACTGCAATACGATTGTACATGAAATTGTAATTCACCAGATCGAACAAAATACAAACATAGCTAAACATCCTGATGGTGATGTTGATGGACGTAGCGTTTCCGATTTTTTCGGTCTCCTTACCCTCGCCTTCTTCATATATTAATAAATTGTTAATATTAAGCCACTGATGAAACGTGAAAAGAAAAATGTGCGATTTCCTCTTGTTGTCTGCGGGTTGATGAACCGGTAATTATGACGTTTCCAGTTATCTTGGTCCGACTATCATCGCTCCGTATTGATTCAGAATACCATCCACTGAAGATGGCTTGAAAGTCATCTACACACGTATATATTCACCAATAGTTCGGTCATTCTGATCAGCCTATCCTCGCTAAGTTTGGTCTAGGAATATATTCCACTGAAGATGGTGAGATACTGAAAGATATGGAAGACAAAAATAGACAAAAATAACTAATTCTTTATTTATTAATTCGTATTTGACCTAATTCTGTGACACTAAATAAAACCTCACTCACTCACTTACTCTCTCTCTCTCTCTCTCTCTCTCTCTCTCTATATCTATCTATCTATCTATCTATCTATCTATCTCTATCTTTCTATCTATCTATCTATCTATCTCTTACCCTCTCACTTGCTCTGTCTTTCTCTTTCTCACTCACTTGCTCTCTGACTTTCTCTCATTATCTCTCTATCCCTCTCTCTACATATCTACCGCTATATCTCCTTCTCACTTACTGGCTCTCTCTCTATTTTTCTATCTATGTATCTATCTAACTCTATCTTTCTCTCTCACTCATTCACTGACTTGTTCTCTCTCACTCTCTCTCTATATCTCCCTCTCACTTACTCACTGGCTTTCTCTCCCCTTTCCTCTCTCTCTCTCTCTCTCTCTCTCTCTCTCTCACTCTCTCTCTCTCATATCTCCTTCTCACTTACTGGCTCTCTCTCTATTTTTCTATCTATGTATCTATCTAACTCTATCTTTCTCTCTCACTCATTCACTGACTTGTTCTCTCTCACTCTCTCTCTATATCTCCCTCTCACTTACTCACTGGCTTTCTCTCCCCTTTCTCTCTCTCTCTCTCTCTCTCTCTCTCTCTCTCTCTCTCTCTCTCTCTCTCTCTCTCTCTCTCTCTCGTACCTCGTTCTCACTGACTGACTATTCTCTCTCTCATTCACTTACTCTCTCTCTCTCTCTCTCTCTCACTCACTCACTCTTTCTCTCTCTCTTTCTTTCTCTCTCTCTTTCTTTCTCTCTCTCTATCTATCTCTATCGTTCCAATTTTAGTATGTGTACCGGCGAAATGAGTACATCTATCTCTATCTAGCTATCAATCTATCTATTTCTATCTATCACTCTCTCGTTAATTTAAGATAAGTCGTTCGCGAAATGATAGGAATCCCCAAAATACAGCCTCGCAAAAACAAATGAATCAATTTAATAACGTTCTAATCGAACTAGAACTAGTTTCTTTTTCTAGAACCGGGAACTCGTTCCATTGATAGTGCAAGAAGCCGAAATTCGTCTGACATACCAAAACCCCGAGGGACTGAAATGGCCGGAAACGACAACTACACAAAGTTACTATATGCAATGGAATATTGCAGTTGTAATTACTAAATAAATGTCCATTGTTGGCTGACAAAAAATATATAATAGGATATTTTTATCCGTAATTAAATCTTTGAAAAAACAACGGAAAATACAAATCCCCAAATATTCTAGGTTTCAGAGAATTTGTTTAGATCAAAATAAAGAAGGTGTAATTAAGTGAAATGCGAAAAAGGCACATTTTCCATTTTTTTAATGACTAAATGGGGAAAAAATGAAATGAAATCAAATAAATTCTCAGCTCTAGCCGTGCAGGCCGTTGTAACCTCTAGCCGAGAACCTTCTCCGTTCTTGAACCGAATGTGTGATATGCCCACCCCCTCCGACGCGGCGCCGGTTTTTCAAGTTTTCCGACTTTTCATCCTGGAATTATTACGCAGAACAATGTAACAATGTCGTGATTTAAAAAAGGCACAACTGCTCATATTACGCAGTCAATTCTGCGACGAACGGGAGTCGTCAAAAGGTTGGTCAAAATTGAACACCATGCCATTTTTTTTACAATTTTGTCTTATCAGTTTTTTTAAAAACGTTTTACTACAATTTAGGCGATTCCTGTGTTAAATATACAAAGTTAAGCTTATTTTTGTTATAATGAAAAAAATATTTAACTTTAATAATAATAAGCAGAATTTTTAAAAGTGTTTGTTTGTGTTATCTAAATTTCTACAGAAACAAGGTCCATAACCTTTATTTAATAATCTGTTTTATGAGATTTTAGGATAATTACATTTTTTCTTTTTTTAGAAAGGATTTAAGTTTAAAAAATAAGAAAGATGATTGAAGAAGATGAAGATTTCAATATAGACGACCCAGAGTCATTCTATATGTCAGACGATTCATTGGATTTAGTCAAAAATGGGGGCCAAGAAGAAATAAAAGCCAAGAAATTCTTTACGTGTGAAAAGTGTGAAAAAGTTTTTCATCAAGTGGGACACTTCCGAAGGCATTTACTCCAGCACACAGGCGAGAAGAGATACAGTTGCCCGTTATGCGATTACAAAAGTATCGATGCCGGAGGATTGAAGAAGCACGTTTTCAATCATACCGGGGTGAAGCCTTTCACGTGCGACCATTGTCATTTTAGCGCTGGGACGATATACCATCTGAAACGGCATCTTATGAGTCACACGCGCGAGAAGCCTGTCGGGTGCAGGTTCTGCGATTACAGGTGTTCCCAACTCGGCGATCTCAACAAGCACATGCTCGTCCACACAGGTGAAAAATCCTTCGTATGCATCGAATGTGACTATACGTGTTCGCGCGCCTGCGACCTGAGAAAGCACGTGAGGACGCACACGGGGGAGAAGCCGTTCTCTTGTCCTTATTGCGAGTACAGATGTAAACGCTCCGGACACTTGAAGAGCCATTTGGTACGACACAGCAAAATGTACATGTGCAACATATGTAATTATAGGGGCTTGGATGTGTCTGCCTTGAAAGGGCATTTGCAAACCCACGGTTTACAAGACTAAAATTTTACAAAAGCGATTTGTGATATGTTTGTAGTTCCTTTTAATATATTGTTACCTAAATTAAGTTAGTGTCTGCTTTGTGCTTTTAAAAAGCAGACTAGAAGGCTGTTTTTATTTCTTTTAAACATGTTTCGACCTATGCTGGTCTAAATTTGTAATTATAAAAATCGAAAAAACATTTTCATAATTTTAATGTTAAAAACAAAATAAGGAAAGAAAAATGCATGGAGAGTGTGAATTTAAGTTTTCAAAAACGTCTTTTTATCGTGTCTCCACTGCTACTAGTCACATGAGTCAACAAAACGCATGCGGAGATCGCGGCTACCAGTGTGTTCAGGCAAGTGCTTTAAAACTGTGAATACTGTTGATAGCCCTGCGACAGAAAATTGTCCATAACTGAACCATTTCACTGTACACTCTTTAAAAAATATTGTACTTGCGCCTTCTAATCACTTGATAAGCTACAGAAAAAACAGTGGACATTAAGGCATATAAAATCACCATCGACAATTTTCTGTGCATTTTATGTACTTTTTCAACATTATACAGAGTACTTGTCCAGTTTTTACTTTTTTGTAAAGGAGATTTTTAATCCAATCCTCTTTTTTTTTAAATAATAAAGTGATGTTTCTTTTTTGTTCAATTTTTGGTTATTTGACCCAATGGTAAATTATTATAGTTACCAATAAATATTGACAAGTTATTGTAATATTTTTATTATTGTCTAGCTTTGATTAAAATTCTTAACATATTGTTGTTCATTTTGGTAAAAAACGCAAAAAGTAGCATATAGTAAATATATGTTAGAACGAGGAATAAAATAAGAGCTACATTAAAAAAACAACAACAATATTTATAATTTTGTATAATAATATGTGCAATTTTATATAAAAGTAAAAAAAGAGATCTATACAATTTTATACATTATTAAAATCTAATTTGCATTTATTTATACATAGGAACATCTTATATTTAAAACAAAACAATGCTTTATATAAGTTTTTAATAATAAAAAAAAAAAATGTACATAATATCAATAATCAAAATAAGCCCAATAAAATACAAAAACTGGTGGCACGTAATGAGGTAAAATGATTGTGTTGGTTAACATGAAAGACTATGGTTCAGTCTCTGTCGGTCGTAAAAGGACTATGCCGAAAAAAGTCTGCCCTCGGCGGAATAGGACGTATCTGTCTGTCTCCCTTTGCCAGAGTTGCACCTTGGTCCCTTTTCTTATATACTGCACGGTCGCCGTGTAGCATGTGGATTCCCCGACGCTAGCTGGCGGGTTAACGCAAGTCGCGATTACCCTTTCTTGGTTCGCAAAGTCGAGTAGCTTTATCGAAAATGAGTTCGGCTTCGCTGCATTTGAATAGTACACCTGGTGGCGCATTTTGAAAATTAAAATACAAAACCAGAGTTGATGAAATAAAAATAAAATTGCTTACCTGTGCATAAACAAAGTAGAGCCCGGTCTCGGGGACTACTGCAGAACCCTTTCCGTCCTTCAAGGCTACATCGCCCAAGCTGAATTCACCAGAGTTAAAAGGGTCTTTGAACCATGGGGAGATCACTCCTGAACAACCAATATTCTGATCAAATTCAGCAACTAAATGATTATTGATAAAAGAAATTTAGTATTATTTCATGCCAAGCAGTTTACAATTTCCATCTTCAGAGTTAGAATATTTTAATATAAACTAAGGAAAAATCACTCGATTAACTTTTGCCAGTTTCATATTTAAAAATAAAATAACTTTCTAAACTATTCTAATTTATTTTTATTGTATTCAATTTCCTGTATTTTATATTCACATTTTCCTTAGATGTACCTTAAAAAATTTTACTCTGAATTTTGATGGAAACAAAAATTTTAAGCAAAAAGCATTATAAAATTAAAAGAAAAGAAGACTAAATTACCTCCTTCCTTTATCACAGATTCTGGGTATGCACCGATGAAATTAGCCACGAGCGGATAAGCTAGATAATAAAAATTTTATTAACAAAAATTCTTTCATATAATTTTTAAAAACTAACCTCTGGTTTTGTTTTCATTGGAAGCCTCCCGTTTGAAGCGTATGTTCGAAGCATCTGCCTCTAATATGGTACCTTCTTTGGTTTCGTCGTATGTCCTTAAATAGAAAATATTGTTAGCCAAAATATTTTCTCACTTGAGGAATTTTGTCTCGTTTTTCCTTACCTTTGACGGTCCAGTGATGAAGCCTTTTCTTCCATCCTTGCTACTAAAGCTTGAACTTCTTGCAGCTGGAGTTTAGTCTCCCTGAGTTCAGAGCAGACAAGAAACAGTACAAAGAGTATGACAATACCAGCTGCCAAAATGCCTTTGGGTTTGAAGATAGTCGGCTGGTCAGGAACGGAGAAGACAGTAACTCCAATCTTCGATGGAATTTCCTCTAAAAACAGAACATTAAAAATTACAATTAAAATGTTATTTTTTGAAATTATATAAAACTGGTGGGGGGATTTCAAACCGCTTTACAATATTTTATTTTATTTGAAATTAAAAATCCATGGGAAATGCCCCATCGCTTGGGTGGCAAACTATGAGTCGGACACCCTAACCACTATCGTCCTCTCCTGTAGCTTTATAACTATGTTTTGAGTAGAATGCTGTTCCCCCTTTCTGTTATAAGCTGATATTTATTAATCAAGGAATCTTAATTGTTTGAGCTAGTGGTAGTGGTATTTCGTCTTGTTGTTTGGCAGATTCCTTTCTATAGAAAAATGTAACAAGGCAATAGTTGTATTACGGGTTCTTAGATTTATTGTAGAACCTAGACACCACAGACAGACTGGGGATTCAGTAGCCACAATGGTTAAGGTGCAGACATCATGATTCATAACTATAAAGGATTTGGTTTCATATCCCATGACCCTGAATTCAATCCCAATACACTTTATTATTATGGTTATTAAAAAAAAGAAGCCATAAACCCAGCAGTAAAAGTAAAAAAAAAATTAAGCTGCAGTCTGAAGGCGTGGTAGGTCTAAACCTACTAAGATTTAAAGTCTAATCAAACTTCCCAAATGTTCTTGGATTACTTGTTATTCTTATTCTTTCCTTACCCTAGCTATGCCAATTTTTTAATGATAATCTTTGTTTAAATTAATTTTTTATTTAATGTTGTTAATCATTTCCAGAATCCGGGTTGATTAGTATTTTCAATATTCATACTTTTTGGTGAAAGGGGAGCGGGAAGGAAAATTCCAGAGTTGACGTTGGGATTTGAATCCATAACTGCTGGATCTATGAGACGTGTTTTTCATACCCAAGCTTATTTTTTTAGACTTGCAATTCAGCATTATCTTCAATCTATATATTTAGTATATAAATATATTATTTAAAAAAATTATATATATAATTATATTTAGTGGTCCACCAAATCATCCTAATCACTTCTTTCAATTAATTAATCATTTTATGTAAAGTTTGCGTTGAAATGAAAAAGTTAGTATCACGAGTGGGATTCGAACACACGACCTTTGTCTTGAAAAATGGCAAAAAGAAATGTCCCACTCGTGACACTATCTTTTTCATTTCAACCAAAACCTTACATAAAAAGTTTAATTAATTGAAAGAATTATCTGAAATCATGTTAATCAAGTTTTTGCAGTCAAGTCCAGCTTCTTTCTTGGATCTTGGATATATAGACGCCAAAAAATGATTTGGTTATTATTTTTGCATCTGATTCTCTGTTTCTTATGACTCCAGCATATCCTGGAATACACAAAGTAAACTTATTTAGTTTTAACTTGCAATTCAGTATTCATGTGGATAATTTACCGCTTGTTTATGGGCTCTGTTTACACTGACACATTCGCACAGGTATTTTCAGGAAAATACTGTTATACATACCCCTGGACACTGGGTACTTGTTTTTATGACCTTGCATTTGTACCTCAAGTTTTTCTTTTCCCGTTGCTTTCTGGTACTTAGGTTTGTCTGGAAGTTTTGTTTAAATTCAACTTCTAAAACTGTTGCTTTAATTCCGTCTATGGCAGACCAAAATGAACAGAAATGACCCAACACTATTGGTTCATCACCCTGCACACCACATGAATAAATCCATCAGACCATCCATGACTTTTTCTGCCTCATTCGGGAATCATTAACTGAATCTATTCTTCTCATGGAGCCATGAGTATTGGATATTCTCCCACTAGTTTTATCCTAACTTTATAATTATAACATTAAATAAAAATCAATTCGGTACTTTTATCTTCAACATAGTTATTATATGTTTAATTTATTGTTTTGTTATATGACTCAAATAAGGATTTAGCAAGATTGTTTTGTTAATAAATAATTGTGTTGACACAAGATAAGACAAATTCTTGAGTTGACATAAATTATTACTCATGTTTATGATTGTACCATTTGTATTCATAAGTCATAGCACTGAGCCATAAGTAACCAGTTATATTGATCATCTGTACCTATGCCATCTTGTACGCCTGAAATAACATGTTTACAACTGTCTCTATATTTCATAATTATTTTTAACCATTTCTCAAAATTAGAGGGCCAACTATTAAAAACACACGTTCATTGTAAATGAATCAAATTAGAAAAATGCCAACAAGATAAGAGTTTGTTTGTAAACAGCATTACTCACGTGGTAAACAACACTACAAGTTCGTTAACCTCACCTCTTTTAGAATTAATGACTCAAGGCTTGTTATTTTTATACATACTTTCATATACAATTAATGAAAGTCAGTCGTAGCTGCAGTGATTCATTCGTTTTTCATTTTTAAAAATAGTATTAAATGTTTTAAAATGCTTGCTTACCTGAATTTATTTTTATTTTGGTTTGAACAGGGCCAACTTTTGCATTGTACCAATTCCTTTCGTTCGGTGCTTGGCAATTTGCGTCGAAGCTTTTGAAGACTTTTGTTCCCTCCATTGTCTCACCAAAGCAGCTACAAAAATAAAAATGATAGAAATACATTTCATATTATATAATGTCAAATAATGAAAAAAAAAATTGTTTACAATCGGTGAACCCTGCTTTGTTTATCCTGACACAGAGGGCATTTGGGAGAGAGTTTAAGTGCCAACCAGGAAGTAAATCGGTACGTTATTGTAAATAACCTAGCAAGCGGGACGTTCGACAAAACAACAATGCATGATAACAAAACTAAGCAGCAGGTGGTTTCACGGGACTTTTCAAATGTACCACTTCTGCAAATTATTCGGGCGGTTGACCTTCAGGTATGGTCAACTGTGTCACTGTGACGTCGAGGTGCGGTGAACCGACCGTCATGGGAAGGATGCAGTTTTCAAATCGGAGGCCTTTTGGACTAAAAATACAAATACAAACAGAACAACGAATGGGGGAGGACAAAGGAAAACTAATAGACAATAGTCTTGGTTATTATAGAGAGATAACTCGTGTACATCTTTTAATAGGGATAAATTAAAATACCGTTGAACATGAAAACAAAGAAATTCGATTATGTTCACCTGTATTATCATAAACCAAAAATTGGAGTAAACATTTTGCCTGGAATCACAAACTTCACTTATACAGAAAAGGCTTACCTCTGAAAACATATTGTAAAGGGAATTAACTTACACCAATCTAACCCCGCAGATTTTCTATTTAATGTCTACAAGTACTTGCAGTAAAACTTTGGTTTAGAATCACTGTCTAAACTTGAAAGAAAAAGTCTCCTGGAAAATTGCTGCAAAGGGACTTAAGTTGAATTTTGAGTATATCTAGTATCACAGATCTAAACCGAGGATTTTCTATTTAACGTCCTGGAGTAGTGTTTACTACTACTCTATTTTGCATAAAATCATAATCTAACAAGGGGTCGACCAGGTTGGTGTGAGACGGATTTGGACCAAACTTTTTTTGATCATTCAACAATCAAAAATATCGGATACTTATCCGCCACTTCTTGTGATAGGCCCTGGTTTCGACAAAAAATTTAAAATTTGAAATTTTTCGTTTTTTAATCTTTCGCCGTTCTTCTTACTAAAGGCAACTATATGAATATATTACTTTACAGCATTTTAAATTTAAATTGCAATAAAATATAGTAAAAGCTATGAAAATTAACAATCAAAGAACTAAAAAATTTTTATGTAAACTAGAAAATTTTTTTAACATAAAACGTATGAAATTATAGCGTTATAAAATCCTTAGCTACTCACATTCGCGAAAATCGGTGTGAATAAATTTTTTGACTGATAATTTCGACCTGCGTGACTGACATTCGTAGCATAAGCTCTCACATCTTTTTTCTCAAAAGTTCACTGTCACGTTTATTTTAGAACATTAAAAACCATTAAAATAGGACTATTATTTCCATTTAAAAAAATTATATATTTTAATGGTACATACGCTCTTATACAGCTACGTTCTTCTTCTTTCAAATGGTATGTTTAACGACAAAATCTTTTTAGCCATTTTTGAATTAGATATTCCGATAACGACTTCTCAAAAATCGAGCAATTTAAATAAAAACAAAAAGTTAAATTTAGGGATCTCTAGAGGTGATAAACGAAACTTGTTTATTAGTTTTAAAGGGAAAAAAATTGACCTAGTTTCCTTGAAAAAATTTGATTTTTAGAAATTTTGTGATTAGTGATAAACTTTGATAGTTTTTAGTATATTTTTCCTGCGATCTACATAACAAATGCTGTAAATGATATATTCACACAGTTATTTTGAGGAGAAAGGTGAAATAAACATATAAAAAAACGGAAAATTCATCTTTAAAAAAAAATTGTCCAAACAAGAGTCTATTCACATGAAGTGGCGGATACGTGTCCCATATTTTGGAGTATGGAATCACCAAAAAACGTTTGGTACAAATCCGTGACCCACCGACATGGTCGTCTCCTTGTAAGCTTAAAAAGAAAAGTCAACTCCTGAAAACATATTGCAAAGCGAATTAAGTTGGATTCAGCATAAATTTAGTATCACAAATCTAAACTTTTCCATTTAACTTCTTTAGTGGAAACATGTTACAAGAATCATAATCTAAACTTAAAAGCAAAAGTCTTACTTCTGAACACACACTGTAAAGAGTCATATCGAGTTTAACAAATCTAAACCGAACTTTTTCTATTAGCGTCTAAATTTCCTTGGAGTAAAAATTTGGCCTAGAATCACGAACTAAACTTGAAAAGAAAAGACTTACTTCTGGAGTCGGACAGAAAATGGACTTTTCCTTCAGTATGAAGACTTCGGGGAGGAGGAAATAAGGTCTGTCGTATTGTCTGCGGCGTCCTATATGAGTTTACAGTGCAAAGGTATCGCCTTCGACTTTACCTGTCGACTACCTCCACTAAATATTAAAAAGCGTTGATAATGCTATGCATGTCCACGAGGACGGGACGTCCATTTAAAAAATGAACCGCATGGAAAGTTTGCAACAGGCCTAAATAGAAATTTTAACGGGGTTTTATAACAAAAGAATACAGAAAAATTCATGATTTTGCAACATTTCAAGTGGTACCAAGAAAAGGGATGTGACATATATACGTCTATAAATTTATCGTACATAACGCACGAGGTGCATTGTAAGGGGAAGAAATCGAAAAGAAGAAAATGCAAAAGAAGTAAGAAGAATTAAAGTACTTAATTTATAACTTACTAAATGAAAGGAAAAACGAGTTACTCACTAATCACTTAACTGAGATAAATAAATATATACTTGGTAAAATTATATCGACAATAAGGAAAAATTGTACATACTATGAAAAAATCAATCAAATCAATATGCAGATATCAATTTGAAATGCGTTTTATCTGTTTTATTCGTTAGTGATAACGATCTCATTGTCTCATCAATGATAAATGATTATTATACTTATAGCTACAGAAAGCCTAGGGAAACGTACATCCAAATAATGCTACACGAAAGTGCAGACTTCTAGGACAAAACGAAATCAGACCGGATCCAAAAGAAAGCCACCGTAAAAATTATGAAAATAAAAGATAACCTATAAAAATTCCTGAGAAAATACAGTTCAAAAAATAATGACAAGAGATGTTTGGAAGAATAGAAATCTTGAAATTAATAGATATTAAATGTAACATGAGGGCAGGAGTCACAGGCTGAAAATTTTTAACTACCGAACTTCTAAACACCACTTCCAAGTTGAGATCCAAGCAATAGAATATGTGCTATGTGCACAAGAAATATCTAAAAGGAATTCAAAGGTGCAAATTTTTAACACCCAAGCAGTACAGCCTTAGTCTCCTTTATCTTCAACTCGAAGCACGGGAATAACTAACATCTCACTCCTGTCCAGGTAACTCTGCTGTGGGTGCAAGGATACACTTTAGACCAGAATCGCAAATTCCTCAACATCTAAACCAGGAAACCAAAAAATCTACCTGTCTCTCAGTAGGCAAGGATTAATGAAATAACATTCCCTTATACTGGCCATTTTCCATTAAATTACCGCCTTTAAAAATGGAAACATTCCCACATACTGGCGATTCGGTCATGAAATCGAAGAGACATCGGACCATCCCAGAGACTGCAAAGCATTAGCTAAGAAACTACCAAACTACAGGTACATCAGCAAAAAGGAATTCTTTAAGATAGTTAAGCACTTTATAGAGTATTGAAATCAGGAAGGGTCAACTCCATAATGTATCTTTTAGGTCGTAGTGGAAGAATGGGATATTGTAGCTATAAGTGATTTCGGACAGGAAAAAATCTGTGACGCGCTGTGATCAAACCTTAATTAATTTTTCGCTTATGAAAGAGAAAGGTTTTAATTTATGTAAAAAATTGATTATAAAACATAATTTTGCACTCTTTATTGTTTCATCTTTGAAGAATGTCGGGTCATCATTTTTGAAGAATCTCAACAGGACGATTTGTTGTTTATTATTGTTTGTTATTCGTGTAGATTTTTTAACACATCGAACAGACAGAAACTAGAAAGCGGGGTCATATATTCCCTAAGCATTGAGCTTTCTGGCTTGTTATACTTTTCCTAGTTCATTAGTTCAGTTCACTCTATTCGATCTTTTAAGGATTGACTGTCATGCTGCTATTCTTATTCCTGGGTCTTCTTGATATGTGTCTATACAGCGATTGCTTTACATCCGAAGATAAAATGAGAGGTTCTTTCTCCTCATAGCATAACCTACAAAATATACACATGTGGTGTAGGGATTTTCTGAGATACCACGGTCAGTAGTTCTATCACTCCCCTCTCCCCTGTTGCTCCAGCTGTTGCTGTATTTCTCAGTTTTGGCGAGAGTTATTTAAAAATAAGTTTAATGTGTCTGGCACCTCTTGAGATGGTCACTATATTCATTGATCTACAATTCATATTATGCTGATAAAAATGCAGGCTACAATAGCCTTCTCGCTTAGCAAGGCGCAACTAATGCTTCCAGAGCAGCTTCAGGCAGACGGGGGACAATTATTACACAGGTAAAGTCCAGAGTCGTTTTGAACCTGCATCAAGGCTCTGATAGACACTGAACATAACAACAAAATTCCCCCTTGTTTGGGAGCTACAGCAACAGGGTAACGAAGGCCGATAAATAAAACGAGGCTGATAAATTAGCCAAGGGAAGTTCGATGAAGATATCTATTGGCCTTGAACCCTTGGGTGGCGTACCAAACTGCCAAAAACGCAGATCCAACAGTCAGTTGATTAAAAATAACTTTTCTGTTTAATAGGAAGGTAGCTCAGGACAGAGGCATGCGAAAAAGTTCGAAGGACCATCACAAAAACTAACACTAAGTCTAGGATCTTTTAGGCATTTGTATAGACATTGTAGTGGCAAAAACACGCCATCCTGTCATTGCAGGAAAGAGGACACAGCGTAACATGTCCTTTTTGGTGGGACGGATTATATAGGGTTATTCCTACTCGTGGGAGAGCAAAATCCAAGGCCTGAAGACACACAGGAGTACTCCGGATAAAGCTTTAGGATCTGGTAAAAATAATGAGGACTGGACAACAATGGAGATGTATAATAGACCAATACTAGTCACGGTTCGGAGGTCTTAAAAAGGCCGACTTCTTTTCAATTCTAATAATTTGTGAACATCGTTGACGAATGTTTTAACCCATGAACGACGTTTTTCTGTATTAATTATACCAAAGATGAAATGAGAGTGATCTATTCTTTAAATAAGACAGCATATAACATTATACTGCATTGTACTGTAGTAGGACCAACAGATTCTTTTATAATAACGCCTAACCCAGTAATTTTGGATATGTCATCGTCGACGAATGTTACAACCTATTGAACGATTTTCATCTGTATTAATTATAACTAAGATGAAATGAGAGTAGTATATTCTTTAAATAATACAGCATATAACATTATACGTAAAAATACTGTAGGGGGATCAACAGATTCTTTGATTGCTACGTCTTTTATAACGTAGCTGAACCCAGCAATCGTGAATATACCATCGTTCAAGAATGTTACATTGACCGATTTTACTCTAAATTAGTTGTATTAAAGATGAAAAACGGGTGTTCTATCGTTTATATGAGTGCATATAACGTTGTATGTTTTCAATACTGTACACAGTATGCCAGCAGTCATGAATATGATGACAACGTCCACAAATGCCCCATTGTCACAGTGAACGAATTATTCCTGTATTTAAAATTCACTTCTTCTTGTCTTTATACAGAATATTCAAAAGGTACCGGAGCACTTTTGGTACTTATTTCTCATCGTTAGTTTTCTTTTAGACGGTTAAACGACACGATAACCCCAAGAACTACGTCAGCAATGAGGCAGATTACGGAAGTCAGCTTTATTCACGCATATGGAATAACAGTTCGCCGGCTGATACTGGTCGTAGAGCGAGTACTTGGTAGTTGGTTCCGACTTCGGGTACTTCTCTCGGGTTTAGGCACTCCCATGGAAGATGATATGGACGATTACGAATGGGACAGCGCGCCCGAGTACGAAGACGACGAATGGTACTGCAGATCAATCGCTAGGTATCGACCTGCTTCAATTTCCTTCTTTCAATGAGTAAATGCCATAAAAACTTTTTACAGAGTTAATTTTTTTTTGGTGGAAAGTTCTATGACAGTCTAAATGCTTCATTTCAAATTTTCTTTTGGACTGAATTTCATTAACAACAAGGCTTGTTTTTAACTTAAAAAATGTTGGCTTAAACATTTTCATACCCTTAAAAAAAGAGATGTTATGGTTGGATATTGGTTATGTGATATTTCCTCTTGAAGTGTGCAGTGGTAATGGAACCTGCAGTCTAGTCGTTTTGAATCTGTTGGACAAGTTTCAGCTTGCTGTAATTTAGAGTGATTTGTGTGTTATGTAGGACATAGACCCATAGCCGAAGGAGGCGAGAAGATGACACGACTGACAAACCAAGACGGTGAGGACAGGAAGACCGAAATGTCAGAAATGACCTACTTCATCTTTGCTTTAGCTGTTTATTACTAAGGTCAAAAAAGTAGACTTATTTTGCCGATGCATTTAAATCTTTTATTTTTATTAACATCACGTCCGATGTATGGTAATGATCAGGCCATCAAAATTATAATTATATGCTAAAAAAGAATCGGGGATGATGTGATTTAGGAAGAAATTGCTCAGTTGCTTTTTCAAACTTTCGAGGAATTCTCTTCACCAGTCAAGAGTCTTTCAAAGTCTTTCAAAACTTTAACGAATAATTTAAAAGGATAACAGATATCTAACAATTTTGCAATCAGAATTTTAAGCATAATGAAATTAAATTTTGAAATAATTAATTCATTATTTTTGTGGTCCGCTTGACCAATTAATACAAGACAATTAATTAAGGTTTTTAGTTGAGATGAAAAGGTGGGGTTGAGATGGGGAGTTGATGTATGAGTGGATCGAGGTCACAATAGCTCAAGTGGTAGAGCAGCGGCGTATCTAACCGAAGGTCGTGGGTTCGAATCCCTCTCGTGCCATTAACTTTTTTTCATCTCAACTAAAAACCTTAATTAATTGTTTTGAAATAATATATCATTTGAAATTGACAGTACGCTGGAGCAGCATGAATAATTTCTGATATGTGGGTACAATTTATTAGTGTGAATGGAGGGACCCAATCACCCGAAAGCATATCGAGAAATCTAAAGCAATATGAATGCTAACCAGACTAAGTTGTTTTTAATTGTATATATTTTTATTATATGTAATGTTTGTGTGTTTATTACATAAAATCCTTTTTTTTTATTTGTCCTTCTGTGATTTGTGGACAACAAATTGTGGAAATACTAATATAAACAAAAGAAGGACTATTTGACTACATTCAGCTTAATGTGTGGTGTTCAGTGACTGTTAGTTAATGATTATTTGGAGGTTGTATTAGCTAAGTATCTAATCAAACTTTAGTATATGTTGCATTTCCTCTTTGTAGTTAAACCTTATGATCTATATGTGGTGATTAGTGACCGTTAGTCTATGATTATTCGGAAATCGTGAGATGCGGTGTGGTGTGACGTAGGTTTTAGAAAAACATTTTCTTTATCATGCCAACGTTTCGATCTTTATTGAGATCATCTTCAGGGCTTGAAGTGTTTGTTTTCTGCGTAATTGTGCCATTCTTGCGTGCCGCATCTCACGATTTCCAAATAATCTTACGATCTATTGTACAAAAAATAAATAAAAAATTAATTAATTAAAAAAATATATTTACAAAAAAAAAAGCTTATTCAGTATATAGTTGACTCTTGATAATTTGAAACTCAAGGGGCCACAAAAATAATTCCAGTTATCAAGAGGAAAGAAAAAAATTAAGAATTGATATGCATTTTTACAATTTCTTAATTAAATTGTACATATATATAATGTCATAAAAATAATAAAAAAGTAAAATAGATCAACTGCTAAACTGAACATAGTTAAGCATTATTAAAAAAATCGTGAAGTGGTTTTTGTTTAAATTTTGTCTGGTGTCGTTTGTTTAAATGATTTTCCAGAGTGATCACCACAGAAAACAATTGTCAGAACACCAACTGCTAAGCATAACAAACTAGAAAAAATTCAAAGGAACTTTAGGCTATAAGGAAGTAAACAATATGTGGAAATTTGGAGGAATATTACAAAGAATAAGATTATTTGGAGAACGTGAGATGCGGTCTGGTGTGATGTAGGTTTTAGAAAAACATTTTCTTTATCGTGCCAACGTTTCAATCTTTATTCAGATCGGCTTCAGGGCCTGGGATTTATAAACATTGTTTAAATTTTACAAATGTATGTAGGATGTGAACAATGTTTATAAATCTCAGGTCCTGAAGATGATTTCAATAAAGATCGAAACGTTGGCATGGTAAAGAAAATGTTTTTCTAAAACCTACGTCACACCAGACCGCATCTCACGATCTCCAAATAATCATTCAACATAATCTAATTCTTAAAAAATGTATTAAATATTAATTTTTATCATTGACTGACAAGGCCCTGAGGTAGAGAGAAGGATAGAAAAATTAGAAAGTCAGTTACCCTTAAATACAGTTGTTAATATTTGGCTGCAGCATCAGCAAAAAGAATTAAATGGAATAAATTGCAAGAAGGTAAAAAAAAAAAAAAAAAATTAAAAAAAATAGGACTGAAGTTTGCCAGTCTTAAAACGATCAAAAAGATTATATAATATATGCTATATATAATTTATTTACACATGACCCTTACCCAATCATGACACGAGTTTCGCACCGATAAAAAAAACGACGTTTTTTTTATGTTTAATTCAACATAATATATAATGAGAAAAAATCACAAATTTTATTATAACTTATTGTAACAAGGATATTTATGTAATTTGGTAACTTGCTGATGAATCATTATTTTTGCTTTTATAACAAGTTGTGCTTATATTTTAATATTTATGTTTTTATGCTCAAGTTGGCCATCTATTTGGTTAAAATTTTAAACTGTTAATTAAAGTTTTAATATCTATACTACAGTCGACTTGTTATTTTGAAACTTGATAATTCGAATTTCTTGATAATATGAACTCCCCACTTTGGTAAATTGAAAAACTTCTATGTTTTTTGATGAAATATTTTTTGTAACGGGGAGAAAGATCTATCACTCAAAATGTTTAACAAATCACTTCCCCTCTTTAGAATTCATACTTATTCTGTGTAATATTCCTCCAAATGTCCACATATTGTTTACTTCCTTAGAGCCTAAAGTATCTTTGCATTTTCTCTAGTTTTTTCTATTAGTTAATACCGAAAGCTTGTTTACTTGATTTGTTAAATGCTATTTGTTTTTAAAGTAATTTATTTAATCCTAGTTTGTTAATTTCGGCGGTTGGTGTTTTGACAATTGTTTTCAGCAGTGATCACTCTGGAAAATTGTTTAAACAAAGGACGCCAGATAAAATTTAAACAAAAACCGCATCATGATTTTTTTAAATAATGCTTAACCTTGTTCAGTTGATCTATTTATACTTTTTCAACATTTTTACAATATTTTATATATGTACAATTTAATTAAGAAATTGGAAAAATGCATATCAACTCATAAATTTTTTTTCTTTCCTTCTGATATTCAAATTATTTTTGTAGTCCCTTTGGTTTAAATTATCAAGAGTTGACTCTATACTGAATAAGATTCTTTATTCTTCGAAAGAACTTTTTTTTGTAGGAAATGCAACATCTAACTAAAGTTTGATTAGATATTCAGCTAATAAAGACAACATATTTAAAATTAATGGCACAATATTGAATTGAGCCATTTTTATTCTCTGGGTGTTATCATAAACATATTGAAAACAAACAAAACTCCAACTCCTAATAATAATAAAAACAACATTAACAATAACACCTTCAATGACACAGGCTATGTCATAATTTATTCTACCATAAGATTTTTTTTAAACAACTACATGATTTGTACCGAAATGCCAAAATATCTTCCCTAGCAAAGTAATTTACTATGGTCCAAACTATGTTTGAAAAATTTCCAAGTTATTAATTTATTTTAGATGTATCCATTTTCCCCCCTTTAAGTTGTTTATATAGTCTGCGGTTAGGCTTGTTAAAAACGTGGAACAATAACAACTAGCTCTCTAGCATATTTGAATATATTTTGGGACTCACATGTCGCGGGCCGATCCTTCCAGGCTGATGAAAGTTATCGCTGAAGAGGGGACGTGTGAGTCCCAAAATATATTCGATGTATGCAAGAAAGCTGGTTGTTATTGTTCCAAGTTTCTAACAAACTTGACCACTGATTTTTTAATTCATTGTGAAATTTAATTCCTTTATGTTGGTCGTTTAAGATAATTATAGCTTATTTTCACTGTTTTGGTCCGTCGCTTTTCAGTCCCCTCAAAACCATCTTTAAAGATGGCAAAATGCCAACATGCATCTGACAGTTAAGATAGGCAGTCACCTCAATGATGAGACACATTTTTATGGTAAATTTATAGGGTTTAACAATAAATTGTTTATGTGTAACTAACGGTGAATAATGGGACTTTAAAATCTGAATGTTGTTAAAATCTGCGCGTTATTCTTAAATTGATCCAAGTTGTAACTGATAACATTAACAATTATTTATTTTTAATGTGCTTGACAGTAATTTCAGTTTTGTTTAACTTTGGCATTATGTTAAGATGTTTATTATTATTAATTTTAAAAAAATATTTTTTTGCTTATGTCTGTCAATTTTATATCTTATAAAAACATTTGAAATTGGATGAAAGCTTATTGATGATAAAAAGTTGATTAGTTTCAATTTTACAATTAAGTTTTATTTTTATTTTTTAAATTTATTTTTTAATAAAGTAGTTACCTTAGTTTAGAAAATGAGTTTAACAAAAAGTACAAGAAGCGGGCAGAGAAGAGTAACCGAGTAACTGAGTGTAGGTCAGTTGGTGCCACAATGTCTGTTTATTCTAGGCTGAATGTCGGTGAAAACGCTCCCCTCTTGGAAAATGTTGGACGTCCTACGTGACGAACAGTGGTGATTCACCACCGATTCTGATTATGGTCTTAGGCATTTGGCAAATGGGTAAACATGTTTTGCTTGAGAATCGGTATGGATTGGCTGGCAGACGGTACGTTCTTGCAATTTTCAACCAATCCTCGGTTTCCTGACATTGTGCAATATGCTCTGAGCCCTGACAACTAGTAAACGCAATAAAGACCAGGATGAATCAGATTCCACGATTGATGATGAAATGATTACAAGAAATTACTATAACTCGAAGAAGTTTTTACCATGAAGATCTGATAAAAGACTGTAGAACACTCATAAACACATAGTTTTATAGTTATTAGGTGTTTTTAACATAGAATTTGACAATATTTTACATTTATTTATGTTAATACTGAAAGCTTGTTTATTTGATTTGTTAAATGCTATTTGTTTTTAAAGTAATTTGTTTAAAAGTTAAAAAGAAATATTTTTCAGAAAGGCAATATATCGACATAGGAGGTTTATATATTTATTAATTTATTATTGCATCCCCGTTTACCATTTATACTGCTCATTTTCCTATACATCATACCATTTTTGGTCATGTATGACAACGTAATTTTGTTTTCTTACCGGAATCCTATGCGGGTGATCTCTAACATCCAAAAACACTTTGAGTTTATCGAAGACTGTGCAAAATATGTAGGACGAGACTGAATGAGAAAAAAATGTGTCCAGTTCATTTACGTTGAAAAAACATTCTTGCTCTCTGCTGTGTGTCATCAAGGAACTGCTGATTTCCATTAAAAGTCAGATACTTAGGGCTATACCTAGACAGCAGACTGATGACCCCATACAAGACTCAAAGACAACTTAACAGAAAAACTGTGACCACTTTGGGCATATGGAGTAGAACTGTGGGGTCCTTCCAAGCCGTCCATATCCAGCACCCCCATACCTTCCAATTGAAAGTCCTCAGACAAATACCCAAAGCTCTTTACTTTGCAACACTTCACTAATTTTACAATGACCGTAATGTTCCTTTTTGTATACGAATTAATCCGTTCCCGCTTCCAAAAGTTCAACTCTAACTGTTGAATACGTTCTAACCCTACTGTCCAAGACCAACAATTTCCCACCCTGAGAACCTGCCATGTCACTTGAAATGACAAGGACGTCGAGACCTCCTCACCCCTTCTCTCATATTGTATGACATATGTGTAGTGATTACGCAACACAGTAAGTGTTGTGATTAAGCAAAAAAAAAAAAAAGAAAAAAAGAAAAATCATACGTATTCAGATACCATGGTGGTTACTGTCTGGGTACCAGATACAAGGTTTGGAGGGCGTTGAAAAGGCGGATGAGGCAGCTAAGGATAGGGATATGGATAAAAGAGGCAGCCACAATGCCTTCTGCACCTTGACCTGAGTAGGTCTATCGAGCTCCTCTATTTTTTATAACTCACTGGCCAGCTTCAGGTTGTTAATCAACCTCCATAGTCTTGCCAGGGTTCCTTGGTGTAGGATCTTGCTTGTGGTTTTTCCTATCTTAGTTGCAAGAACCTTCACCTACATAGACCTTCAAAGAAATAAAGTGTTCTGCGGTCTCCTATTCCTGGCAGTATCTGCTCAGTGTTTCTTTTGTCTGTACTCCTCTCCAGCGCATGTGCTTTCTTAAGTAGCAGTGCCCTGTCAGGAGTCCAACCAGAATCCTGGTTCGGTTGAGGTTGTCTTCTAGTAATTCCTTTGTAAGTTTTGCAAATAGCCCCTCTATGAATTTCTTTGCATGCCTCATGCGTGAGGTATTGTTCCACCAAGTTTTGGACTCGTTAAGGATCCATTTTAAGATGCATCCACTTTTGTGGCAGGATGCTAAGCCACCGTAGGGCTCAGGACGTAGAGTCCATGTTAGCCCCCCCCCCCCGATTTGGCCAACATGTCATTTCATTGCCTCTATGACCCGATTGCCCAGGGACCCATGCCAGGATCAGGTCATTAGTGTCACTGACTTCCATCAGGGCCTCCATGGTAGCTAAGGCCGGGAAAATCCATCCTCCAGCTTTTACCACACCAATCTGGCCCCATGCTAAAACACTATTAAAAGAAAGTGGCAGCTGGATCGGCAGAGAAGCTCTCATATATCACGAGTACTGGTCTGATTCATAGAAGAAGGTTCATCTTCACCCGATTAATAATATGACATGCGAAGTTTACACATGGACACTTCCTTTTGGGCCAAAGCCCCTGTCCAGTATGTAGAGAAAAGTTGCTTGATGTGTCCCACTTAATTGAAGGGTGCAATTCTTTGGCTCCATATAGAGAGCGGGTAGGAATGACACTTGATATGAGAATTGTGCTTGAACCTGGAAGCGAGTATCTGAGTCCACTGTTCCAATTCTTGGTGGAAACAAGGCTGTTTTATCTTTTTATTCTTTTAAAGGGAAAGGTTGTTTTATTGTTTTCAATAGTTGAGTGTATTTATTAGCATGAATGTGAAGTGTGAGAGGGTTGATGATGTTATTGAGTATCCCATCGACCATCAGTTAGGTTAGTTAATAGATGTAAAGGGTAATGGAGGAATATCAACTAACTCCTCTACTCTAACTGAGAGAAATAATAGGAAAGAATGTATTTAAGAGTGAATGTGAATGGGTTAATAATAATATATTATTAATATTATATAGAGTAACATTAATAATTTAATCATCTATTTTGGAAGAAACTAAAAACAATTCCCCATTTTTAATTTTGTAATTTATGATAATTGTAGTTTTAAGTAGTTTTACATATAAATATATAATCTATGTATATTGTATATTTTGGTTTTTTAGGTATAATGAGCTGGTCATGTTTGATTTAGAAGATAAAGTCATTAGTTTTGACCTATTGGACCAAGGAAGCCTATGCCTTTTGTGCAAAAAATCGTCCGGTCTGCAAGTTATACTTGAGCATCTTCTCCCGTCAAAGATATACAAAAAGACGAATGAAAATCACACCGTGAGAGACACCGATATGAAGATAAAATCAGGTGTTTTCCCCAACGCTTTTGTACTCCAGGTAGTCACATCAATGTCATTGGCAAGGAGGAGGAAAACTGGTGTTATAATTTGCTCAGTTGTTGATTATCTTTGTTCTTTTGAACCAAATTTTAGATGTGCTCGCTCTACAATGAAAACAAACTGATTACGTCGGAGGAACATTTATCCGGCGTTAATATTTATCATTTAGGATCTTCAGAAACAGGTGTGCAAAGTTAGCGAGAGTTAAAAAAAAGTGAATGATGATTCGATGTTTCAAAATGTAGATCAGAATGAGAAGTGTAAAACTATTTCGGCGCCGTTGTTAGAGCCGAGAGTCTCAGTGGTTGGAAAAAATGTGGTTTTACTTGCCAAGGACACTTCTTCACCACCGGTTATTGTCGATTTGAGTTCTGGGGAGGTGAAATGTACTATAAACTGTACTAGTGACATACCATGTTCTCTTATGCCAGCAGCTGTTTCTGAAACAACCATTGCATTGTGTAAAGAAACAAATGGAGAAGTATTTTTATATGATACTAGAAAGCATGAGGGCATGTGGGAAATTAATGGTGAGTATTTGTTTAAAAAATTTCAAAAATAGTACTAAAAAATGTCTGATTGAATTTAATTTCAGGAGACCAGGTCTCAAAGTATTCCATCTGCACTAGTTTTGACCATAGAAACCCCAGCGGTCCAAATAGCACTATTGGGACAATATCAGCGAATGGAAACTATAAATTTTACGACCTGCGAAATTCCAAACAGGAGTTGATTTCAGGCGAGCTGAGTTTAGGATGTGACGATGGCATTGACCTAAAAATGAAAATTTCCCCCAGCGGAAAAAAAGTTTCCGTTTCTGGACATAACGGGACAGTGATTGTCTACGACTTGCGGGACACTCTGAAAGAGATATTTTGCCATGACGGTCATCAGCACATGGAGCACAGTTCAAAAAACACTCTCATCACTGATCATCTATGGTACGATGAAAGATGTATCATTTCAAGTGCCGACAATCATTCCCTAAATTGCTGGCAGTATATTATTGCTGAAAATTAAAAAAAGGTATATTAAATTTTTCTTGTTTTTACTTTCAATCCTATGTTAATCAATTTTCAAGAACGCTTTTAAAAACATCTTGGGTAGTACTTTTTAAAGAAAATTTTATCCACTTTTATTTACCATGCTAGTGATTCTGAGTTCAATTCCTAGCACGGCCCATGGTGTTTTAATTTATAATAATGTGAAAAATTAATGGTAAAGTGGTTTGATACCAGTGGAGTAGTTGGACCTTAAACCCTCTTGTATGACAGGAATTACATTACTTGCCTTAATTTTCAAGAAAATCTTGGGTACTACTTTTTAAAGAAAATTTCCTTCAATAATAACAACTTCAATGAATGATTGTATTCTTTCTCTGCTTACACTAATGCTTAGAATTTATTTTTTCATCTATGATCCACACATGTACTTGATCAATCTTGTACCCATAAAAAAAGCAACTTATTTCTATGGTATGCAAAAGCTTGTTATTTCGTAACTCTGTGACCTTCATTTCCAGTTCTTTTTTTACTCAGTCATATATTGATGAAAGCATTTTTCAATATAACTATTACAATTTCTTTTTTAAAAATCTCTATTTTTTGTATTATTATTATTATTAATTATTATTATTATTATTATTTTCAATTACTTAAAGATTAATTAATTGAAAAGAATCTGTCAATCGGACCACAAAACCTAATCGATTATTATTATTATTTTTTTTTTAAGGAATGAATTTCTAGTTGACAGCTTGCCGAATGGGAAATTTCTAGTTGAACAGTAAATGAGAAGTGTGATAAAATTGTAACAAAATTAAAATTACCTGTTGACAGCCTTGGCTGTGCATAAACTATACATTGATATTTAAATATTGTATTTTAATTCATCCCAAGATCTCTGAAAAATCTATGATGTAAATGTCAATTTTATATATTTGTAAATAGAAATGTATTTTAAGATTTTCATTTTCGTTTTTATTTTCTACCAATTTGCTCTTCAGTTTTACTTTGTCGCGTGGTAGAGACTCGATTTTGAATAATTGTCTTATGGCCGACATTCATCATCCTTTCTCGTATTCTGGTCTTTCATAGACGAATTTTGACAATTATTGATAAATATTTGATTCATAAAATCGGGATTATTAGCCTGTAGGGATTACTCTAAATATGAATTGTTTTATCAATTTGTACTTTGTAAATTCAAAAGTTCGAGAAAAATAATATTGAATGAATAATAAATGAAAATACGCATTAAAGTCTTTCGGATTAAAGTTAAAAAATAATCCTAGCTGATTAAAAATTGACATTACTCAACTGTAACAAATTAAAGTGCATTCATTCATTAGTAAATATAAAATTGGTCATGGGAAAAATTGGTCTACCAAGTCTGATAAGGATTGTTTTCTATAAAAGACCATAAAAACAAACAATTTAAGATAGGTGTAAATTGACTCAGAACTGTGTTAATTTAAATGTGACCTTGTCAAATAATAGAGATGAATGATTTTCCATTGACTTAGTGTACAAATTATTTTTATACTGATTATTGCTGAAAAAGTAAAGACAAATATAAAAGTTGTTACTTGATCATGTCTGTTTGTCATGTTCTCCCTATTTTTTTTTTTTTTTTTTTTGTGAGATGCTTCTTGGCATTTCACCAAGAACATATACGAAAGTAGTCTATTTAATAAATCTTTTTGAGGTGTAGTTTTGTTATTTTATTGATTGTTTCTATGTTTTAGCAGTTGTTTTCTATTTTTATTGTTGGTAGTTCAGGTTTGTATTGCTCATTCGTTGTAACTGTTTTATTGTCTGTTGTTGAGAGGTTTTAAGGTTTTTAGGCAGTTCTTTTAATGCCCGTTGCAGTTGGTTTTCTGTAGATATTTTTCAGATAGGAGTTTGTCGATAGTTGCAGACAAGTCAGTTCTGTGTTCAGTTTCTGTCTGTGAAATGTCTTCCAACATATAAACGGGACCCACTAAACAGAAATCTCACTAATCCACCACTTCAAATGGCGAGAAGCTGCAACCTGTATGACAGATCAAAACAGCGAGTATCATCAGACCCGAGTAATCAGAATCCCCAGAAGTTTCACCCCATAGACTTCAAGAAGAACAACTCACTAAAAAAAAAGAATTTTTTTCAAAAATGTTAAAATAGCAAATATCCTCAATTAAATCGATTAGAGTAATTTATTGATACTGGGTTCAAATAAGAATCGTACCCTCGATAACAATCCAACTATGGAATTTAAAGAAAATACAATTATAAGTTCAAATAATGTATATGATTAGATGTTAGTTACATAAAATCAAAAATACTGTGGTAATGAATAAACGGTCATTTAATAATCATATATGGAGGATAAAGGGTGTTATGGTTCAGGTAGACCATTATTTAAATGCAAACCTTGCCCATCCTAAAAAATATCATAAACATGTTAAAATAACTTCTCGACATAACGTTCTTAAATGATTTTGACATGTAATATTTCTGTAGTGAATTGTGTGTTAAATAAACGTATTTATTAGCATGAGTATTGAGTACGCATGGGTCGTCGAGTCACCACAGACCAACTTAACTAGGTGTATTTGGAGCGAAGGGGGGAGGCAAGGGCGTAATGTTAATATCCCTGTGGCTCCCCGATTTTTAGATGAACTGGTCTGGAAGGTTATATCAGTATGATTGCATTTATTAGCGTGAAAGAGGACGGGCCTTAAGCGGGATACAGCGTATCACGAAACCCGCCAAACTAAGGTTAGGCTAAACTCGAATGCTTTGGTGTACATCAGTTGTACAGCCTTTTCATCACAAGTGGACGGAAGTAGAAATCAAGTCCAGAAGTTCCAAGAAGAAAAAACGCGAGGTGTTGGCAGCAGCCCTGGTAGCTGGTCGGCCGGAAAAAAATTATGATGTGGTAATTCCATTTCATGAGAAAACATTGGAAATGAAAAATCCTATCATTTGAAATTGGAGTTGTGCTGACATTTATACTATTAAAGAAAGTTCTCTCTCATCAGAACATTATTACATAAATTAGAGGGCAACAACACGACGAAGCACTATTTCCAGGTAGAAATAGTAAAAATTGACTTTTATATAAAAGAACTATTTATAATAAAACGATTTATTACCACGATAATATTTTATGCAGAGCAGAACTTTAAAACATTATTCAGGATTTTAAATTATAATCCTCTATTAAAATAATTAAAGAGAATTTAAAATTATGCAAGACGGGAATAAAATATTCATAAAGCAAAACAAATATTTTTCATATAATCGACATTACAAATATTTGCAGTAATTCTTATTACAAGGTTTACAACTTAAATTCTCTAAAAAAATCTCGGGAAGTTTTACAACCCGATTTAGCAATTTCTCAAATAATAGATAAAAGTAAGCTACTTGCGTCGACAACGTTCCAGACAAAATATGTCTATAAAATCTTATCATCTATTTCTTAGAACGAGATAATCCTTCTAATCATAGCAATATTATTTTCTTTAACTATTTCACAGAGATACAATTATAGTTTGGTTTACTCGAAATTTTGCCAAATCGATTGATATTTTAGACGATATTTAAAATAAAAAAAAGACTAGCTGATACTGGAAGTTTGGTTAACTCTTTGCCGTTGTTTTTATTTTATTTATTTATTTTTGTTTTGTTTTATCTAGAAATAAATTTAGAAATGACTGAAAGGAAGTTGTGTTTTATTATTTATTAGGAAAACCACACATCACAGAACAACCACATATCTTACTACAAAACCAAGAATTTTGACTGAAAGTAACGTGCTAAAATATAGCAAAAAGATATACACGAGTTGAATATAAATTTGAAAAATAAAATTATCTTAGATTTGCATGTCTTGAAAATTTCTTTGGAACTAAAAATAACAATTAAGGTTTTTAATTGAGATAAAAAAGTCAATGGCACGAGCGGGATTCGAACCCACGATCTTCGGCTAGACACGCCGCTGCTCTACCACTTGAGCTATCGAGACCTCGATCCACTCGGACACCAACTTCCTATCTCAACCCCACCTTTTTAGTTTTCCCTCCTTTTTGAGATAGGAGAGGGTTGAGATAGGAAGTTGGTGTCCGAGTGGATCGTGGGTTCGAATCCCGCTCATGCCATTGACTTTTATCTCAATTAAAAACCTTAATTAATTGTAATATATTAATTGGTCAAGCGGACCACGAAATTAGTGAAACTAAAAATAGCCTGTGCACTCAGAAGTAGAAAAGTTCGGCTTCGTACCTTTCCAACCGTGGTAAAGTCTTTAATTCCAGTCTTTGTATTGTCTATACAATACACAAATAAGAAATAAGATAAGTTGGAAGACGACGCAATGTATGTAAATGAGCAAGAATAAAAATATTTTTTTTCTTTTTGTCGTTAATCTAAAATTTATTTTGACTATATTGTTAAATAAGTTTAAAAGTAAATTCAGTATTGACAAATAAACCTGGAATAACAAAAAACAAAAACCGGAAGTATACGCAAAGACAACACGGGACTTGTATTTATTTATAATAATTATTTTGTTACAATTATAATTTCAATTAATGGCTTTGGCTGAGATAATTGAAAAGAATTTATTTGGTCAATCGGACCACGAAACCTAATAGATGTAATTATAATAGTTATTAATAGTTGGCCTCAAAACGTAAATACAACATTAATAACTTGTTTACTTTAAACGAGTGTTACTCATTTTTACACTTTTCAGATTAAAAATAAAGAAAGTCAGTTCAATTTCAACTTTAGCCAACTTGTCGAGTGAGTTTATTGGCATCTTAATTTGTTTTCTTAAGAAACACTAAATTTGGGTAAAAAATTAATAATTTTTTAAATTTAAAAGCACGGTTTTAAGTCGCTCGGATAGACGCTTTAGACAACGACGGACATATCGTCCGTTACATACCGCGCTCTACCATCCACGATGATCTATAGCGGTTTAGGGCCATCGGGTGTCTCGATCGTAAAGGTGGTGGTGGTCGACCGTGATGTACTACTACTCTTACCGCACTACGGATCCGTCATTTAACAGCTTCCTTGATAGGTAGTCGGTAATATAATGGTGAGCTCTAAAACAGTCATAAGAAGGGTTGAGAATAGCCTAGTCTCTAGACGTCTCCCATCAGGTTCTCTACTACTAGAGAGGCACCGAGGAGATAGGTGACTATTTGCAAATCAGCCTCTCGCTTGGACACTTGAAAAAGGGAGGTCTGTTCCCAGAAGAGGGCCGGTTTGGCTTGTGCATTCAGATGACCGGGACCATGGAGAAGACGTGGAGAGCGCTTGACTTTATTTGCCATGTGTGAGTCATAGTGTTTTCTAAGACATTCAGTTTTGGTATGGGGTGGGACGTCCATGCCCGTACCGAACTGATTATCCTACAGAGTGGTACAATGAGGAAATTCTTTTGGAAGCTGCGATCCCATTCGCTACATTTATTGGAGTCAACTTTGTGTTTAATCACTTAATTAAGATTTTCAGTTGAGATAAAAAAGTCATTGGCACGAGCGGGATTCGAACCCACGATCTTCGGCTTGATACGCCGCTGCTCTACCACTTGAGCTATCGTGACTTCGATACACTCGGACACCAACTTCCCATCTCAACCACACCTTTTGAATTTTCCCTCCTTTTTGCCATTTTTCAAATGTCGTGTAATCAATTTGATTCTCGGCGACAAATGAAATGGCCACGGAGAGCTTTAATGAAGGTATACTTCATTTTAAACTATTCAATTCACTAGTTTCGTGGTCCGATTGACCAATTAATATTAACCAATTAACTAAGGTTTTCAGTTGAGATAAAAAAGTCAATGGCACGAGCGGGATTCGAATGAGGGAAAATTCAAAAGGTGCGGTTGAGATGGGAGCCGGGAGGTTGGTGTCCGTGTGGACGAGGTCACGATAGCTCAAGTGGTAGAGCAGCGGCGTATCAAGCCG